TTTCCGGGTTGTAGCTCTCCTTTTAGCTTATCGTATTCAGCCCTAAGCGTATCTAGAGGATCCTCTAACTTATCGTGGAAGCTGTATTGGAGATGAGTAATCAATAGAACCTCCTTGAACAGTTTCTTATCTTCAACGCTGAGCTTATCGTAAGCGGATTGATCGATACGGTTCTTATAGACAAGTGCCTTGATCATGGCTTGGAGGCTATCACTGATTTCCCACTTAGGAACACATTTACGCCGATTCGACAGAACGATCACGAGCTTTTTAGCACCAAGGTCGGGGATACGAATATACTTGCTTCCACTCTGCTTGTATGTGTAGGCTGACGGCGTTGCTAATCCTTGGATCTCATTGAGATTGTAGGTACGGCCTCGGCGAACTACACCTTCCAGCGGGGCAACACCTGCACCGCGCAATCCTCGACCTTGAAGCTTTCGTTTAACGCCACTGCCGGATACCTCGTTTGCCTCGGCGTATCGCTTAGCCTTCGTTTGATAAATCGATTTTGTCGCCTTCATAGCTGATGTAGCTGCCTTCAACACCGATCTCGGTGCTTTTGAGTTATTCCCTCTAACAGCCTCTTTTGCTTCTTCATAGCGTTTCTGAGCCTCACCGTATGTCTGAAAAGCTGCTTCTGACTCATCATGAAGCTTTTGCAAGCTGTCATCGTATTCATACTCTTCAACGCTTTGCTGTCTAATATCGTGTACAGACTTTAGAATAGCCTCATTCAATATTTCAAGATTAGCATCCAGGTTTTTGCGTCTTTTCTTATCAAGCTCCTTTTCTTCAAGTATCTTAGCTGCTTCTTCATCGCTCGATGGGAAGGGGTATTCAACCTCATTAAGATAGCGGTCCAAGTCCTCAACCCCGTTGAGTAGGGACGAAAAGGTATCCATCCACATGATATTCTTCATTAGCCCCTTCCAAGCTACACCACTCACCTGCTTGTGTGCTTTGTTTTCACGATTTAAAATATTTAGGGGTCTAGACCCCGATGGCTGCCCAAAGTAGTATGATGGATGGGACTTAACAACACCGTTAATTTTCACGATTGGTTGTAGCCGAAATGGAATATCAATACTGTTAGCGTGCAACTGGCTGTAGTAATCAGTTAAGATATTCTTGGCGTCGTTATCAGCGTTTGATAGGCTTGGGTCCATGTCTTCATCAATACCACTCATTAACCCATGCTGAGCTTCACCATTAGCTGGGGCAAAATCATTTATGTGTTTGGTTTCATTGCTACCAACTAGTTCTAACTCGAGGCCCCTGGCTTTAGTCATATTAATGAAAGATTGGAATGTATTTATCCAGTTCACTTTCTGAGTGATTGCTTGCTTCACACGATCGCTATCTTTCCCGTAAACGCTAATGCTATTGCCATTGATCCAAACATAGCCATCTTTGTCAATAGGAGAAGATTTTGCGGAACCATTAAGATACAATCTTCTTTATCAATCCGTTAGATTCAAGGACTTCCCTATTTTTGCTAATTGTCCAAAATAATTTGAGCTTGCTGTCCATTTGATCGGATCTTGTGGATATTCCAGTATCGAACACAAAACTGTCGTCAAGTCTCTGCTTAGAGCGGTTTGAATAATCTCCTTCTGAGGCATTGATTCTTTTTTTTTTTAGCCAATATTTTGGCAAACCTGGTATGGGCTATTTTTGTCCTCTTTACCCATCTCATTACGTCGCTCATTCTCATTGACGTATGCGAGGAATCTGACATCATAAATTAATACCTCACCAATATGGTCATACGTCTCATGCTCGGAACTAGTACATATTCTCAGTTTAATACTGTACACCTTAGCATCCATCCCAATATAATACTTAGTAAGCTGCCGGCCGTTGGAAGCAATAGGGTGAATATTTAGTTCTGCAAGGATGGGGTAAACCTCGAAGATTTTAGCGACCGCTTCCTTTGACTTTGTTTGATTTTTCATCTCAGCATTGCCTTCGTCGAACAAATCTTCTTCGACGGGCTTTTGCGGCAGTGGACTATCAGGGCCAACACCAGCATCTGTCATTCTTGCACTATTATCAACTCCAACATCAGTCATATCGGGGCTCACGTGGACCCAACCATCACTGGTTTTGGGCTTAGCAGTACTGGAAGCATCAACGGACTGAGGCTTTGCAGTAGTCGATGCATCGTTCATTTCAGGTGTTGTATTAACTTCAGCATCTACCATTGTTGAGGACTCAGGTTTTTTTTGGGAGTTTTCAATATTCAGACTTTTTTTAAGTCTTCCGGCGTAGCCTCGTCAGGGCCAACCGAAATATCAGACTGAGCGGATTGTGTTGATTTCTTTGGAACAGTAGTGATACAATTCGCGATATCGCTAGCCCATGATGCACCTTCGTACATAAGGCGCTTGGACTTGGCTTGACGAACTCGGCGCTCACCTCGTTCGAGTAGCTCCTGCCGCTTTTGCTCTCGTTGAGCGAGGGATGTAAAGTTGGGAAACATCGTCTAACTATATCGTGGTAGTCATAAAAAAATATTAGCATCGATCAAATACATACTCACCAATAGCTTGGCATAACGGAGTCATGCCTAAATGGTTGATACGTATGACAGATACGGTTCGCTCATTGAGGAGATTGATGTATCGATCCTGGATGCAATGAAACGGCACACCAAATATCGTTTCTAACTGGTCGCGGTACTGTAGATTGCACACGGTTTTCCGGAAATTGGCTACTGGGTCTAAATCTCTGAGTTCATTTTTGATTCGACTAACCTCTTGAATTATCCACAGCTTTCTTCGGAGCTGTACAAGCTCACGTTGATTCTCTACGCAGTTGCAACACATTCTATATATGAAGTCATATATTTTTAAGCATTATTTTTGGAGTATAGATTGATAGATATAGATGAGTCAACGCTTACAGAGGATTGCTCTATTAAACTTATTTCGAAGCTAGTTCGACTCATTTTTTATCGACTTCCAGTACTCATTCTCTAAGGTTGATCTCTTGTTCTTATTGACTAATCCAAGATTATCTTGTGGCTCCCAGGAGTCAAGTTCATTACCGACCCACTGCACGAGATACTTGTACTTGCCGGATCGCATCTTTTTGTGGTCTAAGATCTTCTCCACCTCTAAAATATCACCCCTGTTGATAGTAGCTTCAGATGTTTCTGCTTTAACAATTTTTAGATCGTTTGGCCCCTTGTAAAGAGTGTGTCCGTTTTTCGACTTGATTTGGATGCGGTAGCCATCAATACCTACCACCGAATACACAGCCTTAGACCATCTTGCTGCTTCTTTATCAAATGTTTTCTTTTTTAGTCGATACAAAATCTTTTCACCGACCTCGAACTCGTTTTCAATCCTCTCGGCTTCAGCCTGGTTGTGGACTAGTTCAGATTCAATTACCTTACCTTTAGCTTCGTCGGGGGTCATACCAATCGTCCGATGGGTCGTGCTATTGTAGTTCTCAATAACAGCAGCTATGAGCTTCTGGGTTAGTCGCTTCGGTTCGATTTTGACAAGGCGCTGCTTCAGAGTTCTATTGAAGCGTTCAATTTTACCCATTTTGGCGTGATCTCCAGGCTCATTGTTGAAATAGTCAATTTTCTTAGTTTTGAATAATTTCTGAGCCTGTTGGTTCATGAATTCTGAACCATTATCGGTTGTGAGAATGTCAACCTTATGGAGGCGGACAAAAACCCTAATTGCTGCTAGTACGGTCGGGTCAGTTTTGTTGGTTAGTAATTTTGCGTAGCCTAGGCGAGAGTTGATGTTGATCGCAGTCAAGATTGGTCTTTTCTCCCAAAACGCCAAGTCCATCGGCCACGAATTGGGGTTAGTCGATGCGATTTTGAACCCATCGTATCGCTTCTTCTGCTCCTGAAATCGCTGAATGTCGCTCTGGTTTGAGTACCATTCCTTGACGATTTTCATCGTAATCTTCGGGTCCAGTTCTTTAGCCTTCTGGTACAAGGCTTGGGCACCCACATAGCCCGTTTTGGGGTCATAGTATATTTTGGACAACAGCTGATCCATCGCTCTATATGGTTATAAAACAAAAAAATCCCCTGCCAGGTAGTTGATTATATGTCGAGCGGTTCGGTGGTGATACCATCCGCAAGTACACTGTTTTAGTCTGGGTGTACGTAATGATTGACTTACTCTCTTTACTGAGTCTAAACCCCTTGTTGGTGCCCTGTAGCGTGATGCGATCGCGAACAACTGATTCAAAGCCATCTGGGTTGAGGACGTCGCCATTGCGGCCACCACTCTGCTGGACTCCCTTCGCTGAAACCTTGACCTTGTAAGATTCGTCTGGTAGGTAGCAAATGTACTTCTTAGAGGGCGAGGATACCATAGCATCACCAGACCACTCAACCTTGAACAAACCTGGCGTTCGGCGATCAAGCTGAGCCATCTCTTCGCTATAATCACGTGGGAACCACTTGTACTTATGCTGCTGAAAATGCTCACGAAGCTCGGGCTTGATACACTCAACGAATGGCTTCTCACAGCTGAACGCAATATAAGCCGAGTCTGTGTCCATTTCTTGGTACTGGAATTCCGAACGGTCGAAGTAGAAGTCAATGCAATCATAGTAGAATTGCAACATACGGAGCTTAGCGAGCTGATAGATTGCAATCGATAGATGAATTGGGTTCTTATTGTTGAGCTTTCGCTTCATCATAGTGAATTCACATGAATCATTCAGCTCTTCCATTCCATGGAAGGTGAAGTGCTCAATCTTGGCCTTGATTACCTTATCGTTCGACTCATACCTGACCTCCTTGTGCTTGCTCATGTCCATGCCAGATCGACCAAACGCACTATTACCAACCAGTTTCATCATCTCAGCAATCATAGCCTTATTATTGCTACCCTCACTAAGCGTTTTCAGCTTAGTCAACAAGTCTAGAACCAAATGAATCTTAGGATTGGTTGTCGATTCATTCATGAATCTATCGATAATGAGCGCATCAAATGATTTAGTGTTCGTAATGATTTTTTTCAACTCTTGGACTAAATCATCCATATCAGTGTCAGATACCTTCTCAATAATGATCTTACAGATGGATTTAACATTTTCATCACCCTCTCGTCGCGCGCTCGATACGGCTTCCATGAATGGTGCAAATGCCTTGTGAGAGCTAGCCTTGATGAAGCTGTAAGTCTTGGTGATCTCCATACCATGAGAAATGTACCATTTGAGTAGCATGAGGATCTTCTCACCAAAGTAGCTCCCGATGAGTTTGCGAGCCGGCTTTGCTCGGCTTTGCTTGCGCTCCTCGTTGTACTCGAACATGTGCTGACCGATGACACTCCGATCGCTGCAGTCGATGAGGGTGTTCTTGAAAATTGGGGTCATTTCACTGAAGTAGGGTTTGAGGTGCTCTGGTGTACGGATATCACACTCGAGGAAGCCAAAGATCTTGTCATATACAATATCATCGACGATCCCTGTGTATGCTTCGATGGTAGTCAACCGTCCACATGGCATCTCATTACCAAGAGCCCACAAATACAGAGCATTAGCATCGTAGCCGATGATCTTTTTGCAGATCCTACCCCCTCGAATCTTGGTCTCGTTGCGTTTCGCGTATCTGTTGAAGATGATAGAAGGACCACCAGCAATGTTCGCCTTCATCTTGGTGTAGATGTCCTTCTCCTCTCTATCGATACTGTACACCAACCTGTCTGAGTTGAATTCAAGTAGCTTCTTGTGGCGGAAGCCCTTTAGCGACATGTTCTTGCGAGCAACGTTGCCTCCCACACAGCTGATCAAGATATTACCATCGATGTGTCCGAGCTTGTTATTGATTCGGTCAGCCGAGGCAGTATCAGCTGTGAGTTGCTTGTAGCATAGCCCACACACGTACTTTTGTCGCTCTAGCAAGTCGTTGAGGTGTTCTAGGTTCTCGCTGGGCTTTGATGGCCTTGATGAAGGGTACTACATCAAGGTTGTTGTACCAAATGAGTAGATCCTTGATTGACTTCATGCCATAGTGTTCCCAGACGAACTGTACCCGCACATAGTCCTCATCGCTGATGCTAGTGCTACGAAGAGCACTGTCGAACGCCGACTTAGGAGGGACTTCCGGCTGACTGAGTACGTCAAATGAAGTAATGTACTCGTACGGGAAGATGCCTTTTCCTAGGCCACAGACGCATCGAATCTTGTCATCACACTTGCCCTCACCGAGATATGTCGACAAGTAGTTTGCATAGTTGGTGCCTGCCGGAACATAGTTGCTAATGTCAAGCATTTTCATGTCTGACGTGGCGATGCACATGTAGCTAGGGTTCTTGATGACTGATGTGATGTTGTTAGTACCGATGACTGTAAACAGGTCCGCCTTGATAAGGTTGATGTCTTAGGGTCCAGAGTTGAATCCGAATACTGGTACCTGACCAATGCACTGCTTCAGCTTGCCATAATCCGAGCGCTTCTTACCGAATGCGAGCTTGCTGTGGAAATCGAAGAAACAAGCAAACTCCCCGTTCTGAATCCAAGCATTGACATCATCCATCTTGTACGTCTTACCCAAGTCTAGACCAGGAACCTCAGCGTCAGTCAAACCATGGACGTTGATGATTTTGCGGAGCAAAGACTCGTACTTCGAGACGTTGTACTGCTGAATCTTAGCCGCAACTTCCTTGATGTACTGGAACATATCCTTGAGCAACTCCTTCGGGTCATCGCTGACGAAGCATCGCACCTCCTCAGTCAAGCTGTCGGCCACGGTAACAGACACAGGAATGTGTTCGTTTGTGAAGATAGTATCCTCTCCGTTTTTGACACCCGTAGGCTTGAGGATAGCCTCAAAATCATAGACAATGAAGTGATCGATGTAATGGTCAGCATCCTTGATGGAGTACTTAGTCAGCATGTAACGAATGCTGTTCGGAGCGGGTTGGTAAATGGTTGGCTGAGCTGGGAACGATTCGATGTTCACGAGTTCGCATTGGTTCTTACTGTGGTTACGTAGCTTATCAGAGCTAACAAACACCATCTCACACGTAGAGCATTGGTACTTCTGCTGGAGCATATCAACGTTCGTGATGTAGAGAGCGTGATTCTCGTGCGACAGGATGTTGATCGAATCATAGTCCTTGTCCGAGCAGCGAATGCATTCAACCTTGCCCGTCTCAACATCCATGTTGAAGACGTTGATGTTCAGCTTGAAGCACTCCTCAAGCTCATCGAATTGGAGAATGTCGATAGGCTTGAAATTGCGGAACAGACCCAGAGTGTAGGTGATCTCCTTGTACGAACAGTGCTGCTTGAAGGCTTGTTTCACCAGAGCCTGGATTCTACGAGGATCCTTCTTGGCTCCCTCCTGCTTGTGATAAGCAATGCAGTGGAAGACACACTTGTTGTTCGTCTTGGGGAAGTTGATGACGTGCTTGTTATTACGAATCGCCTTAGGAATGACAGCCTCGCTATCACCCAGAGCATGGTCGCGTTGGTAGATATAGATTTTGAAGCCAGTAATCCCCTTCACCATGTACCCGGAGCTGGGGTAGTTGAGCTTGTCAGCCAACTCCATGGAGCGAATCTCCGAGATCACCTTCTTACGAATATCAGCCTTGCTGTTGATAGCTACAGGAGTGCTAAATACAGACGTGTTGCTAATATTCGGGTGGAAGTAGCGAGTCTCGCTGTCATCGGTTCTGCTGACAAGCTTGTATCCAAGAGCGATGTTGACCTTGAAGGCAGACTTCTGGGTTGCAAGCACGTTCTCAAGCTTGTCGTAGAAGTCAGCAGGCTGGATTCCCTCATATAGGTGCGACTCCATGTGTTTGCCTTGGTAGAAGCGGTACTTACTGTCTTCCTTGAAATCAGCAGCCAAATTCTTTTGGAGCTTGCCTAGACTGATCTTGTACTGCTTCGCTACCAATTTTAGGAAAAATTAATTATTCAATAAATTATGTCTAGAAGTAAATATAAAGGTCCATTTTTTTTAATTCTAATAAAATTATCAAAAATACTCAAAATCATAATGATATACACTAAAAAAATTACAAATCCAAATAGAACTCAAATTAAAAATTCTATGGAATCTTTAATACATCATTTTAAATATTATTCAGAAAAAAATGTTATGCTTGGTATTATACGGAATATCAGTTTATTATTTATTTTAAAACCAAAAATTGACTAAATCGTTTTTCATAAATAATGATTTCCATTTTTATTAATCAATCTGTCATTTCCTTTAATGATTGGTGCTCCAGATATGGCTTTTCCTCGTATGAACTTTTTTATTATATTTATTAAAATAAATGTTTTTTTTAATTTTATCAAAATACATTTTTCTATTTAAAAAATTATAAAAATAAAGACCATATTCTGAAATTTTTAATTTTAATTTATGTTAAAAAAATTTCAAAATAAGATTAATAATTTAATAAACACTATTAAACAATTTTATTAGAATGTACATTAAAAATAGCTTTTAATGAATTTCTTGATTAAAAAATATAAAGATGAAAAAAGTTTACAAGAAACAGGAAAAAAACTAAAGGAAAACCTACTCGTAAAAAAATAAAAAAAATAATTATTCAATAAATTATAGTTTCAATTTGTAAAAAAAAGTTTTAATGTAATACTAGAAATTTTAAATAAACGATAAATACTTTTAGAACGTCCAGTTAAAACACATAAATTTTTAAATTTTTGGTTGATGGGGTGGGAAATGTTGCTAATGTATACCATGCGCCCCGTCTTGCCACGTACCTTAATACGGTAGCTGCTACCCCATCGGATTGGGTTAATATTTAATCTCTTAAGACCTTCAAGCTCGTATGCGAACATTGCTATATATCGGTGGCTATATTATTCTCCGAAAAAACGACTTTATAATATTGGGTCTTGTATCAGGATTGACTTTATATCATAGGCGACTTTTTATCCGAGGAAAAAAATTAATTAATTAATTAAGTTCGGTTTCATTATTAAGTTCGACTTCACCATCAATAAGTTCGGTGTTGGGTTTACGCTTGCGAGCTCGAATCTGGTCTCTGTTCTTGTCATCGTTGTCTTTTTGATAAGATAAACGGGCTTCGCGTGTGCGCTGGTAGTAGCGCTTCTGCGCTGCTTTGATTCGTTCCTTGCTAGCTTGGTATTGCTCAGGAGAGTACGCCATCTTTGTATATTACTAACTTTATATTTATCAGGATCAAAGTATGTCAAGAAATCAAATACTACTTCGAAGTATTTAACTCGGGAGCCACATTATTCCATTCAATCGACCGCAGGAGTCATATCCCAAAAGCTTCTCCAACGCTCCGCATTATCGTCGTGCTTCCACCTCATGCACAAACAAAATGTTTCTGGATCCTCCACGTGAACAAACGTCTTCATCATGAGCGGATCGTCCGTCGTGGTTGATCCTCCTTTCAAACGACTGAAAACGCGATCTGTGCACTGAGCATCCAGAACCTTCACGAAGACCTCGACCTACACGCAAATGTCAGTAAACTTACACACACCAGAACTACGCGCTCACACAGTACCTTGCGTCTGTTGCCAATGGATTGATTCTCTTCAACAGATCCGGGTAGCATGTTGACGATGGGAACCTCAATGCTCATACCGTCGAACCAACCATGCATTTCGCGAGAAAGCGCAAGCCTGTTGTTTGAGTCGCGATCGTACTTGGCGAATTCCCGTTTGTGGTCTCTGCTTTGCTTTCTCGACACCAAATGGCAGCTTTCTGCCTTGCCGTACGGTAGGAAGAACTTCGCGTCCTCAATCCGCTGAAAACGAAACTCGTCAGTCGATGAGTCCAGATTCGAAACGCTTGTAGTCAACGATATCGATGAAACTGTGTTTTGAGGAGATTCCGAATCGTCTGGAACGTAGTCGCAGTAGAAGACGCGCTGGAGATCAGTAGACACAGCGTTAGCTGGTGCAACACGCGTCTCAACAACCTGGTTAGTTAACGGAGAGCCCAGCGTTTGTGGCCCAGTCCTTAAGTCAGTTTCGAACAGCAAAGCAGCATCTTCTATAAAAGAAACAGAGTTAGCCCTCAATGAAGCAGTATTACGATGCAGCGACAGCATATAGAAGCACGTACTTGTCTCGAATAAAACATGAAAACACAATTTCTTGTCTTCATACCAAAACGCGACATTCTTGTTGCCGATGCAGCGCGTAGGATCGTAGTATCCAATGCGTAACGTCGCCATCCAGTACAGTTTGCAGCGAATCCCTTTCGTGTTCAGCGCGTTGTCAACGGATCCAGTGACAAGCCACAATCCAGTTTGTGCGTGTTCTTGCTCAGGAACCTTCACCAGCACGTGAATCTGGTCCGTTGATGGCTTCTGCATGCCCTTCAACACTTTCTGCAGGCCAGACTCCCCCTGTAGCTCCTTCTCTTCGCTTGTTAAAGCCTCAACTGCGACAGTCTTCTCGCCCTTCTTCAGCTTCTTCACATCTTCTGAGTCGGACACGAGCCACGCGCCGCCCTCCGTCTTCGCCAGGAAGAGCTGCAGGTCACATGCATCGATGTCCTTCAGCTTGTTCGTCTTCTTCGCCTTGATCGCGTCCTTCAAGTCGTCCACCGTGTCGCTCTCATTCACTCGCACCGAGAACGCGCTGCCCGCCACGCCAACGATCGCGCAGAAGAGCTTCACCATCTTTCCTCGAGCCGGCAGATTCTGGAATGAGGAGGTAGAATTTCTGGCGTACTTAAGCGAACATGAAGGTGTGTGACATAGATTTTCAACCAATGATGAGACGCCACGTCGCGCTGGTCCGAACTACTAGTAAAATCTGCCGGCGTAATGTTCTATTGGTTTATCAATGTGGTTTGAACGAGCGGTCCCGAAACGCCGTAAGGTCCAAAAGACGTGGCTCTCGCTATAAAGTGGGCGTCGTCAAATCAACGTCTATTAGATCTGACCGGTTCAGAGGTTCTAAAACTACCCTCATATCGAAAAGACGTGGCTCTCGCTCTCGAGTGGTCGAGAGGGGTCGTCGTTGAAATCGCTGCTGTCCCGAAAGAAGGTTTCAGGAATGTTCTCGGTGGTAAATTATGGTAAGGAAAAAAACTGCCGGCGTAATGTTCCATGACCCACTACTAATATGCGGTCAAAGTCTCCATCGGAAGCTGCGCGATCAAGCGCCTTGGTCGTGCACCCCTCAACTCGATTAGCCTGCAACCACTGCACGATCTCCAACGTTTTGGCCTCGTCCATAGCCGCAGTGGTGCAGCCTTCCGACCGGTTCTTGTGGAGCCACTTGGTGACGTCCAGCTTGCAATTACGAGCAGCTCCATCCATCGCAGCGGTTGTGCAGCCCTCGGTTCGATTTGCATGCAGCCACTTGACGACTTCCAGGTGGCCCTTGATGGCAGCAGCGTCCATTGCTTTCGCCGTGCACTGAGCGTTGACCTGTCGGTGAAGATACTTGACGACTTCGAGATTGCCGTTTAGAGCCGCCCCAATGAGAGCTTTGACCGTGCATCCTTCGGGTCGATTGTGATGCAGCCACGCCACGACTTCCAGGTGTCCTCTGCTCGCTGCGAAATCCATGACCGCAGCCGTGCACCCTTCCGACCGGTGAGTGCTGAGCCATTTCACCATCTGCAAGTGCCCATTTGCTGCCGCGAGGTCCATGGCTCGCGTCGTGCAGCCTTCGGTCCGCTTGGAGTGAAGCCACTTTACCACTTCGAGATGGTTATTAGCAACAGCTTGGTCCATCGCTGCAGTCGTGCATACCAGGCTCGTTTTGCGCGATACCTTTGCCTTCTTCTTGGCTTGTCCGTTGGTTTTGGTGGTGGTGATGGCTCCGACCGATATTTTGTGTAAATATCTGAGCAGTGGAAGTTCTCCACGTCGCGCTACCGTGTCAAGACTCATCCTTTTCTTCTCCGACAAACTCAGTTGGCTAGCACCGAACAAGTTGAATTCGGAGCCGAACGTGGTGACCAGCCATTGTACAGACTCGAAGTTACCGCGTTCAATCGCTGCGATCATGGCTTTCGGTGAGACCCACAGTGCATCACGATCACTTTTCGAGAACGGGCATTGCACTGGATAATAGTGCGCCGACACGATGCTGGTCCAGTACTTGCTGTGCAGCTGTCTTGCCATGTCAAACTTGCCCCCGTATATCCAGCCTCAGAGCTCGACCGGCCTCTACCAACTTGTTGCTGATCAGAAACTCCACAATGTCGAGGCGATTGGTCTCAACCGCGGGGCGAACCGCTAGGTACGTCGACTTGTTCACGTAGCCATTCTGGACCATCCACTTCAAGACGTCAAGACGACCGGCAAACACTGCCGTCCGTATGAACTCCTCAGGGTCCCCTCGCAGGAGCTCCCCCACGTTTTCACCCGTCAGCGCTCCTTCGTTCCCGAACCCGAACTCATCGTATAAGTCCAAGTCCTCACGATCACGATCTGCTTCCGCCAGCTCGTACTCTTCCTCTTCCGTGTCCGGGTCGAACCCCAGAGTGCGATAGTTAGCACGAAACCACTCGAGCAGCGCGATGTCTCCGTGGTGCACCACCGTCATGAGCGTGCTCTTCATGGCTCGAGGCGCGCAAGTGTTCTGGTAGAGCCACGTAGTGGTCTCGTACTGCTTATTGGCAGCGGCGTGCTCCATATCGTGACGCCCCCAACGGACGACGTGGCCCTTGTCGTTCTCGATCTCGTCCCTCATGGCTGCGCCTCCGTCCCTCCTCCCAGGGATCTCAATCGCCTTGAAGAACTTCAAGACGTCCAGGTTCCCTTTGCCCGCAGCTGTGTGGACGGCGGTGACGGGGACGATGCAGCCGTGGAACTTGGTGCAGAGCCACTGCACCATCCGCAGCGCGGCCTTGGCGTCCTCGATCTTGACAGCTTCCACGATGGCGCGACGCAACTGGAAGCGGCGGTAGTGGCGGTCCGTGCGCAGATACTTGCGTCGGGTCCACGAGCCCCCGTTGCCCGGACCCACTTCCGCTGGAGACGGGTGCGTTTCCGGTAGCGAAGAGTCCCAGATGCGGTCCAGCAGGCGGAGGGAGTTGAACGTGCAGGCCTTGCACAGTTCCATCTCCACTGCAGCGTCCAGGAAGGCCGTAGGGCGGCGGAGGCGTGGATGCAGCGCGAACGGAACACCAGCGTCACGGCCGTGAGAGGGTCCGGGGTCGGCAGCCTCGCCATCTTCTTCTTCGTCTTCGTCTTCTTCTTCGTCTTCTGGACGTGAAAGGCACGCGGCGAGTTGCGGAATGAGTGGGAGTTGGCATGGCGCGCGGCCAGCAACTTCAAGACTGATTGATGACCCCAGATTCTCACACGTCACAGATTCGATTTGGCGTGGAGCACACAATTTATGCTGTGAAAACACTAAATTTCGCTGACTTGATCTCACTATGCAGTTTTGATTCGTAATGAGAAATTACGTTGGAGAGACAATCTTCGTGATGAAAAGCGTAAAAATAAGTGTAGTTCATGTACGTGTAGCAACATGCGAGCGCAGATAAGGCCGTTCCTCCTGGCTGTAGCATAACATTCGTCAACGAGCATAGGGGGACGTTAATACTGTAAGAAGCTGCTACTCTACGCCCGTACCAAATCCTCATGGGCTGCTACGATCCATTTCGCTGATGTTAAAACTAGCGCCGCGTACTTGACGGAGTTACATGTACATGGTTTATCGAGAGCGAGGAGTTTTCTGATGAAGGTCCGCCAAATAAATGTGCCTACGTTACATTAATTCAAGGATCTCGCCGAGAGGCGGGAGCCATCTTCATGGTGCGATAAAGACACAGACTGTATCATACACTACAGTACTAAATGAGAATAAGGAGTCGTTGTCGTCCGAAGCCGACTTCTCTATCAACGTAAGGGAATACTTGTGCATGGCGATGGCTTTCTGGACGTGGGGTCCAACGTGGAACAGACAATCCGCTGGTCGACTGGTGCAAGTGAGATGCTGGAGTGACAACACCTCTGTCGTCACTTGGTGCAACAAACTTCACGCAAGGAACCAGTTCAGCCAAGAAATAAATAGGTGCATCGGCCTTGGGGAAGCGTACTATAATCTCAGGATATCTGCTGAGCACATCGCGGGTTAATCAAACTGGATGGCGGATGCCGCATCACGTGCGTGGGCCGAACCCTATCTAACAAGATGGACTAACTTTTCGTCGTGTTGGACACAGTCTCCAGTCCCAGCGCATTGCAGGAAAATCTACACGGGCTTCTTGAGCAACTTCAGTCCCGCTCAGTGGCCGCGGCGTCGGCATCAAACTATAACGCAACCTGGAATCAGTGGTGTCAATGGTGTGACTGGCTTAATTTTCCAAGATGGCTCCCCGAAAGCCCCAGCCAGCACTCCTATCAACTCGCCCCATTTGCCGTTTACTGCTGGAGATTCGGCTGGAGTAAATCAGCCATTGGAAACACTGCCGGTACCGTGCTCTCAAAAGTTAGTCAGATCTCGTGGCATCATCGGCGATAACTCGGATACAGCGTCAAACTACTGCCCGGCCACCAGCTCGCAATCGCTGAGATGCGAAGATCAGACCCAATCGGCAGCCCAAAATCCCCAGTTACGGCGACTATCCTCAAACGGTTGCACGAATCACTCGACTTCTCGTCAACCCAGAACCGAGTCATGGGGGGGGGGCTTCGGTGCTGGGCTTCTTCTTTCTTTTGAGGCGATCTGAATATCTAACGCTTGCCTCAAATGTGAAGTCATACGCGATTCGACGCTCGGACATGAAATTTGTGAAAAGCGAGGAAAAAGAAGTCGAAAATCTACAAGAAGTACCTGCGGTAGTGATACACTTCCGTGGGAGCAAGTCTGATCAGTTCGGGAGCGGCACCAGTCGCAGATTGCAACATTCAGGTGCCCGGTGGTGCTGTCCGGTCCTCGCTGCGTGGTATTTGGCGAAACATCATGACAAACTTGGCATCGAGAAGGCCTCACTACTCTGCAAGATTGATGCATGCACAAATCTGCAAGTCAATCAAGTGGTGACGGCGATCAAGCGTGCAGCGGAGCTCGCTGGCCAAAATCCTGAGCAGTACGGTTCACATTCACTGCGTAGCAGCGGCGCCACAGCTCTATTAAGCGCAGGTTACGACAGTTTGGCGGTGAAATTGTTTGGGTGGGGGAGGTCAGACGCGGTTGAGCGCTACACACGGATCGGCGGGCGTCTCATGGAGAAAATGGCAGCTGAAATGCTGGCAAAGCCTGCTTTGAAGTGAGATATTGGGGTCTCCCCCACGCCACTCCCTGGCTGTGGAGGCACTTCAAATCTAACTTCTTCGTTTGTGCCATTTGATGGCACGCCCCCGAATCAAGAAGCAAGGATGGCTGAAATATAAGAGGTACTCGCTCGCCTTCTTTTATCTCGTAGTCACAGAGAACCAACAAGTCGTCAGGTCTCCGGTCGGACTGGTCTGAATCGTACATGGCTTTCTTGCAGAACTCGATGACCGGTTGGATAGAGTCATCGCGATTCTTCGAGCGCCAGCGCTTAACGTAGTTTTTGACTTGGTCCTGCTTGGTTGACGGTCCTCGAAAATCACCGGTCTAAACTTTGTCACAGATAAGAGAAACTAGGACGTATGGAAGCACGGCTGAGACCTCTCCTAGCTTGGCTCCAATGTAAGATTTCATTTCTGCTGTGAGAATAGGGTCCCTTGGAGATGCGAGAACCGAGTTATCCATGGTGTGAGCACCCTCGACAAAAACGACCGCCGCATAGTTCACCACACAACATAGGATTTTGTAGCGGCAGCGGCACTTGGCTAGACTATTCTTGCATCGTGACGAGCTACATTCCGTCACAATATACCGCATGTCATGAGGCAAGGCAACAAGATCGGTCTCTCCACGGACAGCATGACCAACTCAACAGTTCGTAAAATTGTTTTTCCTTTTGGCGAAACTTGACATTGTGGACATGAACTTTTCCCACGCGTCTCGTTGGATTTCTGCATTTGGTGGGGGTGTCCAAATACTCGTCCAAGGAGGACGTCGACTTCGTGCCATCCCGCACCTCCACACGAAGGTTGATTTACACCGCTGCAGCAAACTACAGACTGATACAGACTGAATAGCCCGTGATATTTTTATCGGGAGGCACATAAATGCCAAGATTAGGACTCGGCACTTCGCCGAGTTCTAGTTGCAGTGCAACTCGGCCCAGTGCCGAGTTATTCCCCAAGCGTAACTCGGCACACCAACCCCTCGGTGTTGGGGTCCAAATCTTCAGTGTTTCCGCCCCCCAACTCGGCACATGGCGGACCCCTAGTTTTCGGTGCTGACATCCATTTTTTCGGTGTTTCCGACCCTCACTCAGTCCAGGAACTGGAGTTCCTGGACTCGTCGGTCGAGTTGCCACTGCACGAGGCCTGCGCCTTCGAGTCTCTACGACCGCTGGAGCGCATCTGGGCCGCCTCTAAAGCTTATCACAAATGAAGGAGGCAGCTTTTCTATCGGTCGATGTTTTGGAACCGACCGGTATTACCGCCAGTACCAGTTCAACCGGTCCCTGCAAGAGGCGGTGAAGCGGAGGCATCTAGCGATGGTCATGTGGCTGTCCCAGATTCTCCATCGAGGGTCAAGTGGTGGCGGCAGCCGCCAGTGTCGGGTCCATCGAAATCTTGGACTTCTTCCGTTCGAACGACAATACGTCGTTCATGCAGCGACTGACATGACGATACAAGGTGTTGTGGGACATTGAGTCTGCTGGGGCCCTGACGCGCTGGAGGTGGCCGTACTGCATGGCCACAGTAACGTCATGTGGTGGCTACTGCAGCACACACCGGACAATGGATACGACATGGATAAGGCGCTTCACTACGCCGTGAAGAACGGAGACATTGCTCTAACAGAGTGGCTGACGTCTCATGGTGGTGCTGACAGTCCGAAGGACACAATATAGTGCACGAGGTGGCAGCTCAAGGGCGTCTTGATGTGCTCAAGTGGATGCAGAAGAAGCGAGGCGTGGTGACAAATAATCCTGGGGTTTTGCTGATGGCGGCGGAGAGAGGACACTGGAAATGGTGCGCTGGCTGCAGGATTTGGACGCGGGAAGCAATGGCAGTCACATCACCGATCTGGGTGAGGCGAGTCTTGCTATTCACGTTGCGGCGGTGAATGGGCATCTACAAGTAGCAACATATCTTTGGGCGCGGGCACTGACACCTGTGAGCACTCTTCAACGCGAAGAAGCACGGTTGGAACAGGCGATTCAGTTACGACGTTTGACCGAGGCACTCGGTGGATCGTGCACGGCTGCCAAGGTCACCATCGACACTGTGATCGAAGCCGGAAAGAATGGTCATGCGGATGTCGTGCAATGGCTCTTGGCGGAGTACCCAAAACTGAATTTCGGCGATCAACAGACACCCACCGATGAAACCCCGATGGATGCTATTGCTGCGCGTGGGCATCTCAACGTACTAGTGGTAGTGCAGACGATGAACGTTAACGCAGATAGTCGGAAGCGCAACAGGGATGGATCGCGTAAGGGAGGTCACGTTTGCACGAGTAAAGCTATGGATGACGCTGCGGCTAATGGTCACTTGGATGTGGTAAAGTGGCTTCATGAAAATCGAGACGAAGGATGCACAAGTCGCGCAATGGATGGTGCTGCAATAGGAGGCCATCTACGTGTGATCCAGTGGCTACACGAAAACACGTCGCAAGGATGCACGACCGGCGCTATGGACGGAGCTGCTGTCTATGGCTATCTCGATGTTGTGAAATGTCTGCACTTCACTACGAACGGTGATGGACGGAGCGGCAGCAAGAGGGCACCTTCATGTTGTCCAGTGGTTGCATGAACATCGCGGCGAAGGATGCACCGTCGTTGCGATGGACGGAGCAGCGAACAAGTGAGCGGGTCTTTCATATTTTTGTTTAAATCTTACTCCCCTTGGTACATACTACTTGAAACTAAAGACCGTACGGCAACAATTCGGTATTTCCGGCGAAGACGGAAATTAAGTTTTCCTGGAAGAAGGAGAGGACCTCGGCGCTCGTGGTCGACGTGCAACTCGACCAACAACTTCAAGCCGTCAAGTCGCAGGCGGGTCAGCTGGCAACCGGGCTCAACCCACGGTTCTGACCCGGCTGTTGTAGGATAGAAATAGCAGTCGTTCTTGGAGGAGTTGCCTGGCCATTCGCGGTCTCAGACACAAGCTACCCAGGGAGCACCGGCACGACGCCGCGTGCGCCATTAGGTTTTAGACCCACCACACCACTCCCTAGGCTGCCTCAGCTCGGCTCACTCATTAGCTTCCCCGAGGCTTGCCTTCGATAACCAAGAACGTGCTGCTTTGCCCCCAAACTGGTCGGAAAGCGTTCATTAACCACAAATGGCAGACGTTCCACAACTCATGGAAACATTCACTTGAACCCATGAAGTATCCTTCATTCACCACCCTATCCCCGCCGAAATCGAGGGTAGTTTCCGAGAATCCAGGCATAAATCCCTGTTTCGCTCGTGTTGCGAGCCATTGCCACAGTCTCTGCCGTGCAAACTTGCTTGCATTGAGAGTTGAAAAACAACAGCAACTCACAATTCCCGCGAAGTGTCGCAGTGTTTATAGCAAGGCTTGAACAGCCTTCGCGTGTGGAGCCATCGCACGACAGGAAGCGGGCCGAAGTCCATCGCCGAAGTCATGCTGCATGCAATATTTCCCACTCAATAATTTATTGCCCGTCGATAGCAAAAATCTCTCAGTTACTTATTATGGACCAGGTGCTGCGATTTACACATTCCTAGTGATTATAAATATAATCGAATATAAATACCACTACAATAATTTATTTCACGAGATTCCAGCTTCAAACCAATAGCTAATTTCAACTATGAGCTGAAATACTATTATCGGAAGGCCTGGTCATACGGATTCCTGTGCAGCCACTTCACAGCCCCATTCTTCGACTCGGATTTTGCGGCAATCACTGTACGATTTCAAGAAGTTTGTTATTCATGTACAATCTTCCGAGCGGTACCCTGGAGCGAATTAAGACCACCCAGTTTGAGACTGCGAGCAGCTCCATTAATTACAGAGGTAGCGCATCCCTCGGTCTGTTGTTCATGCAACCAATTGTTGGTAGCGGTATCGCTGTGGCCGTGTGTATTAGATTCGTTTCGTGCGGTATTGCTTTCGTCTTGGCTTGACCGTTGGTTTTGTGCCTACGACCATTGATTTCGAGGAGACCCATAGTGAATCACGGTCATTTTTCGAGAACGGTTACTGCACTGGATAGCATGTAGTGCGGCGCCACAACGTTCGCCAAGCCCTTCTGATGTAGCTGTCTCGCCATTTCTAACTTGTTGACAATCATACATCCACAATGCCAAAGCTGGCGACGGTCGAGACAAAATGAGACGGTTTCAAACGAAAAGATGCTTACGAACCTAAGTATGAATCGCGATTTAACCGCATCAATCGACAGAGGCGTGTCTTGTGCTTCGTTTAAGCTATCGAATGCTTTGAAATGTTAAGAACTCGCGGAGTGACATCGGTCTAGAAAAATTATCTCCATTTTCGGACCCCCTAAATTCACGATTTTATTTGGGACGTGTGACCTCAATATTTTTTTCAATTTTAATGTATTGTATATTATTGGAAAGCTCGCGCTAACAGCAAGCGATTCCGAGTGGTTTTAAGCTTTTTCCGTGCGCTTTTCACTTTCGAAAATTTGATGTCCGGTTATTTCCGAAAATTGATTGGTCAACTTCAAACGCGATTATCTCGATAACTCCAAATGGCGCCTAAGCATCATTTCGTTTGAAACCGTCTCAAAAGGAACCTGCACCTTTTAGAAATTAAAACATTGTTTTGGGTCTGCAGGTATTGGATTTCTACGACTAAACTTTACTTCTCGCACATGCGGACCCTAGGTCGAGGCTGCAAAATCGAATTGTGTAGTCTTGCACGACCAATACGACGAAAAGGTCGATGCAGAGTTCTTAAAGTTAACACATGAACTGTTATCGCAATTAGAAAGCTATATCAACTACAGTACTACATTTACTACAAAAATCAATCGAGTGTAGCTCAAGTTTTTTTTTCTTAAAGGAGCATGGCATATCTAAAGCTAACGGTGATCCAGACGAAATGGCAGCAGCAAGTTTATTCCAAATCTTTTCGGGCCCTGATCACCTCGCTGGGGCATTAGACTTTCTTCCGAGTTTATCCCCCAGAAGTCACTTTGCTCACAAGAAGAGAATGCAACGTAGCAAGAGCGCCGACGTGCGACTTCCCAAGAAACCACAACAGATCATCCTTGTCATGCCGGTAAAGGTGCTTGTAGACCTCTTGCTGTACGTAACGAGATGCAAACACGAAGCTCTCCTTGCCATAACATTCGTTGACACGATAGTACAGCAGCCCGTGCAACTCGTAGTAGTCATCCTGCATAAACTTTACACACGCGCCAATTAGAGAGTTAAGGCTGATACTCCCAATCGCTTCCTGGAGCAGCCGCTGGTGTGAATCCGACTGAGCTAAGTGCAGAACATAGCGCGGGATGCCACCCCATCGTTGATAGCACTCCTCGACTTTCTTGATAGGAATATTGCTGGAATACAGCGATTCATGGCACTTGAGAATCTCCTCCTTCGACCAAGTTGGCATGTAGAGAGCGTTGACTCTCCCAAACAAGCAGCTGACTGAATACTGCGGCGTCGTCAACCAAACCGTCATACACGGGTTGTGGCTTGGCTTCCCACCATCGGAAATGTAGTAAGTCGTCGGTGTTCGGAGAATATTAGCGAAATCTTGATCAGATCCTCGAACCACCAGGCCAGGAGCGAACAGAATCCGGTCGCCCATACTTGCACTTTCGTAGACGAAAGTCGCTCCAGATCGAGCAAGAAACCTCAATAGGACAAAGCCAAAAAACGTTTTGCCCACACCAGAATTCCCGAGAATCAAAAGCTGCGGGTAGCTCTTCACGTCTTTGTCGAGTGTCTTCATTCCGATATCCAACAGTTTCGAGTAACAACGACGAAGAAAGACCTTGGAGCCAAGTGTCGGATCCCCGAGAAGATACGCTCCTTCTGGTAGGTTAAGCACGGTATCCTGATCAATCTGGGTAGAATCTTTTGCACACACGCTCCAAAACGAAACAAGCTCGGGTGGATTCACCTCCATGTACTCATTCGTCCAGAAAGAGGCACTTCCGACTTCAAATCGACTGTGTTGATCAGGATGCATGGGTGGAGGAACCACTACACAGAGTGGGTTGTCCGCGGTTTGACCTCGATGGCCTAATGTAGCCCAAACGTTTAGAGGCAGGTTTGCTTGGCATGCCTTGAGGTCTTCGTACACTCGAAGTTTGGCAGGAATCATGTGGCTTGGTAAATCACCGAAGCAACTCTGGAAAACAATTTCTTGTAGATCCTCGACGCTGCTTTCTTCACTGAGCGGAACGGAGATCACTCTCCTACTGGAAAACGTAGCCGGCGCTTCGGCTTGCACCAACTGGAGAAAGACTTCGGAAACTCTCACGACGAGTGGGTCGTCCTCAGCTTCCCCACAACCAATCAGGGGTGTTTCCAGTCGCAGAGGCGCAGTTGTACTTTGAGCGCGGAGGCGGAGGGGACACCTGGGGGAAGAGAGCGTCTGGCTTGGTTAAAGAGAACCCTGCGGAAGTCACCGATGTTGGTAGCATGGTCGGGTAGATGCAACGATTGCACTCCTCCGTTCCTTGCACCTGGTAAAATATTTTCCGCATCGTCTCGTTCTCGCAAATTCTGGGATTTATTTTATACTTTTCATTAAAAAACATCTAAAAACTACTTCATAAATTGTTGCGAAAGAAATTCCTGTGGTCAAAACGGATCATGGGGAGGAGGAAGTTTTATCAGCTGGTATCCGGCCCCGAGCACACAGCAATCGCGGGTGGCGTCGACTGGTTGGATATAGCCCACGACGCTGTACGTGCAGCTGATTTCTGCGCGGCTGTATTCGACCGAACCCGAGATCCTCTATCGCCGAGCTTCCGTGCCTCCGCGCTCACCGTATTTACCAGTACACGTCGGCGCCTGCAGTTGTTGGAGCCCTTGTGTGGCTTTGGAGATAGCAAGGATGACCCTCTCATCGTACAAGTTCCCAAGATTTGGTTCCAGTTGGTGGATGGCGGTACGCACGCTGCATTTGCTGGTACTAGTGTGCAGTCACTCCCTCTCGCTGAAGAGAGCAGCGTTGATATGCTATGGCATGCGGTGTTCCAGAAGGTTTTCCGCGCTCTACTGAACCACGTGCGTGAAGGCAAAAACCTTCGCGTGTACGACGACGTCGAAGCATACAAGGCGAATCGGCCGGTTGAAGAGGATGAAATGTCGGCTGCGTTGAATCAGCGAGGGAGGGCTCCAGACAACCTGCTCTGTGTAGTTGTACCACCGTCAACTAATCTTCAAGACGTGCAACTCGTTGTCAGTGGTGTAAGTTTCTGGGTTACTCAGGACATGGAGATCAATCCGCCGGAGCTGGTCTCGTTTTGGAAAGCGTTGACGCCGACATCGAACAGGGTCATGGCACCGTCATTGAGTTTCCGGAGGGTACTCACATTTTGGGGAGCCCACCGTTCGGGTCCAAGATCTTCATCCGCCAGTGTTACCCGGAGTTGCTGAAAATGTGCATGTCGACAGTTGATGATGAGACGAAGAACCTACCGCACGTTGTGATTCATGCCAATTGGGGGATAGGCAAAACCTTTTTCGGCTTTGTTTTACTGGTGTATCTTGCCCAGAATGGCGCGGCCGTTGTTTACGAAGACGTATTGATTGGTGGTCGCGTTCTATTCACCGCGGATCTGGTCGTCCGAGGTTCGTCTCGTGATTTTGATAGCATTTTGCGAAGACCTTCAACGTACTACATCGTGGATGACGTTCGCCCGCGCTACTACGCGTGCGAGACAACTCTGTTGACGGGACTGAGACGGTCAGTCTTGGTATGACTTCTGCCTCACTAAGTGTGAAGTTTTGTACATGCCAGTATGGTCGAAGGAGCAACTTCTGGCCTGCCATGCGTTAATGCATACCGACACAGTTCCAGTCGAGAGATTGGAAGAGCGCTATTTGAGATGGGGTGGCATTCCACGGAATGTTTTCAAGTTGGCTCTTTCTAAATCGATTCTCGAAGTCACAATTAATACTACTCATGGTGAAAGCGTGTGAAATGGTGGATGCAGATGATTCGGAGGACTTGAATCATTGCTTCACTATCACGTCGATGAACGGTTCCGTAACGTTTTCGTGGATTTCGCATCCCAATACGTTCGGAACGAGGTCTACAAGCGCCTTCTGGAGCTGAACGATGGAAACCTGCTGGTAGTCATTGCAGAGTCGCGTGGTGTTGGTGCCATCGCATCGTTGCGCGGCTTGCTTAATGAGGGTCAGGAGCAAACGTTTCGCGAGCTAGTGGCGGAAATCTAGTATTGAGGGTTTCAGCTTGCGATAAGAAACTACAGTTCTCTAATAATTCTCGTACTTCATACTTTTTTATTGTAGTAGACACTACGGTTGATTTCGTTATGGAGAATACAGTTCGGAGAGGCACTGGCACCTTCACAGCATATTTCAATACCTTGGTCATGCTTACTAAAGAAGTAATGCATATTCTGTGAACAGTAGGCTACGCAGTACAACAACCCCGTCCGAAACAGCAATAAATTTAAAAAGTTTTGTATGCGAAATTGTGTGGATCCCGTTCAGTGATAAAAACGAACATTTCTTTAAAAGAGTTTATCAACGCGACCGTGCATGTCGTGGTTACCATCATCGTTTAGAATCACACAAGCAATCCAAGTTAGCACAACGCATTGCTCCTTTTAGGCGAGACTGACGCAAGAGACCGACCGACCAGGTATTAGATTTTGCGATATCATCACCAATCTCCAGTTCAGGATAGGAATTTTTGTAGGAATCTTGGCGGAATAGCTTGCTTCATCAGACCTCAGAACTTCTTCTTTCAACAATAACTGGTACGTAGAAACCCCGCACTTAGTCACGCTAAAGAACTCGAACAGGATTCACATTAACAGAAAGCGTTGCCCCGCAAAATGTCGAAAACGACTTCAGGGCGAGTCCGGGCCAGCTGAAGTAAAAGGACAAAATATAACCAAAAATAGTTATATCAACCCCGACACGTGGTTTGCATTCTATCACTACTGTAATGCGTCTGCAACATGGCTGAATCGAAGGTTGCTTCATCTAACCAGGACTCACCCGCGGGGCAACGCATTCTATTCTGACCTGTGAAACCGGCTCGAGTTCAGCAAACTAGCTGCGGGTTTCTATATACCCGTTCTGGCCGGAAAAAAAGTTTTCAGGTGTCATGAAGTAATCTGTTCTGACAAATGAAGATTATAAAGGTCTCTTTTTGTTTCACAAGCAGAATCTAGAATTTGGTCGCCGGCGCTCTTGCGTCGGTTTGGCTTACGCGCTGTGTCAACTCGGACTGCTTGTGATACTAGATGCGGATTACTACGAAGTATAACGACTTGCATGATATTCTGTATTTTTGCGTTAATAAACCGTTACAGAACATTCACAATAACATTGGCAGTACCGTGTGGCTTACTGTTCAAAGAATATGTATTAATGCTAAAATGGGATTTCGAAATCGACAATTAGCTAATAACCAGAAAAACGCGGAATGGATGCCAGACCGGATATGCGCTATTACAAGTTTTCAATATGATGTTATTGTATAGGCAACCCGGAGCGTTGCTCCGGGAGGGTACACAGGTCGACGAATAGTTTCATGGACGATGATAACGGATAATAACTGAATAAATCCCAAAGTTGTATTGTTTTTAATCCTTAAAAGCACAACCAGCCCAACTCTTTAGTTGACTCTAACGTGGGCATCTACTGCGCCTGCTTCGCAGGCGCAGCATCTGCCCGAGAATGCGTAATTGAACAAATAGTTGCGCACATCGAAGTGTATCGATACGGAAATGATGTTTCAGCGAGGCTGGTAACCAGCAAGCCCCGCTCTTCTTTATCGTGGTGGGTTCTCAGGGACCGAAAGTCCCCAATTGAGGTTACCTGGTGTGATGAGGCCATCGGTGACATAACACCCTGGTCAGCGTCCAATGGCTGCGTTGATGCCAGCAACGGGCTATTTCATTCATTTTGCAGGTAAGGCATAGTGTGCTCATTTAGTACTTATGTTGTGTGCTAACGACCAGACGAGAGAGCTAGCAGAACGAAGGAGAGACGCATGGTGCGCTAATCTTGACCGTTTGACTTGAGGACTTGGGGGTGGGTAAATTGCGGAATGAGAAAATGGGCCAAGTCCTTGGAAGTGGCCGCTTCAACGCAGGGACAAAAGTCTTATTCAAACGAACGATGCTCGTGTCACTGTCAGGTTGAGCTGGTTGGTTTGGCGAGATAAGAGGTTGGGCATTTTCGGCAAAGAGTGATTGGGTATTGAGCAAACTGACATGTAAAAAATGCAGCCTGCAGCTAGACAAGTCATGTTGGTCATCTTCAGCAAAGCTTAGTCGATTATGCCGCAAATTGATACGCCTTCAGCGAAGCCATGACGCTCTCATAGTGTACTGGAGCGTCCGTAAGAGCAATCCCACCCGTTTGAACAAAACTAAAGTCAAATCTGCAGACTCGATTCCGGCAGATATTAGCTTAAAAATTAGAATTAAGAAAGAGAGACCCGGTTTGGTACCCGGTTTTGGAAAGCTACAAGATTTTTGCCGGGGCCAAGCACAGGTCTTCGACCTGTGAGCTTCAGTCAAGTAACTTGGTACTTTAGTAAGTTCTCGGGAGGCCAGCGGTGGTCTACGGAGCGACGACTAGTTTGATGTAGTATGCGGTAACCCGCGAGTTGATCAGACCTGGAAAAGATTTTGAATGACCGCAAAGATGCAGTTCCACTTCGTCTGGACCATTGTTAGCTTTAAAAATGCGATGTTCCTTGACGAATGGTAAGCTTCAGTCGCGCCCTGCCCTCATTCTCACGTTGCCACATCTTTTAGGCTGTAAATTGCGCAGTCCGAAGGGAGACGGATACGCAGCTACGAGGGACGATGCAAAGGCTTGTGAGGCCCACGTTGAAGTAGTGATCTGAAACATCTCGCCACTGTCGATCAGAATAAGGAATTTCCACCGCTCAGGTAGCTACTAAAGGGCTGCTGTCAGAGCGATTGCCACAATGACAACCTGCGGCCAAGCCAAGACAAAAAGAGCAGTCGGACGCGGAACTAGCCTGGTATGCACGTTTCGGGTGTTGCAAGCCAATCGGTCTTGGGCAGCCTCGAACGAGCCATGGAGCGGTAAGAAAAAATAGGCTAGCTCGAATGAATAATATCCGATGGGAATGACGCAGACGACGAAGATGCACCAGCGCAGCACGCTGATCACTTCCCGGGGGCGTTTTTAATTATTTAAATTTTACTTTCCGCGTTACTCGTACGTTATAAAAGTAGTAAGGTACGGTATCAAGCTCAATAAAAAAATCGCGTGTCGATTCAACATTTATTGTCTACTTCACTTTTGCCCTGGAAATTGTCACGAGTGCCACATTTACGTGAGCTTTCACATAAGCCCACGAAACATCCTCCATAGGGCTGCGCTATTCCCGCGGAGTCGGCCGAAATTGTGGTTAGTTGGCGACAAACCAGCAATAAATCCCTATTTCACCGTCACCAGTGTTGCGAGCCAATTCCACTGTCTCCGCCGTGCAAACTTGCTTGCATTGAGAGTGGAAAAACAGCAGCAACTCCCAATCCCTACGAAGTACGGCACTGTTTATAGCATCGCTTGAGTAGCCTTCCGAGAGATGAGTGTGGAGCCATTGCACGACATGAAGCGGGCCAAAGTCCATCGCCAAAGTCGTGCAGCCTTCAGACTAATTCCTGTGCAGCCATTTCACAACCGCCAAATTCCCATTCGCTGCTGCTCCGTCCATCGCAATGACGGTGCATCCTTCGCCGCGATGTTCATGCAACCATTGGACGACATGAAGGTGTCCACTTGCTGCCGCTCCGTCCATCGCCGTTCGTAGTGAAGTGCAGCCATTTCACAACGTCGAGATAGCCATAGACAGCAGCTCCGTCCATAGCGCCGGTCGTGCATCCTTGCGACGTGTTTTCGTGTAGCCACTGGATCACACGTAGATGGCCTCCTATTGCAGCACCATCCATTGCGCGACTTGTGCATCCTTCGTCTCGATTTTCATGAAGCCACTTTACCACATCCAAGTGCCCATTAGCCGCAGCGTCATCCATAGCTTTACTCGTGCAAACGTGACCTCCTTTACGCGATCCATCCCTGTTGCGCTTCCGACTATCTGCGTTAACGTTCATCGTCTGCACTACCACTAGTACGTTGAGATGCCCACGCGCAGCAATAGCATCCATCGGGGTTTCATCGGTGGGTGTCTGTTGATCGCCGAAATTCAGTTTTGGGTACTCCGCCAAGAGCCATTGCACGACATCCGCATGGCCATTCTTTCCGGCTTCGACCACAGTGTCGATGGTGACCTTGGCAGCCGTGCACGATCCACCGAGTGCCTCGGTCAAACGTCGTAACTGAATCGCCTGTTCCAACCGTGCTTCTTCGCGTTGAAGAGCGCCACAGGTGCCAGTGCCCGCGCCCAAAGATATCTTGCTACTTGTAGATGCCCATTCACCGCCGCAACGTGAATAGCAAGACTCGCCTCACCCAGATCGGTGATGTGACTGCCATTGCTTCCCGCGTCCAAATCCTGCAGCCAGCGCACCATTTCCAGTGTCCTCTCTCCGCCGCCATCAGCAAAACCCCAGGATTATTTGTCACCACGCCTCGCTTCTTCTGCATCCACTTGAGCACATCAAGACGCCCTTGAGCTGCCACCTCGTGCACTATATTGTGTCCTTCGGACTGTCAGCACCACCATGAGACGTCAGCCACTCTGTTAGAGCAATGTCTCCGTTCTTCACGGCGTAGTGAAGCGCCTTATCCATGTCGTATCCATTGTCCGGTGTGTGCTGCAGTAGCCACCACATGACGTTACTGTGGCCATGCAGTACGGCCACCTCCAGCGCATCAGGGCCCCAGCAGACTCGATGTCCCACAACACCTTGTATTGTCATGTCAGTCGCTGCATGAACGACGTATTGTCGTTCGAACGGAAGAAGTCCAAGATTTCGATGGCCCCCACGCTGGCCGCTGCGGTCACCACTTCACCCTCGATGAGGTAGCCCTTGAGTTTGGAGGACAGCCACATGACCATCGCTAGATGCCTCCGCTTCACTGCCTCTAGCAGGGACCGGTTGAACTGGTGATGGCGATAGTAGCGGTCGGTCCCGAGGCAACGGCCGAGAGAAAAGCTGGCGCCGTCACGGACAGAATTCTTTTTGTAGGCTCTGGAGGAGGTCCAGATGCGGTCCAGCAGCCGCAGAGACTCGAAGGCGCAGGCCTTGTGCAGCGGCAACTCGACCGACGAGTCCAGGAATTGTGAGACGGATGTGGTGGCGTGTGGCAGGTCGGTGAAGTCGCTTTTGGCACGGAAGAGCAGCTCCACGACGAGCAACGGAGGCACGACGCCCGGTTGCATCGTGTCATGCCATGCCATCCAGCTCTTGGCAAGACCCTTCAAAGTAGGCGGACCATCGTCGCTACATGTATGTATAGCTTGACTTCAGCAACTGGACGATGGCCCAGAAAAAAGAATTTCGTACGATCTTCGCACTGAATGAATCATACTTTAATGTACTTCATCCAAGTACCCAGTGCCATCTCCAACACCAGCACGACTTATGAATGCTCAAGAGGTATCGACAGCGTTAGGAATGGACTTAGAGTTGCGGCGCGTGGGCTTTATTGATGGGGCCGTGCGAGGAATTGCACGCATCACGAGTTAAATTTACTGATGAGGAACAAACATGCTCAAGCAATGAAACCACTCGTTTATCTAATTCCATCAGAGAGCACCCTACCCGACTTCCGCTCACTCTTGTCGAGTTGTGCCAGCTCTCAATTAGCCTTTCGTCCGGCTGGTCGTCCTGAACTCAACGACACTCGCTACTGTCAACTTCTCCGTCGATCAAGAAGCGACAGACTGCGAAACGAGAGACGCAAACCGCCCTTCCATTCCGTCTCGGCCGTTGTCAGTTTTAGGTATGTCATGCTCCTCAAACAATTATGACTGGGGGGGATGCTAGCTATCATGGTGTAACATGGTCAAAGTTGTTTTTACTTTCTAGAGAATATTCGCCGTAATTCATCATTACGCCGGAAAATTGCACACAAGTCATCCAAATTTAATGTTGACCACCCAAAATCGAATCTGTGACGTGTGAGAATCTGGGGTCATCAATCAGTCTTGAAGTTGCTGGCCGCGCGCCATGCCAACTCCCACTCATTCCGCAACTCGCCGCGTGCCTTTCACGTCCAGAAGACGAAGAAGAAGACGAAGACGAAGAAGAAGATGGCGAGGCTGCCGACCCCGGACCCTCTCACGGCCGTGACGCTGGTGTTCCGTTCGCGCTGCATCCACGCCTCCGCCGCCCTACGGCCTTCCTGGACGCTGCAGTGGAGATGGAACTGTGCAAGGCCTGCACGTTCAACTCCCTCCGCCTGCTGGACCGCATCTGGGACTCTTCGCTACCGGAAACGCACCCGTCTCCAGCGGAAGTGGGTCCGGGCAACGGGGGCTCGTGGACCCGACGCAAGTATCTGCGCACGGACCGCCACTACCGCCGCTTCCAGTTGCGTCGCGCCATCGTGGAAGCTGTCAAGATCGAGGACGCCAAGGCCGCGCTGCGGATGGTGCAGTGGCTCTGCACCAAGTTCCACGGCTGCATCGTCCCCGTCACCGCCGTCCACACAGCTGCGGGCAAAGGGAACCTGGACGTCTTGAAGTTCTTCAAGGCGATTGAGATCCCTGGGAGGAGGGACGGAGGCGCAGCCATGAGGGACGAGATCGAGAACGACAAGGGCCACGTCGTCCGTTGGGGGCGTCACGATATGGAGCACGCCGCTGCCAATAAGCAGTACGAGACCATTACGTGGCTCTACCAGAACACTTGCGCGCCTCGAGCCATGAAGAGCACGCTCATGACGGTAGTGAAGCACGGGGACATTAATCTCCTTGAGTGGCTTCGAGAGAAATATCCCACTCGGGGGTTCGACCCTGATACGGAGACGGAGGAGTACGAGCTGGAGGAACGAGACGCAATTCGATTCGTGGAGCCGTCTCGTCCGAGCTGGAATGGGAGGCCGGGGGACCTCTCGGGGGAGAACGTGGGCGAGCTACTGCGAGGAGACCCCGAGATCTTCATGCAGGAGGCCGCAGCTGCTGGGCAGCTTGAGGTCATGCAGTGGATGATCACGAACGGCTACGAGAGCAGCTGGAACTACCTGGCACTGGGTCCTGCGGTCGACGCAGACCGTTTGGATATTGTCAAGCTTCTGATCGACAATAAGCTGGTGGAGGCAGGTCGAGCGTTGCAGTCGTCAGCGGCGGCGTGCAACCTTGAGATGTCGAAAGAACTGTACACTGAGTACTGGGGGAAGATCACAGCGTCGCACTATTATCCAGCGCAGAGCTCGTTCTCGAAAAGTGACAATAACCCTCTTTGGATCTGCTCGGCTGTGATGACTTCAGCGATCGACGAGGGGAGTTTGGAGTTCGTGCAATGGCTCGTCGTCACCTTCAGCTCAGAGATCGACCTCTTTGAGGCCAGCTCGCTCACCGAGTGGGGGAAGAAGGTGCTTAGCCTCAACACGGCAGCTCGACGTGGAGACCTCCCACTGCTCAAGTACCTTCACAAGATCATGGTCGCAGCGAACGCCTCAACCAGCCGTCAACCGAAGAAGAAAGCGAGAGCTTCGCGCAAATGCGGGTTAACGTGCACATCTCGAGCAATGAACCAAGCCGCTGCTCGCAACCACCTCGATGTCGTCAAGTGGCTACACTCCAAGCGGACTGAAGGCTGCACAAAGAGTGCCATGGACCTCGCGGCGAAGAACGGACACTTGGAGATGGTGGAGTGGCTCGGTACGCACCGGTACGAGGGGTGCACGGTTGCCGCTATGGATGCCGCAGCGGGGAGAGGACACCTGGAAGTCGTCAAGTGGCTGCACCGTCATCGGTCAGAGGGATGCACGACACAACGCTGCAAGTGGTGGCCACCTGGAAGTCGTGGCGTGGCTGCATCACAATCGACCCGAAGGATGCACGGTCAAAGCTCTCTATGGAGCGGCTCAAAATGGACACCTCGACGTCGTTAAGTACCTCCATGGACAGGTCAAGGCTCAGTGCACGGCGAAAGCCATGGACGCCGCTGCTGCCAAGGGCCACCTAGAAGTCGTCAAGTGGCTGCATGAAAACCGCACCGAGGGCTGCACGGTCGCTGCGATGGATGGAGCCGCTCGCAATGGCAAGCTGGACATCATCAAGTGGCTCCACATGAATCGCTCGGAAGGCTGCACCAGTGCAGCTATGGACGACGCCAAAACGTTGGAGATCGTGCAGTGGCTACAGGCTAATCGAGTCGAGGGGTGCACGACCAAGGCGCTTGATCGCGCAGCGTCGGATGGAGACTTCGATCGCATTCTATTCTTGCACTCGCAACGCACTGAAGGCTGCAGGGGTGAAGCATTTTCGGAGACGTGTAAACACCCACTTTTTAAGGGCATGCGCAAACGAGTCATCGACTGGCCCACCGATAACATCAACGACTGGCTGGATGAACACTATCCCGATGAGAATTATGAGGATAGCGAGGAGAGGCTGGGCGTGGTCTTTGCGCAGGGGAACCTCTTCTTCATTGCCTGGTGAAGGTCGCACCATTACTTTGGGGAGCCTTGTTGGTATGTTCTGCTTGGCGATCCGTTCCCTAATACTAGTTTGGTCATTTTCCCAATTGGAGTGTGCTACCATCCCAACTATCAGCACAACATGTGCAACTCGGGGGCAGTGCAACTGGAGGTACACCGTGTCATCAACTAGAGTCATCAAAACCGACGAAGAGCGGCGAGGTCGATGCAAGAGACACTCGCATTGTGCTCACTTCTGACTTGGCCACCTTCCGCTCAAGTAATTCTCAAGACCCCCCCCCAAGATGGAGACCAAGTGGGCATTCCTGCAGCAGTGGCGGGAATCCCTTCAGTCTGTCCTCCAGATCCCTGAGACTGCCCACGACGCGGGACACATCCGCGCCTCCTTTCAATGTTGACCCGACGCACTGCCCGATGAGCAGAAGTTCGTCACCCCCGACACATGCGCGTAAACTTTCCCACCGATGCAAGACTCCTCAGTGAAAGAGACTCACTCCAACGGATCCGAGAAGCGCTGGAGCTCTTTGACTTCCTTCCAGCGGTCGACAACGCAGCCTTCGCGTCCCAGCTATCGGACTACCTGCTACCGTTCCAGGTGGGCACCGAATGGAGGCCTCACGACGGGGAATTGGCGAGTGGGGGCGTTGTCGCTACGAAGCCCATGGTGACGTGGGGCGAAATCTTCGGATGTCCGGACAACCCGTGGGAGAACTCGCAGGAGTTCCGCGCAGCCATGGCAAAGCTGGAGAAGAAGAAAGTGGGGAGGGGCGGCAACCACCATAATAAGGTTGCAACCAGCTTCTGGCGGGTCTTCAGCGACGCCATGCTCATGTTCAGCGGTCAGAAACTTGTGCGCGAGGGACAGAGAATTCGACCGCCGTCAATAAGGCACCATCAGTGTCTCTAACTAGATTTTTCTCCAGCCACTTCAGCACATCAAGGCGATCTTGAGCTGCCACCCCCTGCACGAGCACGTTTCCTGGTGTCATCACCGGCAAGCTGGCGCCGTGATCCAGTAACCACTCCGCCAGAGCGATATCTCCGTTCGTCACCGCGTAATGAAAAGCCTTGTTCCTATCGTAGCTAACATGTGGAACGTGCTGGAATAGCCACCACGCGACGTTGTTGTGGCCGTGCAACACCGCCACCTCCTGGGCGTCTCTGCTGCAATACACTCGATGCCCCACGACAATTTGTCCACCGGCAAATAAGGGAGCGGCACCCCGTGATAGTTGCTCCCTGAGCGAAGTGTTATCGTTATCGTGAATGAGCCGCAAGACTTCCATGGTCCCGACAGTGGCTGCCGTGGTCACCACTTGGGAGACGATAGGAAACCCCTGGAAGTTAGTGGATAGCCACTTCACCAGATCAAAATGTTTACGCTTCACTGCCTCCTCCAGCGACAGGTTGAAGTGGTTTAGGAGATAAGTAGTAGCGGTCGGAGCGGAGGTGACTCCGGAGAGACTAACTACAACCGCTATTGGTAGAATTGGCTTGGTTGAAGGCCTCAGAGGAGGCCCAGATGCGGTCCAGTAGTCGCAGAGAGTCAAACGCACAGGCCTTGTGCAACGGCAACTCTACCGACGAGTCAAGGAACTGTGAGACGGAGTTGGTGACGTGCAACAGGCCCATGAAGCTGCTCTTGGATCGAAAGAGGAGCTCCACAACAAGCAAAGGCGACACGACACCATGCGTGGGTTCATTCACGACAGGATTGTTGTCTATCTGATGAAGTGAATCTGTATTAAAAAAATGGTTTGCACTTAGTAAGGTGAATATTTGCTTCAGTTCACGCAAGAGTACAGCTTTACCTTCGTCTCGAAAGTCCATCGAGGTCACTTGTGCCGAATTCTTTTGTGGTGGAACTAATGGCTCTTATCAATAAAGTCGGTACGTCTTTTAAGTAATTCAATATACCTCATCATCATCACAAAAAATAAATAAATAAATAAAGTCGGTATCTTGTGAGAACATTTAAAAAAATATTACAAGAAAGTGATGCGTTTTGACTGTTTCTATCCATCTAAAACTACTGTCGTGGCTTCCTGTGAAAGGTGGGACTGAATAGGTTTTTTTTTCAGGCTCATCCTCCGAGAATATTTTTCAGCCGGCTCTAATCTTAGGAGTTGTATATATGTCTACCTGCACTACAGTTTTGCCGAGGGGAATCGGCTTCAAAATTCCATCGACTTTTAACGTAAATGTACAGTAGATGCATCGTCAGAAGAAACAAGTATTTCGAAGTAATAGTAAAAATAAAAGTCGCGGTGCCTTAGGTTGCCGCAGACAGCCGAAGCTTGCCGAGTGGTGTACAGTCGCGGTGACTCTGAATTACCGAGGATCGTCTGAGTCCATCGTAGTTGACTTGAAAGTGGTTTGGCAATTTACGCCGATCTTTTGACGAGGACGAATTGTTTCTCATGCAGCCCCCGTTCGTGTACGCAATTCTGGATAGTGGTCGAGCATCCACGCGTGAATCCTCGTTTCCTTGTGACGAGCAGCCAATTTCACGGTATCCGCGGTGCAGACATGTTTACATTGCGAGTGTAGAAACAGCAACAGCTCAAAATTTCCGCGATCGACAGCGCTGTTGATTGCGGCGCTTGTGCAGCCTTCCGAGCGATAGGAGTGAAGCCATTCCACTACGTGGAAGTGGCCCTGCTGCGCTGCCTGGTCTAACGCCGCTGTGGTGCATCCTTCACCTCGATTTCGATGTAGCCATTTCACAACCGCCAAGCGACCATTCTCTGCTGCTCCATCCAATGCTGCCACCTCCGAAGTGACCGGTATTACCGTCAATACCAGTTCAACCGGTCACTGTATGAGGCGGTGAAGCGTAAACATTTTGATTCGGTCAAGTCGCTGTCTGTCAACTTCCAGGGGTACCCGATCACCCCCATGGTGGTGACCGCCGCCGTCAGTGTCGGAGCCATGGACATCTTAAAGTTTTTCCGTGATAACGACAACATTTCGCTCAAGACGCAACTGCAAGCTACCAGTCCCAGCAAACGAGTTGTCGTGGGGCATCGAGTTCACTGGAGCAGAGACGCCCTGGAGGTGGCGGTGTTGCACGGCCACAACAGCGTCGTGTGGTGGCTATTGCAGCACGTTCCAGACGTGAGATACGATAGGAGCAAGGCTGTTCAGTACGCCGTCAAGAACGGGGACGTTATTCTGGCAGAGTGGCTGCTGTCTCATGGTGCTGTTTTGGTGCTGCCTATAGGACACAATTTAGTGCACGAGGTTGCAGCTCAAGGTCGCCTTGATGTGCTCCAGTGGCTCGAGAAAAATGAACCTATGCGAAGTACCGCTGGTGGGGTGTTGTTGATGGCAGCGGAGTATGGACATCTGGAGGTTGTGCGCTGGCTGCTGGACCTGGACTTGAGGAGTCATGCAAATGACAATCAGAGCCGACTGACGGATCTGGGAGGAGAGGCCAGTCTTGCAATCCACATTGCGGCGGTAAATGGACATCTTGAGATCGCAAAATACCTTCGAGCGCGGGCGGATAAACCTTTGAATGCTTATCAGCGCGCGGTGGAAAACGAGGAACACCTTCATCAGATTCGAAGTCTGAAAATACGCCTTGGAGAATTGTGCAAAGCTGCCAAGGTCACGATCGATACTTTAATCGAAGCCGGGAAGAATGGTCATGTTCATGTCGTGCAGTGGCTCTGGGTGGAGTACGTTTACGACCCAAAAGTCAGCGCATTTAGTACCGGTCGTCAGTAGACACAGGCCGATGGAACACCGATGGATGCCATTGCTGCGCGGGGAAACCTGAGGGTGCTGAAGTCGATGCAGAAGATTGGAGCTCCTACCGCTGATAGTCGGAAGCGCAACAGGGATGGATCCAATCGAGGCGGATACAAGTGCACGAGTAAAGCAATGGATGGTGCTGCGGCAAATGGGCACTTAGAGGTTGTCAAATGGCTTCATGAAAACAGGGAGGAGGGCTGCTCAAGTCGCGCAATGGATGGTGCTGCATCAGAAGGCCACCTGCCTGTAGTCCAGTGGCTACATGAAAACACAGCGAAAGGATATACAACCGCGGCGATGGACGGCGCTGCTACGAATGGACATCTTGACGTTGTGAAATGGCTGCACAATAATTTGAACGCTGGCTGCACGACGGACGCAATGGATGGAGCGGCGACAAAGGGGCGTCTTGATATTGTCCAGTGGCTGCATGAACATCGCAGTGAAGGGTGCACGGTCGCAGCAATGGACGGAGCAGCAGAGAATGGTCACTTGGCGGTTGTCAAATGGTTGCACCGTAATCGTGGTGAAGGATGCACGACGGTGGCGATGGACAAGGCGACGCTGCACGGCCACTTTCATGTTGTGCAATGGCTCCACACTCATTGCTCGGAAGGACGCACAAGCTCCGCTATCAACAGTGCGGTCGATCACAGGAATTTCGAGCTGTTGCTGTTCCTGTACTCACAATGCAAACAAGTCTGCACCGCGGAGACCGTGGAATTGGCAGCTCGCCACAAGGAAACCGGGATTTACGCCTGGATTCTCGACCAATATCCCTAATTTCGTACTCCACCGCGGGAATAGCGTGGTGATACAGTATTGACGTTGTTTTATCAGTTCGTGTACAGACTGAGTACAAATGAAGCACTTATGGTAATGTAATATCGCAACTACATCAGCTATGTTGCCATGTTGCATCTTTGATTAAAAAAAAACAAGTAGGGGGATGGAATCATGTGTCGAGCCAACTCAGTGTCTTTGTGTGTAAGAAACAAAGACGACACTCGAACCGAACAATATAATACGTCGAAGTAGCTGGCAGGAAATAATGGCTGGCGGCACATTGCGGATGTTGTTGGTGGGCCGCAACTGCCCAACCAAACTTCAATTACAATAATTGCGGGGCCTACGCGGCATCAGATCTTTGCCGGCCTGCTGAACGCTAGGATAACATTCGTAACATTTACTTTTTAATTACGCGACGAAGCTGGCTTACAACTGCCGTTGCTTCTTCAAACTTACAGATACTTAGACATGGCCAACGCAGAGCCCACCCAATCACACCATGGACACCCCATCGACGCCGCACTTAGAAGTCTGCGTCGAGCGTGAAGACCTGCTCCTCGGCCGCGACGCCGACGCCGGCCTTCGAGTACTCGCCCACACGCTTCTCGAAGAAGTTGGTCTTGCCCTGCAGCGAGATCATGTCCATCCAGTCGAAGGGGTTCTTGACGTTGTAGAGCTTGGGCACGCCCAGCGAGTACAGCAGGCGGTCGGCCACGAACTCGATGTACTGGCACATGAGCGTCGAGTTCATGCCGATGAGCTCCACGGGCAGCGAGTCGCACACGAACTCGTGCTCGATGGTGACGGCCTCACGAACGATTTCGTGCACGCGGCTCTCGGGCAGTTTGTTGACCAGCTTGGAGTACATGAGGCACGCGAAGTCCGTGTGCATGCCCTCGTCGCGGCTGATGAGCTCGTTGGAGAAGCTCAGGCCGGGCATGAGGCCGCGCTTCTTGAGCCAGAAGATGGAGCAGAAGGAGCCCGAGAAGAAGATGCCTTCAACCGCAGCGAACGCCAGCAGACGCTCCGGGTACGACGACACCCGCGGGTCGCACCACTTGAGCGCCCAGTGCGCCTTCTTCTTGACGCACGGGATCGTCTCAATAGCGCGCAACAGGTGGTTCTTCTCCATCGTATCCTTGATGTACGTGTCGATGAGCAGCGAGTAGACCTCGGCGTGGATGTTCTCGATGGCGATCTGGAAGCCGTAGAAGCAGCGCGCCTCGGGCACCTGCACTTCGTTGCTGAAGTTCATGGCCAGGTTCTCGTTCACGATGCCGTCGCTCGCCGCGAAGAAGGCCAGCACGTGCTTGATGAAGAACCGCTCGTTGTCCGTCAGCTTCTGCCAGTCGTTCAGGTCGTGCACCAGGTCCAACTCCTCGGCCGTCCAGAACGAGGCCTCGGCCTTCTTGTACATCTGCCACACGTCGTGCTCCTGGATCGGGAACAGCACGAACCGGTTCGGGTTCGACACCAAGTACGGCTCCGGCTGCAGCTCGCCGTTAACCTCCTTGCGTTTGTACTCAGACATCTCGAGCTTCGGCTGCTCTTCCTCCTCCTGGGACTTGTTGTCGTGAATGACAATTCCTTTGGCGAAGTTGTCCGCGAAGTGCGGGCTCAGCTCCTGCTCCGGCTGCTCCGGCGACGCGACCACCGCGGCGCGCACAGTCGAGGCTGCGACCATTGTAGCGGGTTTGGACTGGAGGTTTGGCTGCTCGGTGGAGGCGATGGATGCGGCGAGGAGTTGAAATGCTCGGCTTGGGTAGAGGTCTGTAGAGGGGAGTCGAGTCGCTTGCTGGGTCGAGAGTTAGATCCGAAATGACAAGCTGAGCGCTTGGAACGCTGACAGGCAGACCGACCAAGCTCGATCGCAATCCCGCGCGTTGACAGCTGAATAAAGTCGGGTTTGGGACCGTTCATCACGGTCGTAGATTTACATGTACCGGTGTCCGCTCCTGATCCCGACATCTGCGTCTATACATGCCTCGGATTAAAATCTTATAGCGTCGGAGGGTGAGGGGGTGAGGAAAGATTCGTCTGCTCCCTCTCCGTCTGGGGAGGCAGCCGCGGAGTGAGCTAGTTCATTCGAAACCGATTCATCAGAGATGAGGACGATGCTGCTTCCAGCAGACTGCTCATCGTGTATCGAGTTAGCGACCAAAGTTGAAGTGATCTTCCTTAACAGTGTCGGTTGATAGTTCGCCTTGATCTTAAGCAATGACTGCACGAACGAGTTCCAGCTCACGAGCCTTTACGGACTCGCACCAAAGGGGGGGTCTATAGATTGAATTGCAAGTAGAAACTTGTGCTGAAGTATCTAACAATACTACGTAGTACTGTGCGTGTGTGTGCTAATGGAAGGATTTCAAGTCGAAATTCAAGTCACAACGCCTCAAGTCACTTGAATCACGAGTGCATTCAAGTCAGTGGTAGGATGGACACCCACTTCATTACCGAAATTGGAGTACAAGGGAGAGCGATGGAGGAGGAGCAAGAAGCGTGGTTCCAGTTGGTGAACAGACAAGGAGGACCAATTGCTCCCCTGAAGTGTGTGGCTGTGTTGAGCAGTACATCCGTCGACTCCTTCCGCAGAGCAGCTTTTCCTACGTTTTCTTGCTGGTTTCCCGCTGATTTAACTGCCTCGAACCTCAACGTGTTCGCCAACATGGCTGCGTACCAGAATGAGACTCCATTGAAAGTGTCCGAATCTGTGGGGACCTTGGGGAAGAGCCCTGTCGACCCGCTGCTCGTGGAGATTCCCAAGGTTTGGTTTGGGAACAGAACCAAGTTTTGGTTTCTGTTGGTGGATGCTGGTACGCGGGACACGCTTGCGGGCACTAGAGAATATTCGGTCTCTCTAATTGAAGAGAGCAGTGCAGGCGCTCTTCGTGGAATAGTACTCGAGATGCTTTTGCCACACACTCCAACTGAATCGCCGGTGGAAGCGTGTAAGCTCAAGATCTTCAAGAGCCGCCAAGCGTATGAGCCATGGGCGAAGATGATCAGATTGGAGACCAAGCAGAGTGCGCTCATTGTTGAAGTGCCAAGCCTCTCTGCGATTGATCCAGCGTCACAACTCGGTTCCCGTAAAATGGATCAGCTCGAAGACGCTCTTGAAACTGAATCCCCACGAAAGAAGCCTAGGCTGCTACAATCACGGCTTGCGCCTGCAGTGCCAGTGTTCGAGGGCTACTTCTCGGTTCCATTGGAGAGCATCGCCGCCTTCCAGACGATAAAGCAGGGGTTCTCCGACACAAGATTACCTGAACGACCGCTGTTTCTGCTCTATGGTCCTCGACAGTTTGGGAAAACAACCATTGCCTACGGATCGACACCTGGCTGGCTGCTGAAGTTCCTGATGTGATGTGCGATTCTATCGAGTTGCTGGGTATCGAAAACGGAGCCCACTTCGGGCAGAATTTGGGTGATCCATTCGACACGCAAAGCACATGCTCAGACTCGGTATCATTGCTAAATGTGGTGGAGGCATCCGCCGCGCGCACGAAGAAAAGGGTGTGCCTTATCGTGGACGGGTTGGACTCCCTGTCCGCGGACCGAGCTTTGATAAGGGTCTTTCTATCGGTGCTTCGTGAGTTAAAGGTGACATCCTACTTTTATGGATTCCTTGGGGTCGGCAGTTCCGCTTTGGCGTGCCACCATGAGCTTGCTTCTGACAACCCACGTGCTAGCTTATACGCTGAAACCAAGCTGTTGCAAGCCGAGTCATTTTCAGCGATGCAGATGGCTGCGTTTTTCGAGCTGATCGAGCCATGTTTTAACTTTGCGAAGTCTCTTCGGCAGGCGATTATGGAGTATTCTGGTGGCGCACCTGGCGTATTTGGTTCGCTGGTTCGCTACATGGCTACGCATACGAAGTGGACGAAAGAGTGGTGTGAATAGGAGCCCTGGTTTAAGCTGGTTGCCTTTTCGGATTACCTGCTACTCAACAACGCGTACTTTTGTATGAATAAGGAAATATGCGGCTTGGCAGCGTTGGAGAGGCGAGCACTGAAATATGCGCTTCAGGAAAAAAACGTGACCGCCAGGGAGTTGCAGACACTTTGTGGCGAGTCTATCACGAGTGGAGAGAAGATTGCCGACAAATTGCTAGACGTGGGAATTCTGGTACAAGCAATGGATGGAAAGTTCCGAGACGGTGCACCGCGTTTGTGTCGAAGCACTGCCCGAACGAGATGTACAAGCTATTGAGAATGCTGGAGACCCGCTGGTGCTGCTATCTGCTGCCGTTCGTGAGATGAGACCAGAGGTCATTACAGACCTTGTCTTCGGAAACGATAAATGTCCGCCTGTGGCAGCATTTCACCAGGAGTTGTTCTGTACGATGCGAGATATTTTGAAGGAGACGCAACGGTTTACGAGAGACCGTCTCAAAGCGCAGTCGCCCAACAGCGCACACAGAGCCGATATTATCGTTGAGGACGAAAGTGTTCGATTCGGTTTTGAAGTGAAAGTCGGCTTGTCAGACGAAACCGCGGTTGTTGGGGCGGTGCGGCAAGCTGACGAGTATCGCGTTTTCTATTCGGCCAAGCAAATGTTCCTAGTGATTTTTACTCCGCCTGGGAGCAATTCCCCTGAAGTGAACAGCGTGAAAGAGTTCCCCGAAGTCAAGATCATTCGGGTTCGCTTCGATGAAAGCTGCAACACGTTTTGTTCTCTGTTGGTGAAGCAGGACAGGATCCATTAACGAAACGCAGGCACATGCCGATGCGCTTCCGAATGGAAATGATGTTGAGTGTAATTGACAAATTCTCGCTTTAGTTGAGCTTTTGCTGCGATCAACGAAGTTAAAACATCAGCGCCTGCAATGACCGATGAGAATGTCGCAAAACCACCAAAACTAGCAATTTGAAACGCGAAGGTTTTTTTTCTCGTTGCAGACTACCGCTCAGTGCAGCTACAAGTCCGATGGCTAACCATTTCACGGCGTACTAGGCAGTAGCCAAGCAATCAAGATCCTAAAGTTCCTAGGACCGACTAGACCGATCCGAGCAGTTAATTCGTCACGTGTCTTGACCACTTCAACGTTAAGACAGGTGTATGTCGCTTTGGCTTTGGGCCCGGAAGTCAGAAACCGCAGCGTTACGCAGAACTCGCCTCGCTCTCGAGAGCTTGTGCTGCGTCCCATGTTGCTCACGGCCACAGTCGAGAACTAAATGGCAAGAGCAACGTCTCTGAGTTGGACGTCAAGGGGATCTGGTCAGTTCAGCGGTCCGCGAGGTGACCTCCAACTCACGACCTTGCGCAGGAAATCATGCATCAAAAATCTGCGAGCGTTCTCAAGGCCAAGACGTCGAAGGTTAGCACTGCTGGGCCACTTACTCGCACCCTGTTGCCCCCTCTCAAAGGGACCCGCCCCTCTGCCGTTGCATCCGCGACAGCACGACTTGTCTACCGTATCTGCTGCGGGCGGATACGTAGTCCTATTGAAGGGCGACGACGGCATGCTAAATGCTCGAGCGACAGCAAAACCAGCAGCTGGTACACAATTCACGCTTCATGACGCAGCACTCAACGTTCACTCGATCGTGCGGCGCCCGTGTGCAATGCAGGCGCAGCGCTGCCCCACCGGAAGCAACCAGCGCCTAAAGTTCCGAAAGCTGCGGACTAAGATCTGCTAAGGTTCTAGATCATGCGAGTCAAGCGCGAGTGTCCCTTCATGCGCCATCTTGCCCTTTGTTGCCTCAAAAATGCAAAGGCAATGCAAAAGCTTGCTTATCGGAGCTCGCTTCAACTGTGAAACAGCTGGGGGAGCTGGCAGGTGTATGTCGCTTTGGCCCAAGCACCAAAAGCAGCCCCACGAGCTCACATGGGGAAACCGCAGCGTTACGCGGCATCGGTGGCAACTTGGCGGCCGCGAGCGAGAGCCACAGCCACTGACTCACTGACTGGTCCGGAGCCGACTTCCGCGAATGGTATCTTGCCGTTCCGCGGCAGTCGTCATCGTCCATCGCCGCGTACGTGCCGCACCCCTCCCTTAACCGTTGCCGCCACACCTAAAAGCGGCAAAACGCTGCACTTAACCTGCAGAGTACGGCCTTGCAAGCGGCAAAAGCCTTCTCGCCCTGTTGCCTCCCAATGGAGCGCAACAAGGCAGTCACCGGCAAACTGTCTCAGACATCGCATCAGCTTTGCCTGTACCCATCGCGTTGAAGGCAACAACGGGCGCGCCCTTTCTGGGCGCGCCTCGACCAATCGGGCGCCTTCCAAACCCCCGCACAATTGCACGACAGCTCGCGGGCTCTTGCCCGGACGCCTTCCCCAGCGTTTCGCGCGCGCCAGGCCAGCGCCGCCGCTCACTCTCCGATTCTCCGTTCAATAGATCCGTCCGGAGGCGGCCGCACGCGCGCGCGATCCCCAACCTGCCTGGAAGCCCAGGGGAGGAGACGACTACCGATAGTACCTAACCACCTATCCAGACTGGCAACACCCAACCCGCTCGGCTTGATCTCTCTATCTCCCCGCTTCAAGTTCGCTTTTTAAGCTTACCTTAACCGGCCGAGTTTCCCTTAACCTGCAGAATCCTGCAATTATGCTCGAGTTCCCCCTGCACGACGGCTTCTTCCCGCAGATCGCGCTGAGCCGCGAGGAGGTCAAGTACTACAAGCGCCTGGGCAAGGAGCGCGTGGCGCAGCTCATGCGCATCATCGAGGACGCCGACTGCGCCTACAAGTGGACCAGCGCGGCGTCCACGCGCATCCACCGGTCACGCCTGCCGGGGCGCGCGCCGCGCGCGGACGCGACGGTGCCGAGCGTGTCGTGCCAGCGCGCCAACTTCCTCGACTTCCAGCCGGCCAGCAAGTCCACGCACGCGTCCACTTTGCTCAAGGCGAGCGTGCAATTGTCCGACACCAAAGTGGACGAAATCCTGCGCGCAGTCTCGAAGGTTAAGACCAAGGACTGCCGCAAGGCCATGCGCTACATGCACGGGGACGCGTTCGTGGACGGCCGCACGCTCTTCACGTTCCCGCAGCAGAGCTCGCGCTCGGGCAGCGACGCCACCGAGGGGCGCGCGCCCTCCAGGGGCTCCTACTCGTACCGCGCCATCAAGTGGCACGCGTTCAAAACCCAGCGGCCGAGACACGGCGAGGACGACAAGATTTTGGACTTCTGCTATTTAGAGTACGCCGGCAAGAAGAAACCCCACCCCGGGTCCAACGTCGTGGGCTTTTGCGTGCAGGAGTCCATCTCGAGGGACCGAGAAGTACCCACTTTGGAGAATTTCGGCATCGCCCGGGGCTATTTGTCCCGAATGGGCATAATTGTGTCCAAGACGCACCAGCCCAACACGTTCAAGGTGACGTCCATTTGCCAGATCGACGGGGACTTGAACCCCATTGTGAGGGGCGTGCTGGAGGAGCTCATGAAGAAGACGGTGTGCGCGGTGGCGAAAATCCCCGGACTTGTGGCGAGACAGAGAGTGAGCAGCTTGAGGTTCGTGGAGCAGTGGCAGTGGGTGCCCAACTCGGACCGCAAGGCGTGCGCCGTGTGTCTGCGAGGCTTTTACTTCCGTCGCAAACACCACTGCAGAACGTGCGGAGAGGTCGTGTGCTCGTCCTGCGCGTTGCTGCGGGAATTGGAGGAGCCCATCTTTGACATCACCCACTTGAGGGTGTGTTCCGCCTGTATGACGAGTGCCGGCGCGCGCCAGCAGCAACTTTCGGCGCTCAGTGCCACCGGAACAGGAGACGAACCGGCGTCGTCGACGTCCAACGACACCGAGTCGTACATCCGCGGCCTGCGCAGTCCGCAGCATAATTCGTACGAAGACATGATTTTCCAGATGCGCGAGTCGCGCGATCGTGACCGTCGACAGAGCGACTTGGCCATGGAAGTGCTGGAGGCCTCGTCCGAGACGGAGTTAAAGCCGGTGTACCCGCAGCGCAAGGTTAACGTCAGCCCGCAACTGCGCGCTCGGGACAAGATGCAGGCGCTGACGGATGTTGTGACTCATATTCGAGAGGTCCGTGACACGATAAACCTCACGATGTCCGAGGCGGCGTATGGAGAACGTCAAGATGCGGACAGCGACGAGATCGAAGAGTTCAACGACATGTACAGCGAGATCACCAGTATCCGCGACGCTCTGGAGAGTTCAGTCTCGAACTTTGATGCTGCGCTGGCTAACGCTACGAATGCAGCTCCTGCCATGTATTACTCGGGGCCCAGCGATCGCAGTCAGGACTCTCAGAGAGACGGCGGGAGCGACCATGGCACTGCGATGTCTGCCGAGCAGTTCAACTCTGTGGCTCGTATCACGTTCGCTGCAGCTCGTGCGACGCGACAGGCTGGCCAGGCCTTCCTATCCACCTTCTCAGATGCAGGAGACCGCCACGAGGCTACTAATGGCCACAATAACCAGGAGGAGCACGACCACGACGGCGTGTCAGCGAGCTCTGCATCCGTGGCCAGCTACCCGACAGTGTATGACAGCGACGACGACAGCTCGGCTCAGAGTCCAGACCCGTACTCCGCGTCGAACTACGAGAAGCTCATGGCCACGTATCAGCCAGAGCACGACGGCTCGGAGCATGAAGACGATGACGATGACGACGCGCAATCGCACAACTTTGCAGACTCGGTGCGCCGCGCCACGGAAATCCACGAGCTGGAGAAGAAGATTCGGGACTTGCAGCGCAGCCTGGAGGACGCGCAGCGGAAGCTTTCAGTAATCGACAGCGACGAACCCGAGCCGGAAGCGCGATCCCGCCAGCGACTCGAAGCAGCTCGAGACCGCTCGGCGCAGATGGAAATCGAGAGCGTGTTCGAGATCTTTGGCGAGCGTGGCGACGAGAAGAGTTCGATCCTCGGTGACGCGTCTTCATCGGTCTCGTCTGGCCCGAGGGCGATGTCGCTGCCTTCCGATGCTATTGGGTCGAGGGGTTTGACGACCCAGGAGCTCGTGTCGGAGCTTCGAGGCGTGATGGCGTCGAGTGAGACTCCTGTGCGAGCAAGCGGGGGATCCCGGAAGTCCGTGTCCAGACCTCCGACCCCACCGCTGCCTCCGACAGTGATGAAGGCTCCAATTAGCCCTCCTCCACCCCCGCCGCCCCCCATGTCCCCGCCCAAGAAGCACGTGTCTCCGGATTACAGAATGCGGCACTCGTTTAACAAGTCGACTAAGCCGAATGGCGACCTGAACAGCAGCAACGGCAGCACCAAGAAAGCACCAGGTCTTAACCGGCCTTCTGCTTCCCCCACCGAGGGGTCCTACTTGCAGGCGCTGGGCACGACTGGAGGCACCAGATACGGCGGTGACGACGACTACGCTTCGTCTTCATCCGACGAAGAGAGCTTCGATGACTCGTCCGATGACTTGTCGATGCTTAGCAGCGATGGTCTCCGCGAGCCTCAGTTCAAGAAGTACCAGGGCCCCGACGCGTTCTATGTGGAGGAGGATCTGAGTGCGTTGCTCAAAAAGAGGAAGACGGCCGAGGCTGGAGCGTCCCCACCGATCAACCCAGCTGACTCGCCCAGTTCGCCACTGACCCCGGCTCCTGCCGTCAATAGGGACGAGCGAGATGAGCTCCGAGAGCTCATGGCGGGACTCGTTCGTCCTCGAAGCTCGTCGCTCCCGTTCCAGTCAAGTCAAATGGGTGGCGCGTCGTCCGGTGAACCGCAAGACTACGACAAGCCGTCATGGAGCGACGATGCTCCTGATCGCATCCCCACAGCACACCAAATCGAGGAGGCGGTGCGCGAGATCCGCGCGTGCCTCGCCAGCTGCCGCTGCGAGTGCCCGTCCGACACGGAGCGCGCGCGCAAGCTCACGTCCATCTTCAAGGTCCTGCGCTCGCTTCACCGCGAGGGCGTGCGCTCCAAGTTCCGCACGCTGCAGCACGACGACATCCGCTACTCCAAGATGCTCAAGGCCACCCCCAGCATTATCAAGCTGCTCAAGCTCGCTGGCTACGTGTCCCTGCAGCAGAAGCTCACCATGCGTCGCGTGGACCAGGACTACCTCGCTCTGTTCCTGCGGGAGCTCGAGCAGGAGCTGCACTCGTCCACCGTCGCCTGAGCTGAGCTACATACAGTACCTATCAACATATTTTTGCTATCAATGCATAAAGAGAGATCACCGAAGTACAGACTACTCAAGACTACAAGACTATCAGCATAGACTACGTATAAACCATACCGTGATAAACTACGTCTGCCAATTTGAACACACTCCAGCATCATTAATATCTACTACTGTAGATACATCAATTAATCCTGTCCTCCTACATTGGGTGCCTGCCAAAAGGGTCATAAGGACCCGGAGTAAATGCAGCAGATATGCTCGGCATAAGCTAACATAAATCTCGTGAGACCGGAAAATCGTCTCGATAACTGGCGGTTATGCCGTGTACCCATCTTAACGACTTACTATGAATATGTCGACCATCATTCTTGTGAAGATCGCCTGTCAATGACAGGCTGTCATATATCTTCTTCCACCAGCCGCTTGTGAATCGCGCGTCGAACAGCGCCCAGGTCCTTGTTGTAGCTCACGTAGGCCTTGCACAGCACACACAGAGCGTCGCACGTATCATTCTGGAGCTCCATCACCGCGGCAGCGTGGGCAGAAGATAAACTGCAGAAAGATCTAGCCATAGGAATGTCCGGAGCAAAGTGACGCTGTAGGGCGAATAGACGTGGTACTTGGGCATTTGTAATCGAACGGAGTTGTTGTCGATAAGCATGTTGTGGCGGGTGCAACTAGGCTATATGTCGACATATCCACCCGCATATCTGCGGTAACTATGTTAGGTCCTTATGACCCTTTTGGCAGGCACCCATCAGAGGTCCGAAATAATAATTGCGATCCAATAAATAATTGGGTTTTGCAATACTAATTTTTATTATTGGAGATCAACGATTCCAATACAATACAGTATTGTACCAATTATTGACAATTAATATGAAAAAAGGTTGCACGGGCGCCAAACATAGCAAAGTACGTCATAACAGGATAGTTAGGTCTACATACGCAACGATTAAGGAGCAGTAAAAGCCATAATGGGCAATCAACATCTTTAGAAACCAATATGTACGCAAGTCAGAACATCAATGACGTCCAGATGTAGTGAATCCCGCCGAACACATCACATCAGGGGACGGCAGCGGATGGCAATCCACTAGGGACTTGAGCTTTATGTTTTGATATAGTGTGTACGCCTTTTGAGGCAATTTAGGAGAAAAAGCGAAGTGGGTCCGCGAAGCAGTTGATCATACAAAATGCTTAGTCTGTAACCTCATATCAGGTGCACACACTATGAAGTGTGTCTGTGTGAAGCTTGACTGGTCATGATGCGGTGAACCCATTACCTGTGGCTGGCGTGGGTCACCGCCGCGACATGCTATCGAGCCCTTAACTGCGGTGATACCAAGGTGAAACCCTGGAATCCACTACACCAGATTAACGATATATAGCAAGATCCAGATATATCTCGCTCACGTATTACTACCGGTAGGTTGTTTAAGCATCCACCATGCAAAGTTTTCTAAAGCAACACCCCAAAAAGTGTTTCCAAACGACTCTGTAATCATATGACGCACAGAAAGTGGTTTATTTCTTCTGTAGAAATGCCTCAAATTGAAGAGCAGTATATGTATATTGCGGCAATTTTTATTATTTCTCCTTGTTGAATTGTAATTTTTATTACGGTCTGATCTCGTACTCAATTCAATATAGTACTGTATTTTCGGACCTCTGGCGCCCATTTACTCCAGCAGCTGAAGACAGAACGTATTGCAAGTTTCATCGAAGCGAACCTGAATGATCTTGACTTCGGGGAACTCTTTCACGCTGTTCACTTCAGGGGAATTGCTCCCAGGCGGAGTAAAAATCACTAGGAACATTTGCTTGGCCGAATAGAAAACGCGATACTCGTCAGCTTGCCGCACCGCCCCAACAACCGCGGTTTCGTCTGACAAGCCGACTTTCACTTCAAAACCGAATCGAACACTTTCGTCCTCAACGATAATATCGGCTCTGTGTGCGCTGTTGGGCGACTGCGCTTTGAGACGGTCTCTCGTAAACCGTTGCGTCTCCTTCAAAATATCTCGCATCGTACAGAACAACTCCTGGTGAAATGCTGCCACAGGCGGACATTTATCGTTTCCGAAGACAAGGTCTGTAATGACCTCTGGTCTCATCTCACGAACGGCAGCAGATAGCAGCACCAGCGGGTCTCCAGCATTCTCAATAGCTTGTACATCTCGTTCGGGCAGTGCTTCGACACAAACGCGGTGCACCGTCTCGGAACTTTCCATCCATTGCTTGTACCAGAATTCCCACGTCTAGCAATTTGTCGGCAATCTTCTCTCCACTCGTGATAGACTCGCCACAAAGTGTCTGCAACTCCCTGGCGGTCACGTTTTTTTCCTGAAGCGCATATTTCAGTGCTCGCCTCTCCAACGCTGCCAAGCCGCATATTTCCTTATTCATACAAAAGTACGCGTTGTTGAGTAGCAGGTAATCCGAAAAGGCAACCAGCTTAAACCAGGGCTCCTATTCACACCACTCTTTCGTCCACTTCGTATGCGTAGCCATGTAGCGAACCAGCGAACCAAATACGCCAGGTGCGCCACCAGAATACTCCATAATCGCCTGCCGAAGAGACTTCGCAAAGTTAAAACATGGCTCGATCAGCTCGAAAAACGCAGCCATCTGCATCGCTGAAAATGACTCGGCTTGCAACAGCTTGGTTTCAGCGTATAAGCTAGCACGTGGGTTGTCAGAAGCAAGCTCATGGTGGCACGCCAAAGCGGAACTGCCGACCCCAAGGAATCCATAAAAGTAGGATGTCACCTTTAACTCACGAAGCACCGATAGAAAGACCCTTATCAAAGCTCGGTCCGCGGACAGGGAGTCCACCCCGTCCACGATAAGGCACACCCTTTTCTTCGTGCGCGCGGCGGATGCCTCCACCACATTTAGCAATGATACCGAGTCTGAGCATGTGCTTTGCGTGTCGAATGGATCACCCAAATTCTGCCCGAAGTGGGCTCCGTTTTCGATACCCAGCAACTCGATAGAATCGCACATCACATCAGGAACTTCAGCAGCCAGCCAGGTGTCGATCCGTAGGCAATGGTTGTTTTCCCAAACTGTCGAGGACCATAGAGCAGAAACAGCGGTCGTTCAGGTAATCTTGTGTCGGAGAACCCCTGCTTTATCGTCTGGAAGGCGGCGATGCTCTCCAATGGAACCGAGAAGTAGCCCTCGAACACTGGCACTGCAGGCGCAAGCCGTGATTGTAGCAGCCTAGGCTTCTTTCGTGGGGATTCAGTTTCAAGAGCGTCTTCGAGCTGATCCATTTTACGGGAACCGAGTTGACGCTGGATCAATCGCAGGGAGGCTTGGCACTTCAACAATGAGCGCACTCTGCTTGGTCTCCAATCTGATCATCTTCGCCCATGGCTCATACGCTTGGCGGCTCTTGAAGATCTTGAGTTTACACGCTTCCACCGGCGATTCAGTTGGAGTGTGTGGCAAAAGCATCTCGAGTACTATTCCACCTGCACTGCCTCTTCAATTAGAGAGACCGAATATTCTCTAGTGCCCGCAAGCGTGTCCCGCGTACCAGCATCCACCAACAGAAACCAAAACTTGGTTCTGTTCCCAAACCAAACCTTGGGAATCTCCACGAGCAGCGGGTCGACAGGGCTCTTCCCCAAGGTCCCCACAGATTCGGACACTTTCAATGGAGTCTCATTCTGGTACGCAGCCATGTTGGTGAACACGTTGAGGTTCGAGGCAGTTAAATAAGCGGGAAACCAGCAAGAAAACGTAGGAAAAGCTGCTCTGCGGAAGGAGTCGACGGATGTACTGCTCAACACAGCCACACACGCAGCCATGTTGGTGAACACTTTTAGGTCCGATACCTTCTGACTTGACTTTCGTCTGACCCAGCGTGGAGGTCGAGACTCATGCAACACGCTGGTGCCGCGCAGCTCGGGCAAAAGCAGCGAAAGGCGTCGACACGGACGAATTTATCGCGAAGGCGTGTGCCGCGGATTGGCGGCAGTGCAAGATCGACCGGTTCGTGAAGGATCAGATTCGTCGGCGCGAGGTGGAACTCAGTGTTACGCGCTCGTATCGCACGGTGTGCAATGGCTACCGACGCTATTGCGGTCACAATGTTCTAATGAACCTGGCGCCGTTAGGATCTCTCACGCCAGCAGCTGCAGTGCAGCTGCAGAATGACATAACGTGCGTGCCGTGGTCAGGTTCACAGAGTTTATTTCAGAAGCTCGTATCCTGGACGAGCAGTCCGAGTACTGTTCGCTTCCAGACTTGGAGAACGTGTTCGTGGCGGCCAACCTCGAGCTCACGCAGGAGGCGAAGGAGAAGGGCAACCCAGACCGCAGTCTCATGCGGTTCGGGTTTCTCGAGTGCGTCATTCGCATCGCAAATACTTTCAAAGTACGCGCTCTGTTAGTACTCAACTTCTGCTGTATTGAGAATTGATTTGGTATGATTTCCCCCTTTTCTTTCTTACAGCCAACGCGTGCGATACCCCCGCAAAAGCTGTTGACAAGCTGATGCAGGAAAATAGAGTTTAGAAGACGCAAACGAGTTCCGGCCTGTACACGGAAGAGGTCAGTGACGTCTTCACGGAGCACATAACCCTGGTGCGTCTGTTCTCTCTTGGGTATCTAGAATCAATCGTTGGTATCATCTAACCGTTCGTATAACAGCTACATAAGCTATACGATGCTCACATGGGCAAGTATTGCAAGCCTGGCGAGAAGCAGGGGATGCATCTTGTCGAGTTTCTCGCCCTCTTGTAAGTCACTCCATGTGTCGTATCAAATGCCAACATCCTTTGTTCTTTCGCTTCCACAGAGAAAACTAGCAAATATTTTCCAATTCGTTCCGAGTGCGCGACGTGAAGGATCCGTTCCTGGCGTGCAAGCTGGTGGTTCTGGACGAGATTACCACCATGGGCCACAAAAACAATATCTCGCCGATTTCATGGAGATCATTCAACGCGTGAGTGTCTAGCGGCCCGTGCAGCGCGCAACTATTGCAGAAGAGAGTGCCACAGGCACGGAGGAGGACAGTGAACCGGAAGACGCTGGCGATAAATTTGACACTGGCGGCATTGGAGAGACTTCACAAGCTGGTGAGACGGTTGCTGTAGCGGACAACCTCCGTTAAGACAGAGCCCATGTTGAGGACGAAATATATGTCGATGCAGAGCTCCGTCGCTCATGATAGGGGTTGCTCTCCGTGGCCTGCTGCGGGCTCGGGGGATAGAGGTAATACTCAACGCAAGGCCCGATCGACTGTCGACCGGCTTGCTCTGTTCTGCGACGGCACGACGTGGCTCTGCTTCAGGGGCGGATCTTGGCCTTAAAAAATGGGGGGGGCAACTCCAGCTTAAAAAATATTTGTAAAAATGTTTGTGTTGGGGGGTCGAGCTAGATGAGGATACGACGGTCCCTTAAGTCACGAAAAGCGTCTAGGATAGCTTCTTGATCTACCGTGGCAGATAAATCATTCTCGATACTGAGCAGCAGTAAATCCAGCACCCATGCCTCACGCATGGTCGTTCGAAGCCTTGTCTTCAACCTCTTCATGGCCGAAAAAGAGCGTTCCGTTTCTGCGGTAGACACTGGCAAAACACATACTAGCCGAATCAAGCGGTGTAATGTAGGGAAGCTAGGGATCATGTCCTGCTAGGTCAACGCTTTGCTGAGTTCCTCTGTAAACACCAGCCCAGCGAATCGTTTGTCCCTCTTCGCCGTGTTGACGAATCTGTTGGCTTGGCTCTCTATGGCCGTCAAAGTCAAATGCGTAAAAGTCCGACGCGATTCGTACAATATCCGCAGTATTCCACCTAGCAAATGAGCGACGTGGACTTATTCCGCCACACAATTCCATTAGCCGCACCATCCGACCTCCGAATTGCGACTCTAATTCGGTTGGTAGGGCCCTTTTCGCGCATACATTTGCAGTACTTGACTCAGAAGAGAGGGGGCGGCAACAAGTTGTCGAACACGGAAGAGGTTCGGCGGGCGATGCGCAGGATCGTTTACAACAAAGTCTGAGGTCGTTAGGTACATTGTAGAGAGTGCACCATAACACGTTGGCCTTGTCATCTTGCTCTTGGAGCGTAGGAGGGAGAGGTTCTGGAAGCGTATTGGGTAGCTCGCGCTTGGGAGAGTGAACGCGGGGCTGTTTGCTGAAAAATGTTGTTATCGGCGTAGCCTTTAGCCGCTTTTTGCCGCTCATGCTGGTTGCACACGAGATTCTAGGAATGGCAAACCCTCTACACAACCGAAAGAGGCAATCAAAAAAATAACGACCAGCCAAAAAAATGGGAGGCATGCGCCCCCCATTTGCCTGATAGATCCGACCCTGCTCTGCTTCAACAACTCAAACGCAAGACCTCATGTGGACCCCAAAGGACTGCGCAGCCTCTTTTTCAGGCTCCAAGCAGATGACCTTCGCCACGGGGCTCTTTTCTTCGAACAGAGAGGGAACGGGGGGCGTCGTTAGCGCATAGCGAATGAGTGGGCGATCCATCGCGGTTATGGTCGGCATCTTTATGGTCCTGGGAGAGCTCTCGATAAGGGGAAGTCGAGAGGGCTGCGGCAAACGGACGTGAGCTGCAGTCGATCGGTGGAAGAAGAGCTGGCTGCTGCTGGGTATATAACATTCGCAAGCGGGGTCCCATTGGGGTTCAAATCTGCTGTGTGCTGGTCGTGGGGGCTAGCTGCGCTCTCATTATTAATAGCAGGGCAGAAGAACCACACTGTACGTGTCACTTCAACTAGAGTGATGATCACAAAGTTGCTTAAGAAAGAGAGACCCGGTTTGGTACCCGGTTTTGGAAAGTTACAAGTTTATTGCCGGGGCCAAGCACAGGTCTTCGACCTGTGAACAAGCTTTTTTGCAGCGAAGCTCGGTAGTAGAGCTACACAACTACTTACATATCACTTTCGTAAATTCTACTTAGTACAGTAGCTAAAGTGTTTCACTACCGACGTTACAAACAATGTTTATAATACGTACCGTTGTTCTGGACCAAATCGAAAAGACCACAGCCTCAAGCGCTAAGACCGCGCGACTTCACGCAACAAGGTTGTTGCTGCTGGTAAATCTGTGGCGTACGCCTGCCTGAACCCGCCGTTGCACCACACCCTGGAATGCGGGTGTGTAGCGATGCCATGGAGCAAGAAGTACTAAGCTCCGCCGAGTGCAAATTTGTGGCGACTTCGCATTCCAAGAACTCGCAGGGGGATGTTGCGACTACGATGGTGTGGTTGCGCTCAACGATGTGGCTGCAGCTTACCACTGCAGCCTGTGCCAGCCTCCTTGAGTCACGACGAAGCTCTGCACTTGGGATTACGGTGCAACGTACCATGGTCGTTTCAACTTCTCCTGAACGGAAACGGACGACTTCAACTTGCGACTTCGACTTCGATTGAGGCCACCGCTGTCGCGCAGAAGCCTAGGGATGAATCCGTTGTCAATCTAAGCTCTTGAATACACCTCCACGCCCGTCCCCATATGTGAGGCCCATAGACACAAGCAACATATTCACGTGTTCAAGAGCACTCGCGAGCTACCATCTCACCGCGATCACAGATGAGCTGCGTGCATCATCGAAAAGCGCTGTCATGAGATGCAGTTGACTGCATCTCACGAGGCGTTCAACGCACACACCGTGTTTCCGTTACACTTGCAACTGGGCTCATGCATGAACACAAGCTCATGCTTGTGTGGAGAACCCACCGAGTGTCAGTGTCGAAGGATCAGTGCGATACTGCCGCTTCTGGGGCTCCTCCAGTCCTCCCAGACTGCTCATTTACAATTCAGCGACCTCGAAAACATGACTCCCCACCAAGCACCAGCGATGCTATCTTTCAAGCTGCTCGGTGCCATCGCAGCCTTCACCTCCGCTTTGTTGACCAAGCAAGCGGCGCAGAGCTTCTGTATCCACGGCATCAACTACAACCCCCGCATCGGGCCAGACTGGGCTGCTCAAGGTCAGCAATGCAAGAGCGCCGCGGACATCCAGGCGGACATGGAGACGCTGTATCAAGTAACGGGATCCGTCCGCCTCTATGGGCTCGGGGACTGCGACCAAGTCTCCAGAGTTTTGCCTGCCGCCATCAACACCGGCCTGAGTGTGTCGCTGGGCCTCTGGGTGAGTGGGGATGAAGCTGTGTTCGATGCGGAGTTCTCTAGGCTCCAAACCTTGATCCAGCAGCACTCGAGTCTCTTCTCGGGCGGCAGCATCGTCGACATCCACGTGGGGAGCGAAGCCGTGTATCGGAAGGAGATCACGGCCGAGGAGAACATTGCGTATCTCCAACGAGTGAAGGCTCTGCTCGCCGCGTACAGCTTGGCGTCTGTGCCCGTGACAATCGCCGAGATCGGGGACGTCTACTTGGCGCACCCGAATCTCATCGACGCTGTCGACGTCGTTCAAGCAAATGGGTTTCCGATGTGGGAGAAGATCGCAGTTGAAAACGCTGTCCAGTACTTCGACACGAGGATGCAGCCCCTGTACCAACAGGCTGCGGCGCTCGGCAAGAGGGTGGAGATTGGCGAGACTGGCTGGGCGTCGGGTGGCTCGAGCCCCAAGGCGTCCGAGGCGTCTCCGGTGAATGCGGCTCGCTACTTCTACAACTTCTTCCAGATGGCCCAGGCGCGCAACCTCCCGTTCTACTATTTCGAGGGCTTTGACGAGGAGTGGAAGATCACCGCCAGCAACGCCACCGTCGAGGGGTACTTCGGACTCTTCCACGAGGACCGGACGCTCAAGGCGGAGATCGCCAACCTCGCCCTGGGCCCCAACTGCCCCGTCATCAGAAACGAGGAGGCCAGCGCCAGCTCCACGGGCTCCAACACGAACGGAGGCCAAACATACGGCAGCACCGAAGGGGGCAGCGCCAGCTCCACGGGCTCCAACACGAACGGAGGCCAAACATACGGCAGCACCGAAGGGGCCAGCGCCAGCACCACGGGCTCCAGCAAGAGCGGAAGCCAGACCTACGGCAGCACCGAAGGGGCCAGCGCCAGCACCACGGGCTCCAACACGAACGGAAGCCAAACATACGGCAGCACCGAAGGGGGCAGCGCCAGCTCCACGGGCTCCAGCAAGAGTGGAAGCCAAACTTACGGCAGCACCGAAGGGGCCAGCGCCAGCACCACGGGCTCCAGCATGAGCGGAAGCCAAACTTACGGCAGCACCGAAGGGGGCAGCGCCAGCACCAGCAAGAGCGGAAGCCAAACCTACGGCAGCACCGAAGGTGCCAGCGCCAGCACCACGGGCTCCAGCAAGAGCGGAAGCCAGACCTACGGCAGCACCAAGGGTTCGGAAGAGGGTACTCCGGCGACCATCAGGCCTGGAGGCTGCCGCGTGAGGCGCGTCTAAGCAGGCTCACCACCTTGTCGTCCGAATACTAGTCTTCACTGCATCCTTGCACATCCAATACATGTAAGCTCCACACGTGAAACTTGACCACCTTGTCATCCACCGAACAGCAAAAAAGTGTCCTCAATCACCGTGACTAATGGATGGACCGTGACAGAAGGGTTGGACTAGAGGGTTGGCTGCTCGGTGGAGACGAGCGATGCGGCGAGAAGTTGAAATGCTCGGCTTGGGGAGAGGGCTGGTAGAGAGGAGTCGAGTCGCTTGCTGGGTCGAGAGTTAGATCCGAAATGACAAGCTGAGAGCTGGGTGAGTGCAGGGAACGCTGACAGGCAGACCGACAACGGCCAGCTCGATCGCAATCGTCGGTGACAGCGGAATAAAACTCGGGTTGATCATGGTCTTGTGAGTTTACATGTAACCGGTGTCGGCTCCTGATCCCGACATCTGCGCCTCGGTAATTACAGTGTCCATTGGACAAGGTGTTGAGGAAGATTCTGTGCTGCGTTTGGGGTCGTATCGTAATGCTGTGATTTGTCAGTACATGTATTATACCTTTTGGAGTTTCCTGTGGAGCATGGATAAGTCAAGTCGTACACTGCCAGAAGCGTCTCCGTCCAGCCCGCAGCGACCTTGTTAAGGCTACCTGGTTTTGGAGCTACGCCCACCCTCTTTTGGAGAAAAAAATATTTTTCGCTTCCATTGCTTTTTTTTAAATGATTCACTTTCATTGGCCAAAACTTCGTTGAAGTTGCGGGGCTCACCACGCTAAGCCAAGCAAACCCGATCACTTGCGCGGCTCGAGGTCACACCAGCGTTCCACCCCTCCGGGACTTCGCCGCTGTCGTCCGAGAACTCGACCCGTAGACTGGTATGAAGCTCATGGCTCATTTGTGTGTTGTATTGATGGGCTGACTCACTTTTCGTTTGTCTACATGCAGACTCGATGGTCGATCGACGACCCACGCGCTCTCAGTTGCTACAGAATCAGTCAGCTTTTACATGGCGCAGTCCTTGCGCGACGACGGCGTGGTGGCAGTCGAGGTCTGCGTGGTCGAGTCGTCCTCGCCGTTGCCGGAGGCGGTCTCCTCGTCCGAGGAAGCGTCCACGGCCGAGGTGGTCTCGCCGTCCTGGGTCGCGTCGCCCTGCGTGGTCGAGTCATCCTCCGAGGAAGCGGCAACGTCGGCCGACGTGGGAGACGCAGCGTTGACCGTGGTCACCGCGCCAGCAGCAGCAGAAGCAGAGGCAGAGCTGTCAGCGCCGACCGCAGTGATGGTGGCCGAGTCGCTGCCGTCGAAGGAGGCGGTGGCGTTGGCGAACTCAGCCGAGATGAGGTCCTTGAGGGCGCCCTCCTGCGTGAACAGGCCGAAGTACGCCTCCACGGTCTCGTTGGCCTCGAGCGTGGCCAGCTTGCAGGGCTCGTCGAAGGCCGAGAAGTAGAAGTACATGAGGTCCTTCTCCGCGGCCAGCGTGTAGAAGTCGTGAAAGTACTTGGCGGCGTTCTCGGCCGTGGCGGGGCTGGCGTCGGCGTCGACACCGTCCGAGGCCCAGCCCGTCTCGCCCACGATCACCTGCTTGCCGCTGGCGATCTCCACGAGCGCCGAGAAGCGCTCGTAGAAGTGCTCGGCGGCGCCGTCGATGGCCACCTTCTCCCAAAAGGAAAAGTAATTCGCGGAGACGTAGTCGACGGCCTCGATCATCTCCGGGTGCGCAGAGTACGTGTCTCCGATGTCGGCGATGGTCAGGGGGATGGCGGCGGCTCCGGAGTTCGCCTGGCACAGCGTGCGGATCTCGTTCAGGTTCGAGATGGCCTCGGCAGCCGTCACGTCCCCGCGGTACACGGCCTCGCTGCCGACGTGGATGCCCACGGTGTTGTCGGCCGTCACGACGCCGGTCTCCAGCAGCGTCTGGAACGCCGCCTTCTCCGCCTCGAAGCTGGACGCGGCCGAGTCCACCCACATGCCCAGCTCGATCTTGAGCCCGGCCTCGATGGCGGCGGGCACCACGGCGGTGGCCTGGTCGCAGTCCGTCAGCGAGTACAGGCGGATGGTGTCGGTCACGCCCTTGAGCGTGGCCAGCTCGGTGGCGATCTGCGAGGCGGGCTTGCACTTGACGTCGGCGGTGGCCCAGTCCGGGCCGGCGCGGATGTTGTAGTTGATGCCCGTGCACTTGAAGCAAGCTGCCGGCGTTGGCCAGGCCGAAGGTGGCGGCGGCCATGGACAGAGCGGAGGTCATACGGAGCACGTTCACCATGGTGGAGAGTGGGGTCTTGGTCGTCGCTGTGTGGAGCTTCGGAGCGGAGGGGGGAATACTCGTATCGAGGGGATAGGAGTTTTGGAAATGACCGGGAGCTCGGGCCGCATTAGCGGCCTCAAGCGAGGCAGGGGTGCCTGTTGGCAGGGCCAGCATCTCTGCTAGGCAACGCAAGTGCCATCTGGATCGCGTGTCAAAGTTGCAACCTGACGCTCCGCTTGGATATTTCGGCAGCTGAAGCACCGAACGAGTAGCGAAACCTGTGTCAGCTGGCGAGCGACGTCAGAGCCCGCGCGAGCAGGATTTGCGCGCGCATATTCGGTGAGTGGAATGGGTGCCGACGGCGTACTAAGTACATGTATGCCTTCACGCGGCGGAAAGCGCTGGAACCATGCGTCAGTGTTCGCTCTCATCGATAGTATCGACGATACGGGCAGATTCGGTGCGTGATCGACCTCGACCGATGCAGCCATTGGTGGCGAGCTGTCTTTCGTCGTCGCCCCGGGGTTATATGCTTGCACGAGCTTGATTTTCCCGATCGATCGCTCGGTCGAGGACACTATAGAGCTTTCGGTGCCGCTGTCGTGGCGCCGGCACGCTCAACAGGCACCGAGTGTCACTGTTCGAGCCGACGATCAGCGCGTGCTGGAAATGGCCACATGCCGTCGACTTCAAAGTGGGCACGGCATTACGCTACTTAAGTATGAGGCAAGCTCTGTTATGAGAGGGTTGCCCCCTTGCGCTGCAGAGGGAAGATAGCTGTGGAAGTCATCGTTCATTTGCAACGCACATGGATTGTCAGGGACGCCGGCAAACATAAAGACAGTGCAACACGCGGGCTCGGCGATGAAGCAACTGGCGGCGGCTTACACTAACTTAACCTAGATCATAGCGCAGTCGGTGGCTGGCGCTGTGGTGGTGGTGGTGGGGATCAAGCTGCTGCTGCTGCTGCCGTCGTTAGACGCGACCTGGCTCGCTCCAACTGCGACCGTCGTCGTGTCAGCTCCCTCGGATGAAGTCCCCGCATCGCTGGACGAAGTCTCCGCGACGCCACTTGCGGAATCGAACGTCACGGGCGCCACGGTAGACACGGGAGCTACGGTGGACTCGGGCGCCACGGTGGACTCGGGTTCGTCAGTCTTGCTCTCGCAAACGGTACCTCCTCGGCTGCCGATCCGGACGCGCCCGTCGCGTTGCTGCTGGCAGTGCTGCTACTGCTGCTAGCGACGGCTCCGCTTCGGTCGAGCCTGCTTCAGACGTCTCGGCGGTCTCGTTGTCCAGCTCCAGCCCCTCGATGGACGACTTCAGTTTGCCATCCTCGTGGAACAAGCCGAAGTAGGCCTCCACGGTGTCGGTCCCCTTCCAGGGCTCGTCGAAGGCCGAGAAGTAGTAGTACGGGATGCCCTTCTCCTGGGCCTGCAGATAGAAGTCGTGGAAGTACCTGGCCGCGTTCTCCGCGGTGGCCACGCTGGCCCTAGCGTCCATGCCGTTGGTGGCCCACCCGGTCTCCGATCACCACGCGCTTCTTGCTGGCGCGTCGACCTTGTCGATGAGGCTCGGGTACGCCAAGTACGTGTTGCCGACGTCGGTGATCGTGAGAGGGACCTCGGCTGCACCCCCATTGTCGATGCACATCTGGCGGATCTCGCTGAGGTGGCCCACGGCGGTGCGATAGTCCACATCCCCACGATAGAGCGCCTCGCTGCCGACGTGGATCCCCACGATGTTGCCCGGCGTGACGACTCCAGTGTCCAGCAGCGTGGCAAAGGCCTCCTTTTCGGCCGAGTAGCTCGAGGCGTACGAGTCCACCCACAGACCCAGCTCAAGCTGAAAGCCCGCTGCAATCGCGGCTGGCACGAGCGCAGTGGCCTGGTCGCAGTCGGTCAGCGAGTACAGCCGCAGCACGTTCGTGTGGCTCTTGAGGATCTCAAGCTCGCTGGCAATCTGCGAGGCCGACTTGCACTTGACCTCGGGGGCCGCAGTCCGCGCCGGCGCGGATGTTGTAGTTGATGCCGGGGCAGTTGAAGGCCACGCCTTCCACGGGGCTGGTGGCGACGGCGACTAGCGCAGCGATGGTGAGGAGTGAGGACGTCGCGGAGACGTAAACCATTGCGAGCTTCTGTACGGGGAATGAGACGAAGGGAGCAAGTTGGCGAATGAGCTCGAGTTTGCAGGCAGCGCTACAATGGTCGCAGCCTCGACTGTGCGCGCCGCGGTGGTCGCGTCGCCGGAACAGCCGGAGCAGGAGCTGAGCCCGCAGTTCGTGGACAACTTCGCCAAAGGAATTGTCATTCACGACAACAAGTCCCAGGAGGAGGAAGAGCAGCCGAAGCTCGAGATGTCTGAGTACAAACGCAAGGAGGTTAACGGCGAGCTGCAGCCGGAGCCGTACTTGGTGTCGAACCCGAACCGGTTCGTGCTGTTCCCGATCCAGGAGCACGACGTGTGGCAGATGTACAAGAAGGCCGAGGCCTCGTTCTGGACGGCCGAGGAGTTGGACCTGGTGCACGACCTGAACGACTGGCAGAAGCTGACGGACAACGAGCGGTTCTTCATCAAGCACGTGCTGGCCTTCTTCGCGGCGAGCGACGGCATCGTGAACGAGAACCTGGCCATGAACTTCAGCAACGAAGTGCAGGTGCCCAAGGCGCGCTGCTTCTACGGCTTCCAGATCGCCATCGAGAACATCCACGCCGAGGTCTACTCGCTGCTCATCGACACGTACATCAAGGATACGATGGAGAAGAACCACCTGTTGCGCGCTATTGAGACGATCCCGTGCGTCAAGAAGAAGGCGCACTGGGCGCTCAAGTGGTGCGACCCGCGGGTGTCGTCGTACCCGGAGCGTCTGCTGGCGTTCGCTGCGGTTGAAGGCATCTTCTTCTCGGGCTCCTTCTGCTCCATCTTCTGGCTCAAGAAGCGCGGCCTCATGCCCGGCCTGAGCTTCTCCAACGAGCTCATCAGCCGCAACGAGGGCATGCACACGGACTTCGCGTGCCTCATGTACTCCAAGCTGGTCAACAAACTGCCCGAGAGCCGCGTGCACGAAATCGTTCGTGAGGCCGTCACCATCGAGCACGAGTTCGTGTGCGACTCGCTGCCCGTGGAGCTCATCGGCATGAACTCGACGCTCATGTGCCAGTACATCGAGTTCGTGGCCGACCGCCTGCTGTACTCGCTGGGCGTGCCCAAGCTCTACAACGTCAAGAACCCCTTCGACTGGATGGACATGATCTCGCTGCAGGGCAAGACCAACTTCTTCGAGAAGCGTGTGGGCGAGTACTCGAAGGCCGGCGTCGGCGTCGCGGCCGAGGAGCAGGTCTTCACGCTCGACGCAGACTTCTAAGTGCGGCGTCGATGGGGTGTCCATGGTGTGATTGGGTGGGCTCTGCGTTGGCCATGTCTAAGTATCTGTAAGTTTGAAGAAGCAACGGCAGTTGTAAGCCAGCTTCGTCGCGTAATTAAAAAGTAAATGTTACGAATGTTATCCTAGCGTTCACAGAAATGATACATTGCTTTACCATCAAGTCCAACAGCGATTGATAGAGCGTAGATCGGTAATGCTGTGGGTTCACCGCCTATGAGTTTGAATCTTTCAATCGTAGCGACTGGCGAGAATTTTCATTTCATCATTTGAGAATTCGCGCAGAAGGCGACAAGTCTCGATGCCGGTGGGTTACCTTGGGTCGCCTAATGGTACTTCGGATACTGAAGATTTCTGCAACAAATTACGGCATGTACGCAACGAACCTGTTCTGCCTGGCCTTGTTGCCGACGACCGGAAAGTATCTCCGAGTAAGATAAGCGAACGTCTACAGTTGGGGGCACCACTGGGGCGCTATGGAGAGAGCGTGGGCAAGGTCTGTTCCAGTTGGTGGATGCTGTCACGCACGCTGCATTCATGGGCACCACTGCGCAGTCGGCCCCTCTCACCGAAGAAAACATCGTAGAAAGTCTACGAGACACCGTTTCCATCAAATTCTCCATCGCTCTCCCAAAAGAGATGATCGCCGCCAAACTTCGCGTCTTCGAGGATTTCAGCGCGTACGAAGCGAAGCAGCCTCTGGAGGTGTTCGCTACATTGGATAATCGTGGTAAGGACCCCAGTAACCCGCTGTGTGTTGTGGTACCGCCGCCAATGCAGCCCGACCCGTATACGCAACTTCGTGTCGGTGATATAATGATTTTTGTTACTAGATCAATGCAGGTGAATCCTCCGGATATGGTCTCGTTTTGGCAGGCAATGGCGAGAAACTCCACTGCGATCGGCTATGGCAACGTGGTTGCGCTATCAGATGGAGCTTACCTCCTTGGGGATCCGACTCTAGGCTCCCAGGTATTCATTCGTGACTGCTACCCAGAACTATTGGACGCTTGCATGAAGCTAACTCGCGATGAGGCCGAGTGTCCACGCCTCGTGATCTTCGGTAACTCAGGGATTGGCAAAACCTTTTTTGGCTTGGTGTTGCTCCTTCATCTGACCCGAGCTCACGCGACTGTTGTTTACGGTTGTGGAGAATCTGGGCAGCGGTTTCTGTTCTCTCCTGGCCTGGTTGTTCAGGGGTCAGATCAAGACTTTCTTGGCGTTTTGGATGAGTCTACAACGTACTATATTGTGGATGGTGCAGCTCCAAATTGCTACCCATGCAAGATGGTTTTATTGTCTCCGCCAAGGCGCTCACTTTGGTACGATTTCACAAAGTTTGGCTGTGAGTTTCTGTAGATGCCAATGTGGTCGAAAGATGAGACCATGAAGTGCCATGCATTAATGTATTCTGGCAAAGTGTCGGCCGAGAAGGAGGAAGACTGCTATCGTCGGTGGGGCGGCAACGCACGCTATGTGCTACACAATGCTACGTCAACTTCGCATCAGGTGCAGCTCCAGATTGCACTGGTGAGTGTCAACCTGAACTCATTAGTTACTGCCTGTCGAAGGCTGAACGCGGATGACTACCACGCCTTACACAACCTGCTTCATTATCGCGTAACGAAGTGCTTCCAGAAGGAATGCTTGGGTTTTGCTTCTCGGTACGTTCAGGAGGAGGTCTACAAGCGCCTTTACAAGCAGAACAAGGATAAACTGCTCGAGTTTCTTGCTGTAGTGGATGATTTTGGGCCTGATGATGTGCTGCGCGGTCTGTTGCGCGGGACTGCTGTGCCGTCATGAAGCAAACAAATTATCGTCTACTGCAGTTCGGGGAAAAAATGCTGGTGTCAAAGAAATCTAACTACGCCTCTGCCAAAAAATAAACAAAAACTTAATCATGATGTACTGCTGCGGGTACACCCACTCGTCAAAAGGTAAGCTAGATAGTTCAGGGACACATTCTTATCAATAACATTTCTGCCGGGCGGCATGCAGAAAAAAACACACCAGGATCACGACAAAACTATCGGATTTGGAGCTACAAATATGTGGTAAAGTTGTTCGTAGACTCGAAGATTGGATGCGACAGTGTGGATGGGTTAGGCCAGACTTCTCATCTCAATCTTTCAATTGTTTGGGCACAGGCTTTTTCCTCTCATTTGAGAATTCGACAAGTCGACAATGCCGATTAAAACCTTTTATCAGTTAGGGAGCGGAACCAGCACTGGGTCGGTAAATTTCCTAGTGTTACCTGAGGATGCTTTGGATATTGAAGATTTCTGCATAGAATTACTTGCTGAACGCAAGGGATCGCTTCCGTCAGGCCTCGCTCTCGACGACCTGAGAGTATTTACGAGCAAAACGCATGAGCACCTGAAGTTTGGGGAACTGTTGTCTCCCTATGGAGAGAGCGAGCATGACCCGCTGGTTGTAGAGGTGCCCAAGGTCTGGTTCCAGTTGGTGGATGCTGTCACGCACGCTGCATTCATGGGCACTACCGTCCAGTCAATTCCCCTCGTCGAAGAGAGAAGCATTGAGAACGTTCAGGACGCAATTTTCCAGAAGGTTGGAGCTGCTCTTCCCAAACATATTAATGCCGCTAAGCTTCGAGTCTACGAGGATTTCAACGCGTACGGAGAGAACCGGCCTCTTAATGCGTTCGCTACGTTAAAGAATCGTGGGAAGGGCCCCATAAATCCGCTGTGTGTTGTGGTATCGCCGCCGTCGTGGTCTAACCAACAGTCCCAAGTTGTCGTTGGAGGTGTGGTTTGTTTTGTTACACACTCCATGCACGTGAATCTCCCGAATCTCGTCTCGTTTTGGAGAGCGTTTGGTAGGGATTCCACCCCCATGGAGGGTGGGAACATTGTCACACTACCCGAAGGAACTTATCTCCTTGGGGATCGTTCACTTGGCTCAAAACTCTTCATTCGTGACTGCTACCCGAAGCTGTTGGACACTTGTATGAAGGCAATCCATGACGAGGAGAAATGTACGCCACACCTTGTGATTCTCGGCAATTCGGGGGTCGGGAAAACGTTTTTCGGTTTCGTTGTGCTGCTGCACCTTGCTCGGATTCGGGCGACAGTCGTCTTCGAGTGTGCAGGGCCTGGGGGGAGGCGGTTTCTGTTCTCTCCTGACTTGGTCGCTAAGGGATCGGACCAAGACTTTATCGCCATTTTACGAAGGCCAACGACGTACTGCATAGTGAACCGTGGCCGTTCGCACTATTATCCATGCAAGACGATACTTTTGACGCCACCAAGGCGCTCAGTCTGGTTCGAATTCAGCAAATTGAATTGCGGATTTTTCTACATGCCTGTGTGGCCGAATGTCACGATATTATCGACTACAAACACATAGAGCGCGAAAATGGGTAACGATCTGCCAACTTTGTGGAGATCAAGCTGCAGTAAGCTGTGTGACCCGCGTGCAACGCAGTCATCTGGATGAAGTTAAAGATGTAGGAAGCGATGTGCTTGAAGTTAGATGTTGAAGTTACAGGCACCAAGGACTAGAATTGCTTAGGAGGAATAGGACGAAGGTACTAACCTCAATCACAGTTTCGATTTTCCAGCGTACTCAACACAGCATCTCGGCTCCCGATGCCGCCGTACTTCCTCTCTAAGTGCTACCATATCACTTATCACTCGTTTTAAAAATTGTGACACCGAAAGAACTTCTCAGGTGCCATGAAGCAATATATGTTGACAAAATTCCTGTCGACAAGGTGGAGGACTCTTACCGTCGGTGGGGTGGTATCGCAAGAAAAGTGCTGCAACCTGATCGGTCGGGCGAGTGTCAACCTCGAATCGACCGTGCGATTCGTTGTGTCACCTTAGAATCTTTGGTGGATGCGTGTGCAATGCTTAACGCTGATGACTACCACGACTTGCGTGATCTGCTGCATTATTGTGTTGATGAACACTTCCAGAAGGAGTCCATAGTTTTTGCGTCACAGTACGTTCAGGAATCGGTCTACAACAATCTTCGCGTACAAAATGAGGATAAGCTTTACAAGTTTATTGCTGTATCGGATGGGGTTGCTGCTGTCGATTTGCTGCGTGGCTTACTGAGCGACGAATATGCGCACTCAATGGTGGGGACTCGAATTCATCGTCTAGTTAATGACCAGAACGACGCCAAAGATGGCGGTCCTGTGGTGGAGGGGAGCAATTAAACGGTTGAGGTGGAACTGCCATGGCGGTAAAGTGTATTTCTCGGTCACCGCGATGATACATCGCGCGTCTACTACACACTGACTTTCAGGGTCTCTCCATGCAATCAATGGTTTCTGTGAGTCTTAGGTTGCAGCGGCATATTCAAAGCCAGTTTCGACGCGTTTAAAAAAATAAAAAAAATCAATTAAGTACGTATGAATACGAAGTATATAGTGGGCTGCCACCATCTCGGCGAATGATTGCGTATTAGTTTAGCTGAGTTTTGTTTAGTTTGCTTAGTTTTCAATATTTTTAACACATACACCGTGATCGTCTTTTCGTAGGGCGTGCACGCAAAGCACTTGTTGGTCGGTTCCATTGCCTTTTAACGAAAGTCAAAATTCGGTCCACATTTACGCGAACCATTACGCGAACCTGTACATGAACTTAAAACATTTTCATAGATCACGCTACACCTGTGGGGGAATACGAAATTGGGGATAGCGGTCGAGAATCCAGGCATAACCCCCCGTATCCTTGTTGCGAGCTGCCAATTCCATAGTTTCCGTCGTGCAAGGTTGCTTGCATTGCGAGTGCAAAAACAGCAGGAGCTCGAAATTCCCGCGATTGGCAGCACTGTTGATGGCAGAACTTGTGCAACCTTCCGAGCGATGAGTGTGGAGCCATTGAACAACACTGAAATGCCCCTGTAGCGCCGCCTGGTCCATCGCCGCTGTGGTGCATCCTTCCGCTCGGTTTCGGTGCAGCCATTTCACAACCGCCAAATGACCATTCGCTGCTGCTTCGTCCATTGCTGCGACGGTGCATCCTTCACGGCGATATTTATGCAGCCACTTCACAACGTGAAGATGCCCATTTGTTGCCGCTCCATTCAGTGCTTGTGTCGTGCAGCCAGCGTTCATATTGGCGTGCAGCCATTTCACAACCTCAAGATGTCCGTTGGTAGCAGCGCCGTCCATTGCAGCTTTTGTACTCCATATCGATAACTCTCCATGCAGCCATTGCACCACGCGCAAAAAGCCTCCTGAAGCAGCTCCATCCATCGCGCGACTTGTGCAGCCCTCCAGCCTGTTCCGAAAGAGCCACTTGGCGACATCCAAATGCCCATTTGCCGCCGCACAGTCTATCGCCTTATTGGTGCACTTGCGACCGGGCCTGCTCGATCCATTTCTGTTGCGTTTCCGACTATCCGCGTTAAATTCCATCGCCTGCACCAGAACTAACACGTTCAGATGCCCTCGCGCAGCGATACCATCCATCAGAGCTCCATCGGTCGGTGTCTGCTGATATCCGTCGGCGATAACAGAACAATACTCCGTTGATAGCCATTTCACGACACCAGCATGGCCATTCTTCCCGGCTTTGATCAACGTATCGATCGAGACCTTGGCAGCCGTGCACGATTCACCACGCTGCGTAGTCAAAGTTCGAATCAGAGCATCCTGCTCCTCACTTTCCACCGCACACTGGCAAGCATTTCGAGGTGTTTCCGCGCGCGCTCGAAGGTACTTGGCGAGGTCAAGAAGCCCGTTCACCGCCGCGGTGTGAATTGCCAGACTGGCCTCTCCCCCCAGTTTGTCACTTCTTCCGGCATTCAGATCCAGCAGCCAGCGCACCACATCCAAGTGTCCATTCTCCGCTGCCACCATTACCACTCCGCAACTAATCGAAACCAGTTCCTCCTTCTCCAGCCACCTGAGCACATCAAGGCGGCCTTGAGCTGCAACCTCGTGCACTAAACGGCGCCCTTGGATCTGCAGCCGCAAGGCGGCACCATGAGACAGTAGCCACTCTGCCAGGGCGATGTCCCCGTTCTTCACAGCGTACTCAAAAGCCTTGCTCTTATCGTATCTCACGCTTGGGGTGTGTTGCAATAGCCACCACATGACGTTGTTATGGCCGTGTAGCACCGCCACCTCTAGGGCGTCCTTGCTCCATTGAACTCGATGCCCCACGACAATTTGTTTGGTGGGGTTTGTCGATTGTAGCTGCCTCCTATGCGAAGAATTGTCGTTATCAAGGAAAAACTGCAAGATTTCCATGGCCCCGACACTGGCGGCTGTGGTCGCCACTTGGGGCACGATGGCAACGCCCTGGAAATGGGCGGACAGCCACTTGACCAAGTTGAAGTCTTTACGCTTCACTACCTCCTGCAGCGACTGGTTGAACTGGTAGTGGCGGTAGAAGCGGTCGGATAGGAGGAGTTTGCGAAGAGACCAGTCGTTGCCGCCGCGTTTTTGCTTGCGATAGGCTTGAGTGGAGACCCGGATGCGCTCCAGCAGTCGCAGAGACTCGAAGGCGCAGGCCTTGTGCAGCGGCAACTCGACCGACGAGTCCAGGAACTGCGAGACGGAGGTGATGACGTGTGACAGGTCGACGAAGGCGCTCTTGGCACGGAAAAGCAGCTCCACGACGAGCAAGCGGGACACTTCCTGGGGCATGGGTGCTCGTTCCGACTTCAATTGCTCGAAGATTGTTTTATGCCTCACAAACTTTACAAACTTCAAGTAAATTTGGAACGTGTCTACCGCACAAACAAGCTGTCAGCTTTTTCTAGAAAAGTACAACATTTTTACTAAAGTTCCATAAATCTCAAATATATTGGGCCAATACACAAGTATGCATGTCTTTCAGCTCGACCTTCTAGAGTGCTCCCCGCACGAGATTCGGACGGCTGAGTGGGCTTGACATTGTCGTGTAATGTTACGCTAGAGAATCCACAGCCAAAGCGAACTGAAAGTCATACTAACGTACGGCGGCAGCATTGCGTGCGTCATCTTCGAGGTCATTCTGTGTGGTAGTAGAACAAATCTAATGGTTAGTTTACCTCGGCTACCCATTACGTACCCTACCATTACCAGTACATACATTAGATTCCGTGCACTTGTAATTTAGATGATAGTATTACAAAGGTTGGATAAAGCAAGACACGTTCCGTTTCAATTGAGCCCGATTTCAGTCAGATATTCATAGTGAAAGTCACCGGTTTTTTGTCAGTCCCTGCTCCTGATTCCTCGGTTAGATCAAGCACCAACTTCGTGCAATACGAATTGGAAGTCTGACGCAAAAATATATACAACTTACGACGGGTATCAGTAGTTATTTCCGTAAGTCACTGCAAATTCATTTTTTTACGGATATTGGGTTTTTCCGATTCCGGTTGATACTTTCGGCTGCAAGAACTCGACGTTCAGTCAGACCTAAGGTTACGTCTCGGACAAGTTCAACGACTACAATTTGGCGTACGCACATTTCATTAAGAGCCGCAGGATGCACGCACCCTACGTCCAGGTGCCCGAAGTCGTCATTTCGGTGACGCCTACAAGGTCGTGCTGGTCACGGCTGCGGCTACAAGTTGTAGCCTACAACTGTGAGAGTGTCATCAAGACGGTCGGGGAGGTGCGGCCGACCTTGACGCCTGCTGACGCGACTTAGCATCTACGGGTCGGCGAGGAGCTCAACGCGCAGAACTTGGAAACCTGCTACCCTCAACCAGACGTGCCTCTAAATAACGGAAATACAGACTGCCCGTTCCTTATTGCAGAAGGAGTGTATCACTGTAAGTAAACAAGACCGAAAATATATGTACGTGAGACCGCGTCAAACGTTCGTAATCATCATTTAGTGAAGCTTACGAACCATTTGGAGTTTCGAAATACATATTACAGATACTAGTAAACCGGTGAGATATGTCACAAGCGTCCGACTCCGATTCCACTTCGCTTACGGAATCAAAAAAATGATCATCTCTGGAAATCAGACAGGGATTCCAGACGCAGACGCCCGAATTTGTAGCATCGATTCTGTGACCTACATGAACGAGACTAGCTGATGGTTACTTATCTTCGGTCCCACTGGCACCGTCACACTTGAGAGGAAGTGCGAATCCGTTGGTCAAAGTAAAACAACATACTACTGAAATCCAGCCTTAACGAGTACTACACTACAAAACAAAAGATTCCCAGCTAATCCCAGCTATTTTAAAGTAGAGGACCGGCTATAACGTGAGTGTCACGCAGTGTTATCCGCTGGTGGTAGCAACGAATATAGCGCGAATGTTGTTCGATGGCAAGGGCTGTGATTCCAGCACTAACGCCGCTTCTTATCCCAATAAGTCCTTACCACTATTTTAATAATGTTTTCAATAACCGTAAAACTCCCGCTTAGAGTTGCCCCAACCTGCCCCCGAATGCATGAACCATAGGGGTTGTTAAGCCCCAGGGCTCATGTTTGCCTTTGATATCTAATTGGTTCGTAAGCATGTTTGACGCGGTCGCACATGGCCCGCGTATCTACTTTCATTTAAGTATCTGCTTGGTCTCTCATCAGGAGCTCGACCTCGTTCACTCATCATTTACCAAGTCTCCGCTTCAAGCACAAGTCAACCGTTAAGATGAGTGTGCTGCTACAGTTGCTGTTGCTCCCTCTATTGGCGACGGCGTCGCCAGCCATCGACCTCTCTCCGCCTGGGAACGATGTCTGTCTCGACGAGTCCTCCATCCGGTCTGTGGCGGCGAACCTCAACGCTAATGCACCTGCCACCGGCTCCGACGTCTCCGAGAAGAAGGATCTCCCGGTCTTCTTCTTCCACGGGCTCACGGGCAACAGCGGGGAAGGTTCCAACTTGCAAGCGAACTTGACGGCTGAAGGGCGCGTGTTCCCTTGGCTTTCTGTGAGAGGGAGTGCTCTCTGACGGCGTTGAACACCCAAGTGCCGATGGTTATCGCTGCGGTGCACGAGGTGGTGGCAAGCGATCAACGCTTCGCCGATATCTACATCTTCATCGGGCGTTCCCAAGGAGCGATGATAGCTCGCGCGGTGATCGAGCAGATGGACGACCACAAGGTGCACACGTACGTGAGCCTGGCAGGAGGAGTGAACGGCATTTTCTACGGCCCTCAAGAGGCCGACCGCAACTCGATCCACGACTTAGGAGCGGGCTTTGGCGCAGCCGTCCTGCCGCAAAATCTGTTTGACTTTACGGGGTACACACCCGAGGGCTACAGAGGGAAGATGCAAGCCGACTTTGCACGTCGATGTATGGACCCCAAGCTCCAGGCCACCTACTCCTACACGAACTTAGGACGAATTCCAGTGCGTGACGTCTGGCTGGCGACTAACGAGTTCCTACCCATGATCAACAACGTGAATATTTGCGCGTGGTTTGATTTCCACTGCCACTTGGAGAAGATTCGCCGCAAAAACAACTTTCTGAGACTGAAGGAGGCGCATTTCTTCGCTTCTCCGGACGATGGCGCGGCGTCACCATGGCAAATGGGTCTGCTTGAACACTACAGCGAGGTTGAGACACTGGAAGAACTTGAGACTAGGTTCGAGAGCCTCACGATCGTAGAGATGCGTGATACAGTCGAGTACAAGGACGACACGTACGGCTTGCGCACGCTGGATGAAAGGGGAGCGTTGTTCCGCTACCCGGTCCCCGGGGTTCCGCACTGCTGTTGGTTGTATGACACCCCCAAGTTTCACGAGGAGGGCTTGTGTAAGTTCCATCCTGTTTTTGACGAGTACGTGTACAAGGTGCTTCGGTAGGGCGGCACTTTTCATTGGCAGCGTCGCGGGGTTGCTGGTAGCACAGCTACCGAGTATTTCTGCTCACTCTATGGGGATAGCCATTGTATCACTTGCGACGACCTAACAATATACGATTTTTCCGTACGAATGTTACTTTGCTACGGCTTGAAAAATGTTAGTATCGACAAAGACGAAAAGGTTAGTTCGTGAAGATCTTGGTCACGGTCGCGAAATGGCTTTCACGGCATGATTCGACATGTACGGTGCGGCCTCGCCTAGCCTGAACAATCACTAGTAGACACTGCGTGTCTAAGACACGGTGTCTTCAGCGTTGGGGTCGTACTCGTGGTTGACGGCGGTAGGTTTTCCGTTGCTGCCTAGATGTGGAGGAGGAGGACGGAACCCATCCGGGCTGGGCGGCAGTCGTCCGAAAAATGGCTGTCCCCACCAGACATGACACCCTTGGCAGGAAATGGAGGCTGCTTTCCTTTAGGAATTTGGAGCTTTGAAGCCTCGCCGTTACCTTGCTTAGGAGGCGCCGGAAGTTGATGGGAGCACAATCCTGCCAGGGGAACGGAGGGGCGAAGACGTCGCCTACGTCTGACGGTGGTGGAACGCCTCCGGCATCACTTGCACTACCAGGCCATGAACCAAACCCACTGCTGAGATGGCACTCCACCTTTTCCCTTGTCCGTAGCAAATTGGTGGCATGATCACGAAACCTTTTGCCGTCAGCAGAAGGTGGAGGAGGAAGAGGATTGCGATTGCTGGGTTTCTTGTCGTCAAAGTGCTTCGGGTGGTAGGTTTTCCGTTGCTGCCTAGATGTGGAGGAGGAGGACGGAACCCATCCGGGCTGGGCGGCAGTCGTCCGAAAAATGGCTGTCCCCACCAGACATGACACCCTTGGCAGGAAATGGAGGCTGCTTTCCTTTAGGAATTTGGAGCTTTGAAGCCTCGCCGTTACCTTGCTTAGGAGGCGCCGGAAGTTGATGGGAGCACAATCCTGCCAGGGGAACGGAGGGGCGAAGACGTCGCCTACGTCTGACGGTGGTGGAACGCCTCCGGCATCACTTGCACTACCAGGCCATGAACCAAACCCACTGCTGAGATGGCACTCCACCTTTTCCCTTGTCCGTAGCAAATTGGTGGCATGATCACGAAACCTTTTGCCGTCAGCAGAAGGTGGAGGAGGAAGAGGATTGCGATTGCTGGGTTTCTTGTCGTCAAAGTGCTTCGGGTGGTCCTTACGAAATGGCCCATGGTTCGAAAAGGGTGGCATTTCACCGTCCCCGGCATGCGGTGGAGGATTGTCGAAACGACCATCAAAACTTCCGCTACCGTGCCATGGTCTACCTCCTTCGTCGCTCGCATTGAGAGAAAAGTCGGCACGTCCTGCAACCGGGGGCAAGCGATGGTGCTGCCCACCGCGAAACATGCCGCCACGCTCGGGTTGCTCCAAGTCGCGGCTAAAATCGTTCGGGGGAGGTTCGTCGGCGTCGCTGTCTGAAGGACCAAGTCCCGTGCCACTACTGGTCGATCTCCCGTCGCGCAAAAATTGCGAGTGAGGGCTGAGCGGAGATCACGGGTCGGAGGACCCTTCGACGATAACTGCAGCCGCAGCCACCGCCGCGGCGATAGTGACCGTGAGCTTGACCATGGACGCTGGACGGGCGAGTTACTGTAGTGTGATGAGCTGGTTATGGGAGAACGGACGCCAACATCTTGGGCATACCCTCGCTACATGACACCTTTGCTCGTGTGGGGCGTTGATGGGATCGGGATTCGGATAGCGAAGATTTCAACCGCCATGCATCGGTTTCACTCTTGCCGTTGACACACGTTCAACGGAGAGCAAGGACCGTCGCCGGCGAGCAAGGGTGTGCCTGTGTAACATGGGAAGGCGAGAGGTTGTCCACCGAGCAGCTCAGCGGTGTCCTACAGCGCTTCGCTTCTAATCGCGGAGCTCTGTAGTCCCTGCACCGCTAAGAAAACGAAGGTAAGGTGTCACGAATTACACCACTACGTATCGCGAAAACTCGACACTCGGCCGATTTACACCACTAAGTTTCCACCGAAAACTATCCACCCTTAGTTAGATATCCCTATCCCTGTGAGTCGCACAACGGTTGGCCACCACATCACTCAACCAGCACTTCGACCTGCAGGGCCCATTGCTAGTAGTGTCTGTGCGTCTCTGCATCTCCTCCTCCCACCATGGCGTTCAAGAAGAAGGGCGGCGGCAAGAAGGCGGCCGCGGGCGGTGGTGCCAAGAAGCAGAAGCACGGCTTCGTGCGCGCCAGCAGCTCGCGCGGCGCCAACCCGTTCGACGTGCGCGGCAACGCCAGCAAGCAGAAGCACGAGGTGCTGGGCCGGCGCGTCAAGGGCGCGGGCCGCAACGTGGCGGCCGCGCGCGCCGAGGCCGAGCGCAAGCGCCGCAAGACGCTGGGCGCCGAGTTCAAGGCGCGCAACAAGAGCAACGTGTTCAAGGACCGGCGGCTCGGCGAGCAGGACCCGACGCTGTCCATGGAGGACAAGATGATGGCGCGCTTCCAAACGGAGCGCAAGCGCAAGCTGCGCAACGCCGCGGCCTTCGCGCTGCACGACTCGGACTCGGAGCAGGAGGGCGACGACGACGCGCTGTTCCTGACGCACAAAGGCGCCAAGATCACGGACGACGACTACGACCGCCTGAACGCGGACGGACCGCTGGACGAGGAGGACGACTCGGAGGAGAGCAGGAAGATGGACAGGGACATCGTCAACAAGCTGCACTTCGGCGGCGGCAAGGGCGACGCCGACGCCTCCGCGCCGGAGGCAGAGGACGGCAAGAGGAAGACCCACAAGGAGGTCATGCAGGAGGTCATGATGAAGGCCAAGATGTTCAAGGCCGAGCGCCAGAAGAACAAGACGGCGCAGGAGGACGAGACGGACAAGCTCGACGAGGGCTTCGCCGACCTGCGCGGACTGCTCGAGTTCCGGCCCACGCGCGCCAACGGCAAGGAGCTGCTGCCGAAGGAGCCGATGGACGACTTCGACAAGCTGACGAGGGAGTTCGCCTTCGAAGCCAAGGCCAAGGCCACGGAGCGCAGGATGTCGCCCGAGGAGGCTGCGGCCAAGGAGCGCGACCGTCTTGCGGCCCTGGAGAAGAAGCGTGTGGCGCGTATGCACGGCGCTGACGACGATGACAGCGACAGTGAGGACGAGGGCAAGCGCAAGGGCAAGAAGGGCAAGAAGGGGAAGAAGGACAAGGGACCCAAGCTTATCATCATGCCGCCAACGGATGACGACCTGACGGACGGCTATGCTGTGGACTCGCGCTTCAATGCTGACGCGGAGGAGGAAGAGGCCGACGTGGATGCTGAGGAGGGTGACGAGGATGAGGAGGAACAGGAGGAGAGCGAGGAGGAGGACTCGGAGGCCGACTCGGAAGCGGATTCGGACGACGAAGACGAGGTTGAGGAGAAGAAGGACAAGGAAGAGAAGGAAGACGAAGAGGAGGAGGACGAAGAAGAGAGCGACGAGGAGACTGAGAAGCAGAAGCGGAAGCAGGATGCTGAGGATGCTGCCGCCGAGCTGCCCTTCGTGTTCGAGTGCCCGGAGTCCCCTGAGGAGCTCGCGGCGCTCTTCAAGGAGCACGCGCGCAACTCGCCCGAGAAGCGCGGACTCATCTTGGACCGCATTGTCACGTACTACAACCCGCGCCTGAGCGTTGAGAACAAGAACAAGATGAAGCGCTTCTTCGCGGTGATGGTGCGCCAGTTCCTTATCTTCGCGGCGCGCTACGCAGCACACAAGGAAGACGTACGTTGTTTTACTCTTGCCAGCAGCTTTATGCATGTCTTGATGCTAACTTTTTACACTGCTTGTTACAGCTCGACTCGCTGGCGAGGAACATGTACACGCTGGCGCAGCAGATGGGTGACACTGCCGGTGTCGTGGTGCGTGAGCTGCTTGCTCAGCTCTTCAAGCGGTTGCGCAAGCGCGCTTCGACCTCGGCGTGGCCGTCGCTACCGGAGCTGCTTCTTTTTAAGGTGCTTACGTCCATCTTCCCGACCTCCGACTTGCGGCACAACGTGGTGTCTCCCATGGAGACGCTTCTGGGCGAGAGTCTGGCTCGCGGTGCTGTGAGCTCCCCGCAGGAGGCCACTCAGGCGCTGTTCGCTGCCTCGCTGTCACTGGACATGACGCGGTCGAAGGAGCGCTTTATGCCGGAGGTCGTGACCTTCCTCACTCGCATCCTCCGCGCGTTCGTGACGTCGGGTGCTAGTGAGACGAAGGAAGCCGACGACGAAGACGACAGCGAGTCCTCGGTCCACTGGCTGCGTCGTGATTTGCTCGAATGGGTGGCTGCACACTCTGAGGAGAAGAAGATGCCCGCTCTGCCGCGTCTGTCGCTGGCTGGCAGCTCGTCTTGCAGCGGCGCTCAAGTGTTGAGCTCGCTGCTGGCTCTGCTGGACGCCACGTCGGCGCAGTACGCGTCGCTGCCGTCGTTCGATGAGCTGTTCTACCCTCAGTACCTGCTGCTGCACGCGCTGGTGACTCAGCTGGAGGACATCAAGATCTCGGAGGTGAACGCCGTCATCTCCAAGCTGCACAAGCGTCTCGACTCGTGCTGGAACGCGCGTCGTCCGCTACGTCTGCAGAGCTTCGCGCCGACGACGCTGCCAACGTTCGCGCCGCTCTTCGACGAGAACTACACGGTCCGCAAGGACAAGACGGCGCCCAAGGACACTGCGCAGCTCAAGCAGCTGCAGCGCCAAGTCAAGCGCGCGCGCAAGGGCGCGGCCCGCGAGCTGCGTCGCGACGCCGAGTTCATCCACCGCGAGAAGCAGAAGGAGGAGGAGGCGCGCCTCGCGGCCAAGGAGGAGAAGCAGAAGGAGATCCGCCGCTGGCTCGAGGAGCAGAACGCCACGTTCAACCAGCAAGTGCGCAAGGGCGGCAACATGCTCAAGGGCGGAGGCTCCGCGCGCGGGCCGGCGCCGCGGGCGCGCACGCCCCGGAAGTAGGCTCGCTTTACCACGCTCTACCAGCTATTGCATTAGTTTTCCGCTACTACCCCACTCCAATAGAAGTTGCCTTTTGTCATTAACTTGTCACTTCAACTTCAACATTAGGTGTATCCATTCTGTAGCTGCTTGACGACGCTACTCGCGGCGGCACTCATGCCTCACTATCGAATTTGCCGTGGAGGGCGCAGACGCCATGGCCAAGGGACAGCAGGCTACGCCGCAGAAGATGGAGCAAGCGGAGGCAGTGCCGGTCTCTCCGCAGCAGCCCATGGCTGCTCCAGGTCCGACTCAGCCTCCCCAGCAACCGAGGCTCAAGCCTACCGCCGACCAATGCTTCGCGATCGTCCAGGCCCGACTCCTGCACCTCTACTCGAGGGGAAATCTCAACAGCCCGCTCGAGAAGGAGGAGCTCGCGATCCTGTTCAACTTGTGGCTGAGCCTCAAGGAGAACCGAGCCCAGAGAGACCTCGCGCTCAGGATGCACGTGGAGCTGCATAACGTCCAGGCGTGAGCTTCTTACCTTTCGCTGCTGCAGCTGGCTTCGTCTGCGTAAGATAACTTGAAAACAAATACCGTTTGACTCGGGTTATCCTCGTTCATTACGTGAATATCGGACGAACTTGAGCCGTGAATGAGCCCGTTGCGCGCGGGCGCTGAAAGCGTATTGGACTCGAGCCATATTATAATACCGGCGGGGGTGCACGCTACTGCTCGAAGAGCACCATGATCTCCTTGAGAGCCTCAACTTGATCGTTGTGCCATTTCTTCCGATTGAAATGTCCAAGGCTCGACCAAACGATTCTAGAGCGCGAAGAGTAGTGAGTGCCACGAGCTTCATTTGTACGATCGACCCATGGCAAGTGCACACCGGGTATCAATCCCGCCAAGGCTTGCAGGTGGGCGAGCCACAACAATTGCTCCACTACCCTCAGATGGAGAAAGTGGATTGCCTTCAACTGCTGCATGAGAACTGCCCCTCAACTTCTCGTATTGCTGCGACCACGACAAGATCTCCTGTCACCAACACCATAACACTGAGAAGCTGCAAATGCAAATACAAGGTTAGACACAAAGAGACTTTATGTGAAAATACATGTATCTCTCCGTGTAGCCATCTACTGCTGCCCATCTCCCTCTCTGCCATTTGCTCCTCGGCGTTCTGTCTACTCGCGGTCCTTCTTGGGCACGCTCTTCTTGATGTACTGGCGGGTGGGCGGCATGGGCAGCACGTTGGCCAGGCCCAGGAGGTGCGCCACGCGGTCCGAGGGCTGCGCGCCCACCGACATCCAGTAGCGCACGCGCTGGCTGTTCACACGCAGCTCCTTGACGCCGTCGCTGGCGGCGATGGGGTTGAACGTGCCGAGCTGCAACAAATGGCAAAAAGTTGCAAGAGGTTAGAGGCGTTTAGGCTAGTGCTAACCAGCGGTTACGGGAAATTGGCTACGGCAACACACGTACGATCTCGAGGTGCTTGCCGTCGCGCGGGGCGCGCGCGTCCGCGGCCACGATGCGGTAGAAGGGCAGGTCCTTGCGGCCCCAGCGGGCCAGGCGCAGTCTCACCACCATGATCGTCCGAGCTCTGCTCTGCGAAGTGAGTGGCTTCGGGCCGCACGATGCCGTTTCGGATTAGTGACATCCGTCACTACTAAAGCAAATAATTAAATTGTAACCGCAAATATTCAATTTGGATTTTGTAACTTTCGGGATTAGACGTCCACGTGAGCGCGAAAGAAAGCGTCCACAGCGGCGGCAAGCAGACAGCAATCCCATGTGGTACGCTAGTTGTCAATGGGTCTCCGCTGGATTTTCCTGCCTGCTGTATCGCGCGCCGCCTTGGCAGCCATCCGCAGCGCGCGTGAGTGCCGGCGGCTGCGAATTTAGTTCGTGTCTGCTCTATGGCTTCAAACTGCTTGGCATCCGCTTCGCTTCACGTGCTGGCGTCCAACTTGACGTCGCCCGCCTCCTTCTCGATGAACGCCTTGATCTTCTCCAGCAGGTCGTTCTTTACGTCCTCAGGCACCGACGCTAGCAATGCAATGCAACGCAACCAACACCACGGCCATTAAGCCACGCCGTCCTATCCTCCGCTCAACACCAGAGTACACAGCCTCCATTTCACCTCTTCCTTTCGGAGTAATCTCCTCGATCAGATCCTCCACGGTCACTTGGTCGATGCCCTTATTCCGGATCACCTCTACGGGTTGGCAATCAGTCAATCGCCACGGTCTCAGCTCACTCACAGTCCACCCCACCCCAACAAGGTAGCAATCCAATTACTACAGTACACTCCAAGCAGCACCTTTGCAGTGCAGCTTCATCTCATCGCGCCAGCCGCACTCGACCAGCTTGAGGCGCAGCAGCTGCTTGAGCCGCTCCTTCTCGCCGCTCTGCACCAGCCACTCGCTGATACGCGCCTTCACCTGCTCGTCCTGCCGCTGGCGCGCGGCGTGCGTCCTACAAGACACGCAGCGAAACGATCAGACCCTTCCACTCATCCGCGACCGCGCGACGGCGGCGGCAACAACCGCGCAACGACGACAGCAACGTACTCCTCCATGGGGCGGGCGACTCGTAGACGCACACGTACACGTACACTTCCGTTGCGGAGCTCCTCGTGATCCGCAGCTTCAGCCTTCCGACGACGATTGGCGGGAAAAGGCGCGTCTGCTATTGGCCGAAACGTTCAACCTCTCTTCCGGCATGGCTGTCTCCTGGCGCTGAAAATAGCAGCTCCATCGCGGGAAGACCTCCTGAACCGCATAGAGTTCAGGGGGGGACGTTGGTCTGACTCGATGCGTTTGGACCAATTACGTCACGTCGTTGCCCCCTCTGCCCGGCGCAGAGCCGGGCCACCGCAGTGTCCGGTCGTGGTGCCAGCCTGCACTGAGGGACTCACAACAGCAGCAACTCCAGACTCCCAAGCTAGACGCTCGTCCGCTTGTTGCGCGCGACTCGCACGAGAGAGAGAGAAGGCAGGCAGGCAACGAACGAACGTCGCGTCGTCGTGGAGAGACCGCTCGCTCTCGGTTTCCGTTTCCCCCCGCCCGCTCCAGCCACTGGGCGATTCTCCTAGCGACGCAAGACACGCTTCGATCGAGGACGGACGGACTTTCGTTCGCTCCAGCTTCCAGGCAACAGGCAGCAGACTCAGAGACAATGGAGCAGGCGCTGCAGCTGCCGAGACTCCACCTGCCCACGTTCGCGGTGCAGCCCAAGTTCCTGGACCCCATCGACCCGCCCACGGTGCCGTTCCCGCCGCCGACATGGTACGGCTGCGCAATTCCCCCCCCCCCTGTTATCCCCTTGTGGCTGCTGAACGGAAAAGTTAATTTCTCACCTTAACTTGTCGCAATGTGCTGCTAAATTTTAGGTGCATGCATAAGCCCCCGAGGTCGATTTCACTCCTGGACGTGTACAAGGAGCACGTGCTCATTGCCACGGTGCGTGAAGTTGGGGGATAATTGCAAGTGTTGCATGGGATATCAGACCTAATGTTATTATTTATTGTTTTTTTGCAGCACACTGTGGACCAGAAGGCGTTTTACCTCATTGGCCGCAACGCTGCGGTTTGTGATATTGTATTGAGCCATTGCTCCATCTCAAGGCTGCATGCTACGATCGTGCATCATGAAAAGGGAGCCACGTACCTGGTGGACCTTGGATCGGCTCACGGAACGTTCGTGGATGGTTTGAGGCTCACCGCGCTGCAGCCGACCCTGGTGGTGCACGGATCAGTGCTCAAGTTTGGGGGCTCCTCACGCACATACACGTTCAAGGTGAGTTGACAGGATTGTGTCGGTGCTAAAGTGGTCGGGTGAGTTTAATAACGTTGCTGTTGCATTTGCCATTGGTACAGTCATTCGACTCGCGCGAGCAGATTGCGGAGATTATCAGCAACCGCGTGGGGCTGCCGGCGGATGAATTGCGTCTACAGCAGAACACGATGCTCAACTCGCAGATCACGCACAGATTGGAGCTTTCACCTTCCCGGAGGAGCCTGCCCCCGATGTTCCCGATGGCTCCCGTGGGGAACGTTCCGGAGCTTCACCTTCAGCCGCAGGCTCCGGACCAGGACGCGCTCATGCTGCCTCCCGAGTGCGACCGAAGAGGCAGTGCCGATGGCGTTCAGCTCATTGGACTCGTGGGCATCGGCCCCGTCAGGAAGCGCTCGCGTGGACAGTCAGGGAACTCACAGGCTTCTGGTTCGTCGGACCAGAGCGGCAGCACAGCAGACCTCAGCGTGTACCTGGACGACCCGGCAGACGAACAGCAGGGAGAGCCCAAGCGCGTTCACTTCTGTGGCCAGCCGCCAGAAATCATCCCGGACCCGCTGAACGACGCCGCAGGAATGGAGGAGCCGACCGACATTGAGACGGACGCCGTGCGTGTGCGCGAGGAGCTGCGAAGGACAGAGCTGGCCAACAGCGATTGAATCCTATGCTGTGCCTCTGAGGGAGGCTTACAGGACCCCACAAACAGACCGAGTACGTGCAAACGCAAACGCTCGGATACCTGTGACTTACCGAGGAAGGTGCAGCGTGTGAACAAGGGCGCACACAGGACGTCGACAGGTGGGCGAGAGACCTCAATGCGCTCAAGTGTGTCAGTGGTGGGCGCAGATTCGTGACCCACCGCCACGAACGCCGTAGCTGCATGAAGGCTACGAGTGCAAGCAAGACACACGTCGAGGTGTAGACGGACGGAACGTCGAGAGCCCAAGACCACCGGTTGGAAGTGGGAGGACTCCCAGAGATGACTGACTGTACAGGCAGCCCCCGTGGTGTTGGGGTTGCTGGCCGTCTTCTGGTTTCGTCGTCATTTCCCGCCTTGTGTGGGAGGTTTAGTTGTTGGTCGACAGTACATAATTTAACAGCGCAGAAAGCAAGCTCGCGGCAGTCAAGACAAAAGAGGGAGCACGGATAAATTAGTGCCGAAATGGAAAGCATGTAAGTTTTGAACGAGTGCAGGAGGAACCATGTTGAATCTCTTACTTTGCTGCTCACTACCGAACTCAAGTGGAGGTTGAAGAGACTTCCTTGCGCTACGTTGAAATGGTCCCCCGTCGGTTAGTTGAAGACATCGAACGACCGCACGCTTTGCGTGGATACGAAAGCACATCCGACGTGGCTTCTTGGACGTGGAGACGACCAAGTGTTCAAAGTCTTATGACCTTGATGTCTACAACTCCTTCAAGGGTCTAGGTATGCGTAAGAGGTTGTGTATGTAAAACTTTTTCTCGTATTAACGATATCATGAAGAAGGCAAGATGCAAAGTAAAACAAGAGACGCCTGCGTGCCTGTCTTGCCAGCCAGCGAGCGCGCTCCTGCTCGACTAGAGTACAATCCGTCATCTTGCCACGGCCTAGCCGCTCTACGGTGCGCTGCCAGCGGGCGACTCGTACATCTGATAGTTCGAGTGCGACTTGGCGCGCGAGCGGCTGAAGTTTCTTGAGCGCGCGCTGCCAGGCGTGCGGGCGCTGCGCCGAGACGCGCGGATGCGGCGCAGGCGCGCGCGCTCCGCCTCCATCTCGCCCTTGGTGCACACCATGCCGTTCTTAAGCGTGCCCACTGTGAACAGCAGGCCCATCGCCACCACGCAGCAGCCGGTCAGGGCGAAGAGGTAGAAGTACTCGTCGCCGCTCATCGAGTCGTTCGAGCGGATGTACGTCGAGCACACGGGCAGCAGGAAGAAGACCATGAAGTAGACGGTCACGTACACCGCGCGCTGCTTAGTGGTGAACAGACCGACGCACGACACCCAGGGCACCGACGTGATGCCCAGGCCGGCGAAGAAGTAGAGCAGCAGACCCACGATCTGCAGCATCAGGTATTCGCTGTCGCCCGTCACGAACTCCGACTTGTTGTTCAGGCCGAGCACGAACACCAGACCGGCCATCGGCAGCAGCGTGCAGAACAGGATGCGCTTGTGGTCGATGCGGTCCATGAAGAAGAACGAGAAGAGCGCGCCCAGGAACTGCAGACCCGTGCAGTTCACGAACATGTAGGTCGCGTCCTCGATGCTGCGGAACGTGTCCGACAGGTACATGTTGACGCAGCCCAGGAAGATACCCGAGACCAGCATCAGGAACAGACCCATCACGAACTTGAGGAACGAAGTGCCGCCGTTGGCGCTCGAGTCGTCACTGCCAGCCTCTTCGTCGCGGATCATGCGCAGCTCCTCCGACACGCCCTCCTTTCGACGCAGCACAGCCAGACAACGCTCGCACGATTCCAGACCCTCGCGCATGTACACCCAGTACGGGCTCTCCGGGAAGATGTACACCGCCGGAGTCATGATCGACAGGATGATGGTCGCGATGAACACCTGCCACACCCAGCCAACCTCGTTCGACGACGAAGAGAACCACGAGGCGAACAGGACGCCAAGAATGAAGCCACTGCCAAGAAGCAGCAGGGCCTTGCCGCGCATGTCACGAGTGGAGATCTCGTAGATGTACACGGCCAGCGTAGGCAGAAGCACACCGACAGAGCCACCGAGCAGACAAATACCAGGCATCAGGAAGCCTTCACCGCCGCTCTGGACAGCACTCACGCCGAGCATACCCAGGACAGTCAGCAGGCCACCGAAGACGATAGAAAGACGACGGCCGATGAAGTAGCTCAGGAAGCCAGACACGAACACGCCCACGATGCAGGCGAAGTAGAACGCGTAGGTAACCGCGCCGTCGCCGACCTTGCCGTCGAGCAGGTCGTAGGTCGTGACGTAACTCAGGAAGCCAGCAGTGCTCTCAATCGTAGTGAAGAGGTGGAACAGCCAGCCGCAGCCAATACCGCCCAACATGCCCATGAAGGCCGCGAGCGAGAAGGCGTACTGAGACGAGGCCGACACGACTTCCGAGAAGCCCTTGTTGTACATCATACGCGTCTGAATAATGTTCAGGAACGGGATCGCAGACATCACGAGGAGCGGCACGATCATAGCCACCGAGAAGATGAAGTCGAAGAAGAAGGCCAGCTGCTGGAACATGCCCACGGACGCGATCGACGAGTTGGCAAAGCTGTACATGCGAGCCATCTCGTTGATGCCGTACAGAGCCGCCATGTAGCCGAAGAACAGCGAGAGGGTACGGGTGAAGCTGACGTCCGAGATCACGATAGTGGCCACAAAGAACACAATAAGGGCCACCAGTACCACGAACAGGTACATGACAGCACGGATCGATGAGTTCACGTTGCGGAAGCAGCTGCCCGCGGCACCGAAGAGGCCCATAGCGAGCACCGTGACCACAGCAGCACCGAACACCAGGCCAACCGAGAGGATTTCCCACTCGAGCGCCACCACGTACCACATGAGCAGGAAGTGGCGAGCTTCACGCAGAATGACCGTGAATCGGGCGACGGGCTTCGTGTTATGGTACAAGCTGAGCTCGCCCTTCCACCACGCGATCCATCCACCGACCATGACCTTGTCCTCGTCCTTGTAGTCCTCAGCGGCGTACATCCACTTGGCCCAGGCCGTCACATCGGCCTTGGTCTTCTCCCAGTCAAGTCCGTCCGTGTTGAAAATGTATGGAGACACCAGCCACACGATAGCAATAACCCAAATAGCGAACGTCTGCACACCAAAGCTCTGCGACGTCTCACAGTAGTCAAACGCGAACGAGTTCTCCTCACCAGCAACAGAGGTGTCACAGATGTCGAACTTGCCGAACGTCAGGTACACCAAACACAGACCGATGAGCTCCATGGCCTTGCGGTAGTGACTCAGGGCGTAAGCCTTGTACAGCAGCACGAACGTCTCACGAGTGATCTTGAAGCCACGACCCGTAGCCTTGTACTGAGCCTCACCGTGCAGAAGGTTGTTGTCGAAAAAGTGCATGGTCGTACCCAGCTGGAAGATGAAGAACGCTGGGCCAGCCGTGAACACCATCTCCAAGAACTGCACCAGACCGCGACGCAGACCCATTTCAGCGAAGTACACACAAATCAGCGGCAGCGACAGGAACAGACCAGCCTGGATGTAATACTGCGTGTTGTACACCGAGTCCATGTCGTGGTACACGCGGTCGTCGAAGCCGTAGGTCTCCGAGTTGTCCATGATGATCTCCGTCGTGTTCATGTTGTACACAATCTGCGTCTGCACGCCGGACAGGGCGATGTAGACCTTGCAGTACATGTACACGAACGTCGTGACAATCGTCATCCACGTCGCGTAGTAGAAGCCCGTGTGCGAGTAGTACATCGAGTTCAGACGGAAGAAATCCATGAACTGGCCCATGCGATGCGCCTCACGAGCCAGCGAAGTCTCACCGGCACCGTTGGCCAGCTTGCCCTCAAACATCGAGATCTGCGACAGAGCCACATCACGACCCTTACCACACTGCATGAACTCCACGTGGGTCACGACGCCGCCGCGCAGCGTCGTATTGAAACCAGCGAACACATCCTCCGACAGGTTGATGCCCTTACTGGCCTTCGACACACCACCGCGCGTGATCGCCAGCACCTTGTCGAACACATCCGGGTGACCGTAGTGCATACGCACGTACAGCGGCTCGGCCAGGACACGCTGCGACAGCGTCACGAACACCAGTTCCTGCCACGTCTTGAACTTGGCGAGAGAACTGGCGTTACCCGTGAAAATGTGCTCACGCATACCGATGATCGACACGGGCTTCTTCGACGGGTGCAGGTCGGCCGTGCACAGAAGCTGCGGCATCTTCAGACACTCCTCAAAGTAGTGCTGCTGGTTCATATCGATCGTCTGGACGAACTCGCCGCGCGTGAAGGGGATGGCGTTGTTCTGGTTCTCGGGCTTACCTTCACCGAGGATCGGGTCGCCAGGCAGAGAGTAACGGTACACTTCCACAATATCGTCGTTCTCACTCTTAATCAGCACAGTGTCGAACGACTTCTCGCCATCCTCGTGCACCACCGTGTCAACGTACGCCACACGCAGGTTCGGATACTCGCGCAGCAGGTAGTCAATGTCCGCAGCCTGCGCCTTGCCCTCCGCGCGGTGCTTGCCGTACACCTGACAGGCGCAAATGTACGAGAATTTCAGACGAACCATGTCCTGCAGCTGCGACTGCTTCTGCTCCGCAGACTTGCCGGGGCTCGAGCCGATCTCCAGCCAGTGCAGAATCTTGATCGCATCCTCGTACATCATCATGCCCTGCACGGTACGCGCCAGGGTCTGACCACGGTACGACGCCCACAGACGGATCTCCTCGGGGTGGTTCTTCTGGGCCTCCTCCGCCGAGCTCACGTCAACGCGCTCGAGGAAGTTGTCCCATTCCTCCTGGTGAATCTTCGTCAGGTACTTGAGGATCGTCAGGTTCTTGCCGTCCTCCTCGACCTGCTGGAAGATCGGGTGGTTCACGAGCGGGTTGTTCAGGTCCTCAAGCGAGAACAGCACGGTCTCGGCGTAGAACGGAGTCACGACCGAGAAACTGCGCATCTCCTTGATGGAACGCAGCTGCGGGATGTCCATGACAAGCGACTTCATGAAGAAACCGAGACGACGCTGGGCCTCGGTCGTGCGAGGCATGGCCTCCGATCGGTCCAGGGACAGCAGCAGACACGCACGCGTAGCGGCGCCCATAGCCGTGTCACTGCAGAACAGGTTCACCAGTCCGCGCGACGCGTACATGTATCCGTTGGCGCTGGAGCAGAACTTGGAGTTGCCGAATCTGCGCTGAAGAGCAGGGTCCACGCAGAACGACTGCACGCCGTTGAGGAACGCCTCCATCTTGGACACGAAGTTGCGAATCACGCCCATCGAGTGCACGCGCGCGTCGGGGATGTGCTGAGACTGAGCGTCCGGGTCCGGCAGGTCCAGGATCTCTTCGAGCAGGTCCACGGCGGCCACGCGAAGGCTGGCCAGCTCACGCACGTTGAACGACTTCAGGAAACCACCGCTCGCGGCGATCTCCTCGATCTGACGGAAGCCGTCGATCACATCGGCGTCGTCGTTGCCGAACAGAGCGCCCACGACATACATGCTGGCCGTGAAGAACGAGCGGATAGCCGAGAGGCAGTCGTTTTCTACGAGCGCCACGCGCAGCTGCGACTCGCCCTTTCCGTCCTTGGCCATCTTGATCGCGAGGTTCATGGCCTCCGTCAGCTTGCCGGCTGACAGGAATACAGGCTCGAACACCTCGCCGGTGCTGCGGATGTCGTACTGGAGAATAGCCGCCTCCTTGTCGTCCAGCAGATCACCCTCGCGGAATGAGTTGACGATCTCATTCCAGACCACGACGAAGCGCAGCATCATTTGCGATTCGTAGGCGGCAGCAATGGCGCTGGCGCGCGTGGAGTCCGTGCCGCTAGCCGTCGCATCACTAGAGCGAGCGAGAAGCGTCACCACCTTCTGGTCGAACAACTGCGGGGCGACGCGGAAGGCCTTGGTCATCTCCTTGGCGCCGCGGATCTCGCCCGTCTTCATGAGAATGCCCTGGAATCCGCCGAGCAACGCCTGGAAGATCGTGAAGTAGATCTGCGTGGCGTAGTTGAAGATGAACACCACAGGCAGCCACAGAGCAATAATGATACCAATGTTGTGGAACGACACCAGCGAGTTCTGGTAGTCCAGCTTCATGGCGTAAATGCTCAGCGTCGGCAGCATCAGCGGACGCACCAGGATAAAGTACGACGTGATGGCCTTCAGGATCCACAGCAAGATCCAGAAGATAATGTACTTGACCTGGTACGAGAACGGGGGCGTCATGTCCTGACCGACGTAGCAGCTCTCGCCCTCACGCACAAACTTGGCCGCAAACGTTCCGTTGATCATCTGGGGGGCAAACGCCTGCGTCAGCAGCACCAACAGCCCCGGCAGGATGTACGCGCCGCAGAGCGGGTACAAATTGTCCAAAAGCGTAGTATCCTTGTCCTCGTTCATCGGCACGTAGATCATGATGCCAAAGAGCACGGCAAAGCCTCCGTTCCAGATGATACGAGTCGCCAGGGCCGACCCGTACGTGAACGACCTGGAACTCGTCGCCGAGCTCTCCTTGGAGATCAGCAAGTGCCATCCGTGACACACCTCCAGCACACACTTGAGGAACGCCATCAGACTGAGACTGAAGGGGATGCCGACCACGGCGATCTTCAAGTCCCGGGTCGTGTAGGGCTCCACGACGTCTCCGATGCGGCCGAACTGCACCCAGCCGCTCTTGCCTCCATCCGGAGAAATCGTCACGGCGAATGCCAGAACCGTAAGCAGCACCAAAAACATGATGTTGAACTGGAAGATGCGGTAGTAGTTGAGCACCATTGTGAAGAGGCTGCGGTGCTCGTAGAACGTCTTGCCGTGGTTCTGCGTGAGCTCCTGGCCCACCTGCGACACGGGGATGCTCAGGCAGTGCTGCTTCCAGAAGTATTCGTTGATGTCGTCGTAGTTGCGGATCTTGACGTGCTCCAGCGGCTTGTTGAGCGCGTTGCGGCGCTTCATGTTGCTGGCCTCGCGCCAAATGGGGCGCACCACTTGGTCCAGGTACCAGCCCTCGCGCTGCTGCTCGTGGCCCTGCGGGTCGGCGTTCACCATGGTCAGCATTTGGTGGAACAGGTAGCACACGCATTCCGGCATGTGCCGGATATTGGCGGCCTCTCCCCAAATCAGGAAGTAGAGCATCACGTCCATGTGCAAATTGCCGGAACCTGTAGAGTTCGGGATGCCATTTCCCGTATACGTCACCGGGTTCGTGTGGATAAATTTGCACCACGAACGGTAGTTGCTGAACAGTTTGTTGGCGAGTTGCACCAGGTGCTGGTCCGCCGGGTCGCTGGGCAGACACCGCGCCTTGCCGTTTGCCAAAAGCAGTAGCACGTGCTCGCGCTGGTTGCTGACCGACCCCTCCTGGAAGCCGAATTTAGCCTTGAGGAACTCGCAGCAGTAGTCCACGGCCGCCTCGTCGTCCAGCGTCGCGCCCTTGAAGCTTGCGGGCATCACGTCCATCGTGTCCAGGCGCTTGCTGAAGCGCTCGCTGCGCTCCGACTTGTTGCGGCGCCGGTCGGCGTCCAGCTCGAAGTAGTTGGAGCTCGCGCGCCGGCGGCGGTCCATCTCGCCGTGACCCGACGGTCCGCGCTGCGCCATACTGGGGCCCTGTGTTAATTTCGGACTTCGCTGCTTGCCGTAGTTTCGGGGGCGTTGGTTAGAGATACCGCCTCTCTCCACTCCTTTGTCCTCGCACCTCTCCGCCGCTGTGATTCACTTAAGCCGAGAGTCCGGGTCGGGGTGCAGCCAGGTTAGGTGGTGTTAAAGCGACAGGGGGTTATACACTAAGTTGCCTCGGTGCCTTCGCCTTCCTTCCTCGCTTCGCTGGAGGTTTCCCGTTGTGACCCGAGCGCTCCGCGACGGAGCGAGCTGCCTGGTTGTTGCGTGCGAAAGAGGGAGACTGGCGGTGATTAGGGGCCCAGTGACTTGGTTCCAGTATGGAAACGGCCGCGCAAATATTCAGCGCGCGCGGCCAGTGACGGGCCCACGACGCATTTTCCGCCAATGAACGCGGCGCACACGCGAGACAAGCCACCGCGCTTCGGTTTTCCGCCCTCCATCTGCGCCCCAAGCACCCTGCAGCCCAAGGCGCCTTTGGCGGGAGTTCATGCGTGTCCACTGCGTGAAGCAGGCGAGCTCACCGCTCCTTGCGCGCGGCTGTGGGGCTCAACAGCTCTCGCCGACACTGTGTGGTTTGCGCCGCGCGTCGATTGGCCGAAAAGGGCTCGCGCGCAGCTGGTTGGCGGAGACCATAAAATCGGCCGGATTCTGAGAAAATTGAGCATTGATTGATGGCTTCCTCAGTATCCGGGCTCCGCAGTTAACCCAAATGGCTACTCCCCTACACCATGGTCTCTCTAGCCACGGCATCTGCCGCGATAAGCTCGTTACGCACTGGTGCGGGGGCTGCTGGACGCACTCGGCCACACACACTGGCAAAAGCTCGCACCTTCGCACTCGGCCCGCCGATATCATGGGAGTCTGCGATACCCTGCTATCCGCAGCGATCCGATCGGCTGGCAGTGCTGCAGTGCACCACGCACGGATATGCAGTGACGAATTTTGAGCAGCAGGAAAATCAATTGACCCGAGTGAGCCATTTCATGTTCAGCTGAGAGGGCTATCCGCGGCGATCGGCGTGCAGGTGGATCGATCCACACGGTCTTGACACGCATGGGACCGATGGCGCATGGGACCGATGGCGCTGAAACCATGGCGCCACGACTGACGCGAAGGACGGGCTGTAACGGACCCGCCACGCACCACGAGGCTTAGTACGCGGGCCCCGCCACTCCACTATCGCGATCCGCGGCTGTCGCTGTCGAACACCGCCGCGCTTTGAGGCGAGCTGTCGGTCAAGGGTGCCGGCTCCGATATCGGCTTTCGGTGCAGTTGGAGCCGAAACCGACCGGAAGCCATCTCGCTGTACGGTGTATGGATATGTGCGTTGCGCAGTGAGCCGGGCATCCTTCGTGTCCTTCGAGCTTGGCGTTGAACAGCAACGCTAACTGGACCGGTTGTTCACCAGTGTCAACTTGGGCCTTTGGCACCGCTTTCTATGCTGAACGGACTGGTTGCGGTTTCCGCTGCTCTCGGGTGGAGGCGGAGATTGCGAGCGTCGAGCTCTAAGCTAAGGATTCAGGGCACTACAGGGCTTAATTATTAATCGTGTATGCTGCGTTGTGTTCGCGAAGATCCACGTCTCAGAGCCATCTGCCGGAGGTGACGAGCGTGACGACTCGACTCGCCATGACGAGCAACAAGGGGGAATTCGGCGTTGCCGGCTAATAATACGCTAGAGCATCCATGGTGCATTCCGCAGCTATTACTTACCAGACAACGCAACAAACGGAGGCCCGCACGTCTAACAAAGCAGTTGCGGTTTGCGCTTTTTGGCCATGACCCACAGCAGCAACACTCGGATCCAGGGTGTCGTACACACGTTCAAGTCTGGCCCAAAGGCTTTCTTTGCCTGGCCAGACGCTCGATCGACGCTCGATCGACAACAACTTGAGACCCAAGCGGTCTGATAACTTCAGAAACCGTCTCAGGTACGAGGTGTGTTATGCTTCAACGTGCGCGGTGCCTACAGCTACAGTATGAAGCTCGTCGGATCAGATTAGACCCATGAATACCGAGACTTCCGGTTTTATAAGAAGCGAGTTGCCGTAGGACACCGCTGACCACCATAGCCACACCCTAGTGGGCCCTAGCTCTCCGTTCGAGCTATTGTGTATATCATTCACTGTAACAGCGAAGCCGATGCGATGGTCGTTGAATGTTTCGCTATCCGAATGAATAATCCCATCAACGCCCCACGCTAGTAAAGTACCATGTAGTGACGGTGCGCCACCTCTTCACTTTCTCATCACTCTCCAATTCGTGACTCAAGCACCAGCCTACCAGTAGTACCCACCACCACCCGTCCAGCGTCCATGGTCAAGCTCACGGTCACCATCGCCGCGGCGGTGGGTGCGGCTGCAGTTATCGTCGAAGGGTCCTCCGACCCGGGATCTCCGCTCAGCCCTCACTCGCAATTTTTGCGCGACGGGAGATCGACCAGTAGTGGCACGGGACTTGGTCCTTCAGACAGCGACGCCGACGAACCTCCCCCGAACGATTTTAGCCGCGACTTGGAGCAACCCGAGCGTGGCGGCATGTTTCGCGGTGGGCAGCACCATCGCTCGCCCCCGGTTGCAGGAGGTGCCGACTTTTCTCTCAATGCGAGCGACGAAGGAGGTAGACCATGGCACGGTAGCAGAAGTTTTGATGGTCGTTTCGACAATCCTCCACCGCATGCCGGGGACGGTGAAATGCCACCCTTTTCGAACCATGGGCCATTTCGTAAGGGCCACCCGAAGCAATTTGGCGACAAGAAACTCGGCAATCGCAATCCTCCTCCTCCACCTTCTGCTGACGGCAAAAGCACTCGTGATCATTTCGCCAACAACCACCCGGGCATGGAGATTCGGGCGATCCCTTTGCTGCGGACAGGGGAAAAGGTGGAGTGCCATCTCAGCAGTGGGTTTGGTTCATGGCCTGGTAGTGGAAGTGATGCCGGAGAAGCTCCACCACCGTCAGACGTAGGCGACGATCTTGCCCCTCCGTTCCCCTGGCAGGATGGTGCTCCCCTCAACTTCCCGACGCCTCCTAGGCAGGGCAGTGGCGAGGCTTCAAAGCTCCACACTCCTAAAGGAAAGCAGCCTCCATTCCCTCCCCCCCCCCAAGGGTGTCATGCGTGGTGGGGACGGCAAATTTCCGGGCCACTTGCGCCCAAGCCGTGATGGTTTCCGTCCTCCTCCCCCAACTATGGGCAGTAAGGAAAAACCTATCGCCACCAACCACGAGTACGACCCCGACGGAGAAGATATGGTGAACGCAACCTACCGCCGCCACCAAAGTTGGGAAGTGGGTCTTCAACATGACTCGGATGCTGGGAACACTTCAGCCCCGCCCACCACGGGTAATCTTCAGTAGAAACACTGCTGATCCGATCCAATTGCTCCCTCGCTGGCGACGATAACACCAAGATCCTCACGTAGGAGCCAGGTTCTGCCTAACTTCCATTATTTTTCAAACCATTCAGCAATGCAAAACTCGTTCAAAACGTCCTCAACGTCGTGTTGATCATCATATATACACATTTTCAACTTCAAAACTGCAAATTGTAAGTTCAAAACAGCAAAAGGTAAGTAGAGACCAAGGAGCACAGCAAGTTCATCGAGGACGACGAGACCAAAGCGATTACGATGACGAGCACACGGCGGACATGGACCACGCCGACAGCAAGTAGTCTGACGGCGATCTCAAGTACGACAGGCCTCTTGACAAGCGGCCAGCTACTAAACTTCTACATGCACCTCCTACACTATTATACAGCATTTTACGTTTAGATGCGTTTAGGCACCATCCGCAAATGTAGTGTGAAGGGATCTGCGTTATCGTTAGTCATTGAGGCTTGCCCTCGCTCGGAGGCATCTCGCTGTTTCCAGATCCCGCGTCGTGCACCGTAGGCACCAGTAGACGTAGCCGCAGACGGTTTAAAGTTGACGGGCACGGTGGAGCTGGATAGTGAGTAGTTGACTCGCACAGACTCGTCCTCAATACATTTTGGAGCGTTCGCTCGTTGTGAATCACAATTTGTGGTGCTGATGAAAGACATTTTGTTAGTTTGTTGTATGATACCCAACTTCCTTCGCTGATGGGCATACCAACATCCTTTCGTTTGAATTGTTAGTGTCAGTAAATTATGTCGTAATGTCACTGGAAGTAGCAACTGTATTCAGAGTATTGGCGAGTCCTGCTCACGAGTCACGAGCAAGATCGAGTCCCCTACACCAAAGCAGTGGCCAACTGACCTGCTATCGTGCTGTCTTGACGACAGCTCGTCGTTAGGAAGTGTAGCCCAACGATTTCGCTTTACGCACGCAATTGCATCAGCTTATTGTGATAAGGATGTGTTCTGAGCTTATGCTGTAAAAATGCACTGCTGATCTGGCACTTTGATTTCATAGCCCCTTACAGTTTGCCGTACAGGGAAGACTGACTGCATTCAGTAAACTTGCGGGCAAAGCAAGCAAGCAAGGCAACTACTGCAGGGGGCTAGTCACTCAGTAAGTACAACGAGGAGGAGAAGACGACGGGAAGTGCCCCGGCAAACGAGGGTGAAGGGCAAAGACAGCGCACAACACGCGGTAAATATGGTGCACGCTGACAGTGAGTATTGCAGTCCGGCAACGATCCGAGTGCTCGAAGCCTTTTGGCAAACAAGGGCTTGGCGGAGGACTTGACGTAAGCTTAGGTCAAAGTAAAGGCAACTAATTGAACCTCTAATTGCATACACTCTATCCCATAATACACATGGTTTAATGTAATTTTACAGTGCAATTTGGAGGGTAGCGGATGCCGGTGGACGTGTTCCTCATCCGGTTTAGCGGATGGCGGAATCCGCTGAATGCTTCTCAATAGGCGGATTGCTCAATCCGACGGAATCAAACAGCGGAACTGAGGAACACACCCTTAGTACATTGTTTTAGATTGTAAAGCAGGAATGATGCGAGCTATGGTCGAGGATTACTAAGCTCGAGAAATGGATTATTACATCGCGCCTTCGATAACGTGAACGGTCTGTATCTCCAGGTGTCCAATACCAAATCTTACAATATCATCAGCAATTTCGTACGTTTTCATTTAATTGGCCACAAAGCCCAGGTAAGCTCAACGAAGCTGATGATGCGAAATCAGCTATGACACCGTCATCGCTACACCGTCTATAGGGTGGTCGCTTCTAGAAGGTGAGGGGCAGCGTGCGTAAGTCTCCACTAACCTCATTCTTCAATTTGCAGCTCAACCAGCAAGTCACCAATTCAACACAAAGTCCACCTCATAGCCGCCGTCATGGTCTCCGCTATCGCCTCGAAGCTCTTCACACCGTTCGTTCTTGGCGGCAAGAAATCCCCCGTCGAGCTCAAGCATCGCGTCGTCATGGCTCCATTGACACGCCTCCGTACTGGTGACAGCGGCGTCCCCACCGCTCTAGTGGCCGAGCACTACGCGCAACGAGCCACGGATGGAGGTCTGCTGATCGCCGAAGCCACCAACATCAGCCCTACAGCTCGCGGATACTTTGGTGCCCCCGGCCTCTTCACACAAGACCAAGTGGACGGCTGGAAGCTGGTAACCAAGGCCGTGCACGACAAGGGGGGCAAGATCTTCGTGCAGCTCTGGCACACGGGACGCGTTGGTCACCCACTCAACCAACCGGATGGACAACTGCCAGTGTCGTCGAGCGCGACGAGCGTCGACGATCTCACGTCGCACGCCGTCACGCGCGAGGGTCGCAAGGACTACGTCACGCCTCGCGCAGTGGAGATCGAGGAGATCCCGAGCATCGTTGAGGACTATAAGAAAGCGTCGGAGAATGCCATCGCCGCAGGTTTTGATGGAGTCGAGATCCACGCAGCTAATGGATACTTCTTGGAGCAATTCCTGTGTGACGGCATGAACAAGCGCACGGATAGATACGGCGGCAGTATTGAGAACCGCGCGCACATCATCTTGGAGGTGGTGGAGGCCATTCTGTCCAGTCTACCGTCGAGCCAAGTTGGCATCCGGTTGTCTCCTTTCGGCGACACTTTCGGCTGCAAAGACTCGTCCCCCAGCCAGACCTACGGCTACGTCGTGGACAAGCTCAACGACTACGACCTGGCGTACGTGCACCTCATCGAGCGTCGAGGAATGCACGCAGCCAACGTCCAGGTGCCCGAAGTCGGCGTCACTCGTCACTTCCGCGACGCCTACAAGGGCGTGCTGGTCACGGCTGCGGGCTACGACCGTGAGGATGCCATCAAGACAGTCGAGGAAGGAGCGGCAGACCTCGTCGCCTTCGGACGCGACTTCATCGCCAACCCCGACCTCGTGGAGCGTCTACGCGTCGGCGCGGAGCTCAACGCGCAGAACCCCAAGACCTTCTACCCTCAACCAGACGTGCCTCTGGAGAGCGGATACACGGACTACGCGTTCCTCGCGCAGAAGGAGTAAGCGAACAGGAAGGATAATAGTCAGTCAAAGGTACTTGAACTTCAGTTTTCTGCTTGGTCTCTGATCACATCCCTCTGTAGTTGGACCTGGTGCACTCATCATTGGTCAAGTCTCCGCGTCAAGGTCAGGTCGGATATCTAGCCAAGATGCGTGCGCTGTCATTGTTGCTGCTTCCGCTATTGGCATCGGCGTCGCCAATCACCAACGTCATGCCGTCTGGCAACGATGTCTGTCTCGACGAGTCTTCCCTCCCGTCTGTGGCGACGAGCCTCAACGCCAACACACTTGCAACCGGCTCCGACGTTTCCGAGAAGAAGGACCTTCCAGTCTTCTTCTTCCATGGCTCACAGGCAACAGCACGGAAGGTTTCAACTACCAAGCGAACTTGACGGCTGAAGGGCGGGTATTGGATAATGCACCCCGAAAACGCCCCAAATCCCAAAGTTTCCCAAATGATTTAAGCATGGGAACGTTTTGGTGCATATTTAGGACAGAATAACCTTCAGTATGAAAGAGCAGCACAGGGCGGACACTCGCGCGTTGGCTCTCGTCTGCGGACTTAGCGACGGGTCTGCGGGGGGCCCGCCCCTCTCTCGCTTCGCTCGGGGGGCGCCGCTGCGCGGCCTGCCCCACCCCCTTGTCCCTTACGCTAAGTTCCTCGTCTCGGCCAGGCGCGGTGTCTAGAAAAAAAAATATCGGGTTGCAGCGCTCGCGTTCGCTCGCACAGACACGCCCCCGCCTAATCGGCGGGTGTTGGCGATTAGTGAATGCATTGAGTGAGGCTCGCGCTCGCGTCCACTCGCCCTCGCCCATAGACTATAGACCATAATCAGTCAACTCCGTTTTGGTACATATTTGGGATAGTTTTACGAGAAAGCAGTCATATACTTGGCCCCAAATATGTACCTAAATGTTACAGAGACAATTCATTATTTGGGACATTTGGGGCGATTTGGGCGCATATTTGGGATGCATTATCAGGGCGCGTGTTCGTCCGGTTGGCTTTCTGTGAGAGGGAGTGCTCTCTGACGGCGTTGAACATCCAAGTGCCGATGGCTATCGCTGCGGTGCGCGAGGTGGTGGCGAGCGATCAACGCTTCGCCGATGGCTACATCTTCATCGGGCATTCCCAAGGAGCTATGATGGCTCGCGCGGTGATCGAGCAGATGGACGACCACAAGGTGCACACGTACGTGAGCCTGGCAGGAGGCGTGAACGGCATTTCTACGGCCCTCAAGAAGCCGACCGCAACTCGATCCACGACTTAGGAGCGGGCTTTGGCGCAGCCGTCCTGCCGCAAAATCTGTTTGACTTTACGGGGTACACACCCGAGGGCTACAGAGGGAAGATGCAGGCCGACTTGGCTCGTCGATCGATGGACCCCAAGCTTCAGGCTGCCTACTCCATCACGAACTTGGGCCGAACTCCAGTGAGTGACGTCTGCTGGCGACTAACGAGTTCCTACCCATGATCAACAACGTGAATATCTGCGCGTGGTTTGATTTCCACTGCCACTTGGAGAAGATTCGTCGCAAAAACAATTTTCTGAGACTGAAGGAGGCTCATTACTTCGCCTCTCCGGAAGATGGCGTGGCGTCGCCATGGCAAGGCAGTCTGCTCGGACACTACAGCGAGGTTGGGTCGCTTGAAGAGCTTGAGACGAAGTTTGAGAGTGGAAATGCACGACACAGTCGAGTACAAGGAAGACACATACGGCTTGCGCTCGCTGGATGAAAGAGGGGCGTTGTTCCGCTACACAGCTCCTGGAGTTCCGCACTGCTGCTGGCTGTACGATTTCCCGAAGTTTCACGAGGAGGGGCTGTGCAAGTTTCACCCTCTTTACGACGAGTATGCCTACAAAGTGCTTTGGTAGAACAACGCCTCCGTGTCGACAGACTATGGGCCGCGGAGTTGCTGAATGGTTGAGTATCTCAACAACTATCCCTGTTTACTTGAACAACAAGACATTGAGGAAGCTTTGAACGAGTTTTGCATTGGTGAATGGTTTGAAAAATAATGGAAGTTAGGCAGATGCTGGTTCCTACGTGAGGATCTTGGTGTTATCGTCGCCAGCGAGGGAGCAATTGGATCGGATCAGCAGTGTTTCTACTGAAGATTACCCGTGGTGGGCGGGGCTGAAGTGTTCCCAGCATCCGAGTCATGTTGAAGACCCACTTCCCAACTTTGGTGGCGGCGGTAGGTTGCGTTCACCAGACTTGTTGGTATCTTCTCCGTCGGGGTCGTACTCGTGGTTGGTGGCGATAGGTTTTTCCTTACTGCCCATAGTTGGGGGAGGAGGACGGAAACCATCACGGCTTGGGCGCAAGTGGCCCGGAAATTTGCCGTCCCCACCACGCATGACACCCTTGGGGGGGGGGAGGGAATGGAGGCTGCTTTCCTTTAGGAGTGTGGAGCTTTGAAGCCTCGCCACTGCCCTGCCTAGGAGGCGTCGGGAAGTTGAGGGGAGCACCATCCTGCCAGGGGAACGGAGGGGCAAGATCGTCGCCTACGTCTGACGGTGGTGGAGCTTCTCCGGCATCACTTCCACTACCAGGCCATGAACCAAACCCACTGCTGAGATGGCACTCCACCTTTTCCCCTGTCCGCAGCAAAGGGATCGCCCGAATCTCCATGCCCGGGTGGTTGTTGGCGAAATGATCACGAGTGCTTTTGCCGTCAGCAGAAGGTGGAGGAGGAGGATTGCGATTGCCGAGTTTCTTGTCGCCAAATTGCTTCGGGTGGCCCTTACGAAATGGCCCATGGTTCGAAAAGGGTGGCATTTCACCGTCCCCGGCATGCGGTGGAGGATTGTCGAAACGACCATCAAAACTTCTGCTACCGTGCCATGGTCTACCTCCTTCGTCGCTCGCATTGAGAGAAAAGTCGGCACCTCCTGCAACCGGGGGCGAGCGATGGTGCTGCCCACCGCGAAACATGCCGCCACGCTCGGGTTGCTCCAAGTCGCGGCTAAAATCGTTCGGGGGAGGTTCGTCGGCGTCGCTGTCTGAAGGACCAAGTCCCGTGCCACTACTGGTCGATCTCCCGTCGCGCAAAAATTGCGAGTGAGGGCTGAGCGGAGATCCCGGGTCGGAGGACCCTTCGACGATAACTGCAGCCGCACCCACCGCCGCGGCGATGGTGACCGTGAGCTTGACCATGGACGCTGGACGGGTGGTGGTGGGTACTACTGGTAGGCTGGTGCTTGAGTCGCGAATTGGAGAGTGATGAGAAAGTGAAGAGGGGCGCACCCTCACTGCATGGCACTTTACTGGCGTTGATGGGATCATTCATGCGGATAGCAAAGGATTTCAGCGACCATGCATCGGTTTCACTGTTGCCGTGGAGGAGGATATTCACACACACGCTCAACCGGGAGCTAGGACCGACACAAGCGAGCAAGGGTGTGACTGTGTACATGTAGCATGGGAAGGTGAGAGGTTGTCCATCGGCGGTGTCCTACGACGCCACACTGCTTAATATTAGCGGTAATAGCGGAGATCTTTCGAAGTCTGGAGCCGGATAGGGTACTTTATTTGCTGTTAGACAAAGGAGTTCATGCGGAGTGTCTGAGATATTGGCACCGCGCACGTTGAAGCAAACGAACCTCGAGCTTGAGGCGATTTCCGAGGTTATCCGGCTGCTGGGCAGCTCCGTCGAGTTGTTGATTGAGCGCCGATCAGACGCACTGGACAGGCATCTTCCTGACCAATTGCCAGCAGATTTTCCAATGCTCAAACCCAGTGGAGCATATTTTGGCCCAAGCCTATTTTGTTGACTTCGATTTTTTTATATATAGGAGATGGCGGAACTCAACTTGGGGGATTGTATAGTGTTCTCCCTATACACTAACAGTAGAGTTAGCTGTACGTGTCATTATAATAACAGTTAGTTAGTGTCTAGTAAATTTTGCTAACATGGAATTGCAATTTTCGAGCAAGACGAGCGGATATTAATCAGAACTTCGATATTTGAATAGCTTTTACTGCTTAGCTGCACTTTTTAGCATAGAATGTAAAAGAAGAGATTGGCCAAGCATGTTCACTTTACCTCAACTTTAACCGCAATATATCGAACAACTATTCCCCTGACAGTCAGCAAACATACAGCTAACAGTGAGTTAGTGTCTACTGTAGTAAATTCTACTAACAGCAAAACACCCCACACTAAATTAGTATGCGGCGTACTATTCTTGTAGAGTGCCCTCTGGAGCCGAGTAGGGCATTGTATTTGATGGCATACTATTTGTTAGGGTACTCTATTCGATATGGCTACTGCTATGAAGATAGTATGTTGTCAAAACATGTTGTGGTTGCATGTTTCATGTACTTCTAGCAGAGCACCTATTCTTTGATCCAAACCTCGTCAAAAGCAAGTTGAAAGCACTGTTGTGGTCTCGACGAGCTCCTATTCGGTACACGCATACGGGGGTGAATGCAACATACATCTTATACTTGCTGATGTGCCGCGCGCGTATCGAAAAAGCTGATAAGTAATTTAGGCGGGCTATTATTTTCTCACTTTCATGTGCAATCTTCTACTTTAGGATACGATTCATTCACGACCAGATCCTCACAGTCACCCCGTAAAAGCTGACAGCCACCCACACGACGTGGTCACGGCTGCTGCACCACTGTCGAAACAAGGTGGCCGAAACGCAAACCCATCGAATTCGGTCATGCAATTGGGGCGCAGGTTCTCCTACTACTCTACACTTACGATTATTAACCAGTTTTGCGCTGGCAATCCACTCATAAGATTGCATTTTGATGTCGAGTCGTATGATTGATTGTCTGTGTTCCTGAAAAAAAAATAAAACTGGCACGATGTCGTCTTGCGGCAGCATGCCAGAATGGCATCGCAGTTGAGCGCGGTAAGTAGTTACCCAACGCATTCAACATGTATAATATCAACGTGTATGTACATTCTGTCAGCAGTCTATTCGGAACGGCGCTCTAGTAAATGGCTATTTGTCTATTGTTATAGTATGCCCTCATCATAGGGCGCTCTATTCGCAGGGGACTCTAATACCTTATACTTCGAAGTACGTTAGTATTGTACTGTACGTGCTGTATCCACAGTGAGTTTACGAGTCTGACTCGTACAGTCGGCAACAAGGAGGAATTCTGCCAACCCTCCTCGACACTGGCCAAGTGCGCTTGCCCACGGATATAGTGAATGCACGAAAGAAAGAGGAGTCCTTTGTCTACATGGGCACAGGTTTTCGTCTGGACTTTCGCGCTCCTCTCGCGTCTGTAAGATGCAGTGGTGTTCGTTCATCGAATACTTGCAAACCGAAGGTACCGCAGTTGTATTTTATCGTATCTTGTGTCTTGCATCCCTAGCACCACCAATCTTTCTTTCAACCTCATTGTAAATAGTGTCTGAAATGGCCGGCGTACCAGCCGCGACCTTATCTTTCATCGAAATCCCGTAGGGTATCCTACTACTACGTCGCAAAGTTAAACCTTGACTAGGAGGAAGAGGAGAGGGGTTTTCATGCAATTGAGTTTTACTCTTTCGATTCGTATTGTAGGCGGGAGTGGGAGTGCCAGCCGCACAACGATTTCCGTCTACATTTTTCCATCACATCTACTCCGTAGTACTTCAGATTACAGAGTGGTGACCGAGATGGTCTCCTGCAGCGTGTACGTCTGGCCAGCGGGGAGGGCCTGCTTGACGCTCACGCGGCCGGGCTCGACGGCGACCATGTTCTTGTACTCCTCGTCACCAAAGTCCTCCATGGCCTTGGCACGTTCAGCCCACGGGTTCCAGACCACGGCGTCGGTCTTGGTCTCGACCTTCTTGCCGTTCGCAGTGATGAAGGCGGCCTTGTCGATCGTCACCGTGCGGTCCACAGCGTTGACACCCTTGATCACAGCGTGCAGCGTGTTGGGGGCGTTGCTGTACACGTTGTCCGTCTGGTTAGCGAAGTCGATGTACGCGCGCGTCTCCGTGGCGTTGACCTTGGCGACCTTGTCGTAGTAGTCGACGCCCTTCAGGCCCAACACCTGCACGCCCTTGTTGGTGGCGTCGTCCACCCACAGGTAGTTGTGCAGCAGAGCGTGGAACTCAATCGGGTCCTTGTTCGTGTTGCGCACGCGCAGAGCAGTCTCGAGCTGGTTGCCGAGCAGCTTCACCTCGTACTCAAGCTCGAACTCGACGGGCCACATCTTGCGAGTCGAGTCGCTGGCAGCCATGGTGAACTTGGCCACACTCGGGCTGTTCTTGTCCTTCGCGTCGACGTGGCTGGCCAGCGTCCAGTTGGTGATGCGGGCGAAGCCGTGGCTCGGGAAGCCCTTGGCGCTGCCGAAGTTGGGGAACACGACAGGGATGCCGCCACGGATGGGGTTCACGCCGTCGAGGAACGACTCCTTCGACATGAACAGCAAGTCCATCTTGGGGTCCATAGCGGGGTGGAACGACTTGACGTGGGCGCCGAAGTGGTAGACCTCCGCGCTGGAGCCGTACGGGTGCGTGAGCTTGACGGTCTCGAGCTCGGCGTTGGCAACGCCGACGGCGGCCAGGAGCGACGACACCAGGGCGACGGTCTTGAAGATGGGGAACACCATGGTGGAGTGGGCGAGACGGCGAGGGTGTCGAGCTTGCTCCGTAGGAGATTAATTGAAGAATGAGAGCTGCATGAACCGAGCCGGACAGCGGCGTTTTAATAAGAGGCAGAGCGTGCCTGGTTTCGTTCTTGGATGGTGACAAAGCGTAAGCGCACACGTGGAGATACCATCAGCAAATCTGTAGGGGTAGGGATGGTTTGAAAAAGTTCTGAACGGTCCCAAAGACTTCTGTAAAACGTCCAAAATTCCGTTCAAAATCCAAAACTGTCCTAAACTATCAGATAGAATATTATCAACCACGGGCCGGTATAAGAGCGTGTTCGCTACAACAGAGCGCATCTAGGTAAAATTAGCCAATCACAGTGCGACTCGCTCTCCTTCTCCTTTCTTTGCTGTTCTTCGTCGGCCGGGAACACTGTGCCCGAGACACCGGACGCGTGGCAAGATGGAGCAAGCTGCCGATGACGCTCCGAGAGCTGCGCCTCCGTTCCCGTCAGCCAGTGGCGACCTCGTGCTGGCTGCTGCCAGTTTGGACATACCTGCCTCTGATGTTGCTCTTGCCCAGACTGTGTAGGCGACACCGGCCACTACTCAAACGGAGCTGGATGCCCGCACTTCCTCGCTGGCGCTGCCGCATTCAGAGACACCCAGCCAGCTTTTTGCGCTCGGAGTTGTAGCTGCGTCAGCCCGCAACCAAGACTCACATCGCCGCGTTGGGAATCAGAAGAAGAAGGCCAATACTGGTGAAACGTCTATCGCTACGAAGCAACCCTCCTTTGCGTGGACGACTGCAGCAGCTGATGCCCTGCTGCGGGCTCGTTTTGACACGGCTGCAACTTTCTTCTCAAAGCTATGCTGCCGTACTTTGGCAGCAGCAAACAGAACACCTTGATCTCGTAGTAAACCAGCAATACGTAGGAAAGTTGGCTTGGTGCAGCGAAGATTGTCTTCAAACCAACTTGCATACGCGGCTGACTGTAGCATGGGCTCAAAGTGCAGTGAGGTCACGGTACGAATCTGTTCCTTAGGGCCTTGCGGCGCATCGTCGGATTCTCCTGATAGGAGGACTGCAACCTGTGCGACAGCTGAGCATGTAGCAACCAGTACAGCTTCCTCTTCGTTCATTGTGTGTGCGGCTGAACTGCCTCAATCTCTAGCTACTTTCTCCTTCCCCAGCTCCCAGAGCTGGAGAAGGAGATGGGGTAATTCTCCAGTTGTCACGTTGTGAACTAAACTATTTTGACCAATCAAAAGACAAGAAATAGAGTTGATGAGAGGTCATCTCCATCTCCAGCTACCTAGCGAACACGCTCTAATGTTGGTGACTTTTAGACACTTTTAGACACCCCTGCAAAACGCTGATGTCTCCCACGCTGTCCACCTGCGACCTGTCGGAGCTGCGCCCACGGCCACCGCGCGCACGCTGCCTCACGATCACGGATGCGCCCCAATGTGGTGCAGCACCCCCTCCCCCGACAAAGAACGACGAACGACATGTACGAGCTGCACGGCTCAGACATCGCCGAGTGGTGCTGGACGGCTCCGACGGCCCTCGACACAAGGAGAGACTTGTGAGGATGTCTTCGCTGACGCTGTCGCTGCGACGCCCCCGGCGGACTTCAAGGAGCCCAAGGTCGTGCTGAGCCTGGGCGGCTACTTCGCGCAGAGGCGCGTGGAGGCCGTAGGCCGCGCCTTCAACAAGCGCGTGTGCAACATGGCCCGCGGCTGCTGGACCAGCTGCGAGGACCTGGACGACGCCACCAAGGTGCGCGACGCGCTGCGCAAGCAGGAGGAGTTCATCCTGCGCAAGTACCGCCGCAGCATCCGCGGCAAGAACTTCCTGGAGCTGCAGCTGGGGCTGAGCGACATCGACTTCGACGTGACGGACGAGCAGTTCAAGAAGGCGTACCGTACCACCGTGTGCTGATCGAGCACCACCCGGGCAAGACGGGCAAGACGGAGAACGACCCCAACTACCTGGCCGTGCAGAAGGCCTTCGCCACGCCCATAGACCCGCAGAAGAAGCGCGCGTACGACTCGCAGTGCGACTTTGACGAGTGCGGGCTACGAGAAGATCAAGGAGAACGACCCCGCTGACGAGGGCAAGAGCTTCTACGAGCTCTACGGCCCCGTGTTCCTGGCCAACGCGCGCTTCAGCGAGAACAAGCCCGCGCCCGCGTCCGCGCTGGGCGGCGACGACCTCCATATCGACGAGGTCTACGCCTTTTACGACTTCTGGAACAAGTTCGACTCGTGGCGCGTCTTCACGCACGACTCGGAGCACGACGTGGACTCGGCCGAGCACCGCGACCACAAGCGCTGGATGGCCAAGAAGAACGAGGCCGCGGCCAAGAAAGAAAAAAGAGTACGCCCGTCTGGCCAGCCTCGTGGACCGCGCGCTCGCCAACGACCCGCGCATCCACCGCGTCAAGCAGCCCAACATCTTCAGCTAGCAGGACCTGGAGCTGGCCCTCGCCGGCGAGGGCGACCTGTATGAGGACCTGGATGCCGGCGAGGGTATTGACTACAGCGTCGACGGCGAACAGGCCCTGGACCTGAACTCCTCGGGTGACCTGGACTTCTCGGCCGACGCCTGTCAGGATGCCAGCGGAGAGATGAACACGAAGATTCAGTTCAAGGCTAGCTCCGTCGACGTGGAGCTGGAGGACTACAGCCAGAAGCTGGAGTTCGAGCACGACGTCATCGATGTGCCAAGTCTTATCACCTGCGGGTGCACCGCGACAACGGGAACCTGTGCATCATCAAGAGCGCTAAGCCGGGCGCCAATAAGGAGTTCCAGCCCGACCGACTTCGCGACCCAAGCGAGCAGAAGAAGGAGAAGATGGCTGCCGCTTCCACCGAGACCAATGAAGAGAGCGTGCTTTTCGCAACCGAGGTCAAGAACTGAATCGAGAGAACAGAGCCCGAGCGCTCCTTTCTCGGCAGTCGCGTCAGCGCTACCGTGGGTATCGTGGGTGTGCCCACAAGCAAGAACTACAAGTCGGTCTCGGTGAGACGCTGAGGTCAGTGCGGAGTTCAAGATTTCTTCGAGCATATCGTTGTGCACAAGCAGCGACAGGACCAGGTCTAATGCACGCCAAAGAAAGTGATAGATGCCGCGACGCGCTGCCAACATTTAGGCGCGTCGATCATATCGGCTGCTAATGCTGCACGATGAGGGATTGCCGCTGTACGACACAATAGCAAACTTGGTTCTTGGTGAACTAGCACTACGGACATCTTAGTGGTCAGCAAAATAAAAACAGATTCAAAACGTAGTATCATGTATTATTCGATGGCAATTAACTATCAGCATCTACACTTTCTGGACGCGACTGGTGACGGGCAAGGTCCATCGAATCGCTTCGAATCGTACCATAGTTGATATACACATATGCAAGCATCTCGACTTTTGCCACTGAGAGCCTGTTCCTCCGCTTCGAGTAAGATACTCCAAGCCCGTTCGCTTGCAGCCGACGAAGTAGGGATCGCGAACACAATTTGTGCTATCTTCTGAAGCAGTGGGTATCGCTCAGATTTCTTCCCTTCCCAGTAATCCCGCGGACTTGACATCGAATACTTCTCACGCATCGCCTTACCACCCCGCCGCTTCTTACTCTTAAACGCAAGGACCTCTGCAGTAAATGCGGGGGCGCCCACGGTTGGTGTGAACAAGCCACACCGCCTCGCCATTTCACACACCTGGTCATCAACTTTTTCATCATCAGCGCCAACGAAGTCATCTATATCCGTCGATGAATCGAGCAAGAATGCGATACTCATCGCGTTGGAGTGCACGTAGCTTCATCGACTTCGAATCTTGTCACGAAAAAATTCTTGAAGCTCGTCGAGCTGCGGAACATCGATACGTCTGTAATTACCTCCCGCTAATAAATTTTCATCATCCGGTGACGTACTTTCAGGGGAAGTTTCGCTTGCTGGTACAGACTGCAGTTCGGCTGGCGCTGTGGGCGGCGATCCGGCGGAGTTGGTGGGCGCTAAAAGATCGACTGAGTTACTAAGGAGTTCGATTCCATTGCGAGCTTGATCAACAGCTTCATGTTCAGATGGTCCCGGCACGCCAGCTTGCTCAGACGGCTCCGGCACATCAACTGCCTCTTCATCATCTTGCTCAGGTGAGGTGACGCCGTACGCGGTGTGATACCGTAGCCATCGAAACCACTTATAACCCCCCGACACAAACACGTTGTCACCTTCAAGCTGTCTTAGTGCTTCAATTATAGGGTCCAACAGACGTACGATGGTCCTCAGGCTGTCCCAAAAGCTGTTGTCACGAACGAGCTCCATCATGTAGCGAAGTTTCTTCCGGTTTGGCGCAGTTGCATGATATCGATCGCGGAATTCTTCATACTCGGAACTCAAAAATAATTTTTAAAGTACTTCACGACTGTTCAACACACTGCGCAAGCAAGCAAACACTGAGTACCAACCTGTTGGCACCGGCAACACCAGATTTCTTGTGCTTAGACCCGTATCGCGTAAGCCTTGCTGCAGAGCCTTGAATTCATCAAGTAGAGCCAAATGATCTCGAACGAAACGGGTAACAGCCACAGCTCGTGATCTGACCGCTTGAATTACAGGAAAGCGACACACATCTTGCATGAGCAGGTTGAGCACGTGGGCGGAGCAGCCGCCACTCACCACGTTGGGTCGTCGTGCCTGGATGTGACTTCGAGCACTACTCATGTTTCTTGCGTTGTCTGTGACGACAGAAACGACGTGTGCGGTCGTGGCACTTTCAATATCCGAGATGACCTTGTCAATTTCACCTACTAGGTACGCAGCTGTGTGCTGCTCTGACCTTGTCGACCATGATGACCAGAACAACGAAGGCATGCCGGGCGCCACTACCATGAAATTGATGATACTCGATCCATTTGTATCGCTCCATCCGTCCGTAACTAGCGACACGTAGACTTGCTTGTTTATCAACTTGATAACTTTCACGCGCATCTCATCTCGCACACGTTTTAGAAGAACCACGCTGAGTTTGTGCCTCGAAGGCACCTTCATTGTAGGAGCCACCATGGCGATAAAGTCTCGGAATACCTGAGCCTCTATGAGCATAAATGGAAGTGCACAGACGAAGAAAACACGTGCCAATGCCATCTCGAAGGCGTCTTGACTCAGCTCAGCTGCTTGGGGAGGGGCGGTCTTAGCTGGTGTTGGGTTCGGATCGGGAATATCCGCAGGCCGAAGCGAAACTTGCTACACTAGGGCACTGGCCTGGATTGATCATGTGTTTTAGCAAATTACCGCTCGGCTTGCCATTTTTCTTGAGTGCCGCAGTATCTGCATCGCCCATGCTTTTTACCATTCTCGCGCTCAATGCCATAGTGTTGCCAAATGTCGTCACGCGGGCGCCCCGTCTTCATCGGCGATTCTCGCAACTGGCTGGGCGGAGCTGGAGAACGTGGCGGCCGGGCGGATGTGGACGATTGAGGCGACGAGAAGTCCATCTTCCGTAGCACTCTAGGTGTCTGCGGGGGCTGTTGGGTCGGACTCGAGTACGGCCTAAAGCGTGGAGATCGCCTCACTGCTGAGGCAGGAGAGGATCGGAGGCTTCTCGGCGCTGATGCTGGCGGAGATCGGTGCGTTTTTGGTGCTGATCCTGGAGTTTGTTGGTTTCTCCTCCCTGACTGTGGAGTGCGAGGCGTGATGGATGCTGCAGCTGCTGGCAGCGTGCCAGCAACTGGTTCAGGGTGCATGGTGAAAGGTCCCTGTCCTCGAACGAGCTGTGCGTGAAGGGCAGGAGTGGCAGGGGAATGTATACTCGACAGGAAGATGCGGAGGGCAAGTACTTTTGGACTTTTAGACACTTCAAAACTGTTTCAAACATGAACGACCCTTTTGAACGTTCTTTACGCGGGTGGGAAGTTGTCGGATCGCCGACTGGACTATCGTCGATGCACTATTGGTGGTCGATTTCAATGCAATGGCGGCAGGATCCCCGGACAGCGCGCGTGAAGACAGCTGGGAGAAGGCGGTGGTGGCGGAAAGCTGCTCGAGCTACCTGCGAAGCGGAGACGCTGTCGGCACACGTACATACACGTCCACCTTGTTTGACAGATCAACGTGTACACTATGTACTGTATTGTCTTCACGAGACTAAAATAATTAGTCCCTCGTTAATCAGCGTTACAAGCAACGCGATCATCAAAGCCGCCGGCGCGAAGGGTGTCAAACAGTTGGCGGCTTTCGCAGTCCACATATGCATCGACGGAAGCGTTACGCTGGGCGTAGAGCGGCTTCACGCAATCTCTGGTGTTGGCCGAAAACATTCCTCTGGTATTCTTAGACGCTAGGCATTATCTTCACCCCCGTCCTGCTGTTGATACAAACTCGGCATTACCAAGATCGTGCGGCCAAGTGGCGTTGTCATGTGCATGCCGACCAGTACGTACAGTAGGGAAACTCCAACCTTCTGGGTCATCACCACCCAGTGACGACTTTTATTTTAGCTTCGGCGTGTCGCTATGCTCGAAACAGCAGATTAGTGTGTCATTACTCCGGCATCAGCGTTCAGTATCCGCGTCGGATGCACTACGTTATAATAGCAATGGATTCGGTGCAGGGTGTGCACGTATGGCAAAACATTACTTTACAGAAGAGGATTAGAGTAGGGTATCCAGCAATCGTTATCTGTGGTATTTGAATTCCCGTTCGGACCAGCGGAAAACATGTATTAATATTTCCCGATCCGTGTCGAATACAGTATAGATAGTGTACCCCGCGACACTGTCCCGCATCGTGTATTACTTGTGAGTGAACTCAGGTATTGTCTGCGTTGGCATTGTAGCAAAGAAAAGTAAGATATGCTTGTTGACTAAACGCGCACTATAGGGCCTAATAAATAAAGTAACCGAAGTGTGTTCGGCTACTTCCACATCGAGACCACTTTCATAACTGGTGCATGTACTGTAGCAAACACGCTCTTGTCCATCCCCGGTAGCAGGACAAATAAACGTCGAGCTGCAGTAGCAACGTTACCGTATTAATAGTCATAGAAGAGGGCCAGATATCCACGCCTGCCCAGTGGACCCCGCCCTCCCTTGACAGTTGTAGTTATCTAGACACTCGTTATCTATGGATTTACCCTTCTAAGCTTTAGTTAGCACCCAACAATTCCAACAGGCACACACTGTTGATTAAATTCGTACTTTCGTTTATCAAAGCATATATGCTGTTGAAGAATATTGTGAGCGTCAGTCGGGTACTTCTTAGTATGTTTTCTCGTGGGCTTCTTGCAGAATACACTTTTTGCAGGTTCGAAAGGGATTTCACATACCACGCAATGAAGAAGATGACTACCGATTAGCTTACATTGATATTCACAATGTTTTGCCTAATAATACGTAAACACCCTGCACCGAATCCATTGCTATTATAACGTAGTGCATCCGACGCGGATACTGAACGCTGATGCCGGAGTAATGACACACTAATCTGCTGTTTCGAGCATAGCGACACGCCGAAGCTAAAATAAAAGTCGTCACTGGGTGGTGATGACCCAGAAGGTTGGAGTTTCCCTACTGTACGTACTGGTCGGCATGCACATGACAACGCCACTTGGCCGCACGATCTTGGTAATGCCGAGTTTGTATCAACAGCAGGACGGGGGTGAAGATAATGCCTAGCGTCTAAGAATACCAGAGGAATGTTTTCGGCCAACACCAGAGATTGCGTGAAGCCGCTCTACGCCCAGCGTAACGCTTCCGTCGATGCATATGTGGACTGCGAAAGCCGCCAACTGTTTGACACCCTTCGCGCCGGCGGCTTTGATGATCGCGTTGCTTGTAACGCTGATTAACGAGGGACTAATTATTTTAGTCTCGTGAAGACAATACAGTACATAGTGTACACGTTGATCTGTCAAACAAGGTGGACGTGTATGTACGTGTGCCGACAGCGTCTCCGCTTCGCAGGTAGCTCGAGCAGCTTTCCGCCACCACCGCCTTCTCCCAGCTGTCTTCACGCGCGCTGTCCGGGGATCCTGCCGCCATTGCATTGAAATCGACCACCAATAGTGCATCGACGATACAGACAACGACGGATAAATCCGGCATAACTGAATGACATCCTCCATAGTAAATGTGCCAGAATTCTCTGTCGGGAACGATAGAGATTGTACAAGGCAATGACATAAAGTACACGTAACGGAGCATAAAGTTCACACAGATTTAGAGAAAGTACTTAACAACCATATTGAATACAAATGTCAAGTGTAACTCTCGAAGCTGATTGGCTTTATGAATAACTTATTGTAAAAAGTACAACATATGTGTGCCGGGTTTTGCGTTGCCGTATTTATCCGTCGTTGTCTGTAGTCCAGTCGGCGATCCGACAACTTCCCACACCCTACAGATTTCCTGATGGTATCTCCATGATGTGCGCTTACGCTTTGTCACCATCCAAGAACGAAACCAGGCACGCTCTGCCTCTTATTAAAACGCCGCTGTCCGGCTCGGTTCAATCAGCTCTCATTCTTCAATTAATCTCCTACGGAGCAAGCTCGACACCCTCGCCGTCTCGCCCACTCCACCATGGTGTTCTCCATCTTCAAGACCGTCGCCCTGGTGTCGTCGCTCCTGGCCGCCGTCGGCGTTGCCAACGCCGAGCTCGAGACCGTCAAGCTCACGCACCCGTACGGCTCCAGCGCGGAGGTCTACCACTTCGGCGCCCACGTCAAGTCGTTCCACCCCGCTATGGACCCAAAGATGGACGTGCTGTTCATGTCGAAGGAGTCGTTCCTCGACGGCGTGAACCCCATCCGTGGCGGCATCCCTGTCGTGTTCCCCAACTTCGGCAGCGCCAAGGGCTTCCCGAGCCACGGCTTCGCCCGCATCACCAACTGGACGCTGGCCAGCTACAAGAATGCTGCTGACAAGAACAGCCCGAGTGTGGCCAAGTTCACCATGGAGTCGAGCAACTCTACGCGTAAGATGTGGCCTGTTGACTTCAAGCTTGAGTACGAGGTGAAGCTGTACGGCAACGAGCTCAAGACTGCTCTGCGCGTGCGCAACACGAACAAGGACCCGATTGAGTTCCACGCTCTGCTGCACAACTACCTGTGGGTGGACGACGCCACCAACAAGGGCGTGCAGGTGTTGGGCCTGAAGGGCGTCGACTACTACGACAAGGTCGCCAAGGTCAACGCCACGGAGACGCGCGCGTACATCGACTTCGCTAACCAGACGGACAACGTGTACAGCAACGCCCCCAACACGCTGCACGCTGTGATCAAGGGCGTCAACGCCGTGGACCGTACGGTGACGATCAAGAAGTCGGGCTCCATCTCCAACGGCAGCAAGGCCGTCAAGACCCAGACCGATGCCGTCGTCTGGAACCCGTGGGCCGACCGCGCCAAGGCCATGGAGGACTTCGGCGACGAGGAGTACAAGAACATGGTCGCCGTCGAGCCCGGCCGCGTGAGCGTCAAGCAGGCCCTCCCCGCCGGCCAGACGTACACGCTGGCGGAGAGCATTTCGGTCACCACGGCCTAAGCTTCTCCATGCCCTATAAATGCGTGACAAAATCGTTAGATGGAAAGACTTCGCTGCATAAGGTTGGGGGAGTCCTCACACACCTCTAAGACCCATCGAAGTACATGAAGTGCATTCTTATGAACTCAACACGTTCAAAGCTCTCGTCGCCCACCACTAGAAGAGCGTACACATAGCATTGTTACTTGTCCCTAGCTTGAAGCAGCCGGTCTTTTCTTCCTGGTGATGGCCGTGAGCAGCTCGGGGTCGTTCTGCAGCACTCGGTACACCTCCAGCGCGTCCCGCCCCTCCGCCACGTGCCTCTGAATGCGCGCTTCGCTGCGCTCGCGCTGTCTCAGGCGCAGCAGCTCCCTCGCGTTGTACTGCAGCTTGCGGCCCATGCTGCGCTCCGGGAAGGCCCTCGCCACGCGCAGCGCGTCTCGGTAGAGCGCCAGCACCTCGCGCCTCAAGCCAATGCCCGCCATGTGCCCGTCCGATTGGCGGAAAAATCCGATATGGGGCCTGCAATTGGCTCAAAAAGTGACCAGAGTGGGACGATGACATCGGAACCTTTCACGGTCTCTCTCCACTATCGAAAGTGACGCCTGAAGCTCAAGTGGAAGAAAGATGAAGTTTATTGCTGCGTTGCTGGCTCTAGTGTGGACCACTAGCCTCGAGTGCGGGGTGGAGGCGCGTCGGGCGGTGGGGGTCTTCCAACCGGACACGTTCCGACTCGCGGAGACGGAGGATTTGTGAGTTCCTTCTTGAAGTTATGATTTTTATTTTATTTTATTTGGTTTAGAGGAGTTCTCATTTGAAGTTTTTGTTTGTGGCAGATATTGGGGGGCGAGCTCGGCGCAGCACGCGCGGCAGTTGGTGCACGACAACGTGTGGGCGACGCTGTCGACGATCTCGGTGCAGTTCAATGGGGTCCCGTACGGAAGCACGGTGTCGTACAGCGGTACGGGTTTATTCTTGAGAAATGGGGAACACATGGGGAATATTGCCTTTGACGAGTCTAATTAAAATTGTGCTGTTTGCTTGGGGCAGACGGGATTGGGTACTCGAAGGAGGAGTCGACGGGCAAGCTCTTCTTCTACATCACGCCGATGGATGCAGCTGGTACGGAGCAGAGAGGATATTATGCTGCAGGGGAGGCGAAGTGTTAATTAGTTTCTCTTTTGTTTTACTGTCGCCTGTGTAGGATCGGACCTCAGTGTGAATTCTACTGCGTCGGTGGCTATCTCGATGGCGCAGGGCGGAGAACACGCGTGCAAGATGGACGTGGAAGACCCAACGTGCTGGAAGCTCACGCTGACGGGGAACGTGGTGCCTGTGCCCGTGGATCAGCGCCAGTACGCCGAGAAAATTTTGTTCTCCAAGTACGCAATACTGAAATCGATGCATTTTCTAATACACAAGTGGAATGTCTAACTCAGGGATATTGACAATGCTTTGTGCTCTTTAGGCACCCGCAGATGAAAGACTGGCCGGAGAAGCATGGATTCTTGCCGTACGTTCTTGACATTGAGAACATCATCTTGCTCGACTTTTACGGCGGCGCGAAGCACGTTCCTGTGAAGGAATACTACCAGGCCAAGCTATAAACGCGTGCTCTGATCGTGCGAGTGTCCGGTGGTTAAGCTGAAGGATGTCCTTCGATAGTGAAGTCAGAAGTGTGTATGAGCGAATAAAATTCAAGGATGTGGGAGATGAACTTCGCTGAAACGTGGTGCGGCAGGCATCGTTTCCACGATGGTGTCGCGCGCTTGAGCGTACTTGGCGCATCCTATTTTTTGCATTCCAAAGGTCTTGCTAAGCAAGTTGCTACGATACCGTGGTGACCAGGGCACCCTGATGCTCTTGGCTGTAGTGAGCGAAAAGGTATCCGAACTATGGAGGAGGTATGCCAAACCGATGTGAGTACAAACCAAGTAACAACAAATCTAAAGTGAGCGCGTACCTGGAGTCCTGATGACTGTTATTATAGCCTCCACGTTCAAGGTAGCTCCCCAGTACTTGTCCCTGGCGTGCCGATACTACATCGGTGGAGGAAGAGCGCTGGGAAACGATTGCACCTGCGGCCTACCCGGATCACGGTGTGTTACAGCTAGGGGTTCTGTCACGGCGATGCCGCTCACGACCGGCAGGCGCATGCGCCTCAGCTCTCGGATCCGAGATGGGTTGACGTTGAAGCTGGCTTCACGCATGGCTACACAGCTGAACTCTACAGCAAGCGTACACAATTTGATGTGCATGGCAACCCTGTCTCCCATCCCGCCCACAAATATCGTCCAATGAGAGGCCGTGCACGCGTTTCCTCTTCGACTTTGTATGGCCAAAGGCAACTTCAGTCGCCATTTCCAGCCATTCCAACATGGCGGCGCTGCCCGTGGGGATGCAGCTCGTGAGCGCGCTGGACGACGCCGAGCTCCAGGCGCTCTCGCCCGTGGGCTCGCAGGAGAACGACGCGTCGTCCGCCGCCTCCGAGCACGTGCGGCGCGCGCTGCTGCTGCCGCTGGAGGGCGACGACGTCGACGTGGGCGACATGGACATGGACATCGACGTGGACGTCTTCCGGCCCAGCGCCATGCTGTCCGACGTCTTTGGCGGCGGCGACTCGACGGATTTTCTCTTCGCCTCGAGCTTCCAACCGGGTAAGTAATTTATCATTCATTCTTTACGTTAAATTAAAAATTCGAAATAAGAAACTTGATGCCCATCCATCCATGGATACATATTAGGAATATTTATTTATTGGTTGATTAAAATCTTATTGTCTGACTCGTTGATGTGATATTCTCCATTAGCAGAGCTGGGGGAGGCGGGCGCCGACATTGAGCAGATGCTGCTGTGTGGCGGCACGGACGACGCTGGGCTGCAGTCGCACCACCAGCATGAGACGGCACCTGGACAGGGATGTCAGTGCCGGAACTTCGCTATCCAAGCGAACCGGGTACAGACTCAGCAGCAGCGGGTGGCTGCGGCCGTGGTGGCCAAGGACCACAAGAGGGTGTTGCGGCATACGTTCGGGTCCGGCAAGAAGCTGCAGGACTTTGGATTTGGAGAGGGAGCAGTGATGGACCAGACCCAGCAACAGGATATCGAGATGGGGGATGGAAGATCGACACCAGCTCCAGCTTTGCAGATGAAACAGGAGGTTCTAGCTGCCGAGCATGCAGCGGCAGTGGCGGCGATGGCGCAGATGGTCCCGGAGCCAATTGTGACCGTAAAGCAGGAGGTGCCGTCGACGCCCGAGCGCGTGCTGTACAAGTCACGATCTTTGGATGATGAGCAGATGTTTAGCAGTCCACTGCATCGAAGTATGTCGTTGTCAGCAGTGTCGAGTCCGTTGAGCACGACGAGTTTCGTTTCGCTGGAGAGTATGATGGCTACACCGTTGTCGACAACATCGCGAGCTTCAGGGCACCCCGAGATGCCAGTGATGATGCGATCGTTGTCCCCAGCTGATGAGTTGGAGAAGATGACAGCTAGTGGCTCGAAGACTTCGATGCCGAAGATGAACATGCTCCGGGGAAACTTTCAGGTCTCGCCAGGACACGACTCCGTACCGCTCGTCAAGCCCACTGCGGTGCTACCACCGCCGTATTTCCGAGGGGCACTCGATTCCCCTGAGAAGCGCCGCGCACATTCCAAGACGTTCAACTCGTTTGCACAGTCGCTGTCATTTTCATTTTCAAACGAGTCTTCGACGGACAGGTGAAGAAGGTATGAGGTTCATCGGAGACACGGAGAACGAGAGAGGAAGCAAATGGTACTCGAGGCCATTCAACAGAAAGAGCTAAAGCACAGGCAACCACGGCGCTGTTCACCAGATTCAAGACGGAAAAAATTTCGAGAAAAATGGCGCATGCGCGCAGAACAACACGCGGAAAAAGCCGCATTCAGTATTAGTAGGAAAAAAATCAGCAACGCCAGGTACGAAAAGCATGGGGCGATGAGTTTGTATTACAATAAGCACGTGAGAGAACCGTACTCGAGTTTTGCCACGCCCAGAACCAACCTGTTTTCAGCCGTTTATTCTTGGTGATTGCAACGTTTTAGATAGCTGAAGGACCGGGACGGGCAACTGCGTCGGGAAATTGAGAGTGTGCTGGGGATTTGGTGCTCTTCGGCCATGACCTCCGGCCCACATGAGTGTACTCGTGTTGTGGGAAGCGCTGCGATTTTCCTACGGCCGCTGCGCTACATGTTTGACGTCGAAACCGACGTGGCCGTCGTGAGTGAGGAGGAATCGGCAGCAGTTTTACCGTTTGAAGCCGTGCACGTGCATTTGCGTGCGGCAACTCGACCCCCGCTAATGGAGCGTGACGAATTGTTGAGTGGCTTCTTGCGCGCAGAAGCCCCGATCCACACTAGTGCAGTGCCATCACACCGCCACCTATCTCCAAGCAACAGATCAGTGGACAAGTACAAGTTCGACTTGCAGGACACCAAGGTGGAGTCTGAAGAGGATGAGTCCGACGATAGTGACCGAACGCTGAGCTCCTTGCGAGGTACCTACGTGTGGCTCCTAGTTCGCCTTCAGCCCCTTGGCAAAAGCAAGCCATTCTCGTTCATCGTACCTGATGCGCAAGACTCTCAGGAGACACTGCGAGTGCAGTACCAAATCTCCCCTCCAAGTGAAAGTTTTTGCCTCCCGGTCGATCACACCAATGTATGTTCAAACTTGTTGCTATCACTACCTAAACGGCCAGAGTATTGAGCGTGATTCATGTGATGCGTGCAGGTTGTAAAGCTCCTTGTGACGGACGAGCTGATCGATCAAGTAGACGCCAAAATGTTGCAGTTCACCTTCCTGTTGGTACCACTAAACTCTCCCGAGACCACTGCTGCAAAAGAGGTTGAAGCGAAGCCTGTAGCGCCCACGCTTACCAGTGTCAACTACAGCGATGCAGCCTTGGCAGCAAGCGAAGCTGCGGCCGCCGAGGAGGCACGACGTCGAAAGCAAGTTGAAGCGGAGCTCGCGGAAGCGAAGTCTGCAGCTGAGGCAAAAGACCGTGAGCGATTAGAGACTCAACTCCAAGCACAGCAAGATGCAAAACGCGCGCAAGAACTTGAAGTGGCTCGAAGTGAACAGGCCCACGCACGAACCTTGTTGGAACACGAACTAGCAACGCGTGATCAACAAAATCAGGAGCTGAAGCAAGTGCGCAAGCAGTTGGAGGACCAGCTACAAGCTACAAATGAGAACGCCCAGCGCTTTCAGGTCAACATCACCTCCACCGACCAGGCTCTCGAAGTGAGTATAATTGAGTTGTTGTTCGTTGCTGCGGTGGACTTTTATCTAATCTACTCTTCGATCGATTTTGTGGTTCGATAGATGTTAAAGCAGCGTGCGCTAAGCGACGCAAAAGAGCGCGAGGAGCTCCAACGAAGGCTACGCGTGCTTGAAGAAGAGAAGCTAGCCTTGCAGAAAAAGAGTCGCGCTTGCACGATACAATAATGCTGCACATTTGAATTAACCGGGGGTACGAGTGGTGCTAACGTTGCTACTGTGTCACGCTGGCATGATATCTAAAGTTCCATCAGCAAGGGAATGGTAAGGATACGCACCGGTAGTCACTAGAGTCTGTCGCAAGCGATCACTTCGACAGTATCCGGAGCGCATTCGATCCAAATGAAAGATGAGCTGCTCACAGGAGCTTCACCATGCACAGAGCTCTCCCCTACCATGCTTGGCGCTCATTAGATGAATTGCCTATCGATTGCATGCATGCTCAGCCGCCCGCGTTCAAATCGACACCAAAGCTACGGAGCCATTTTCCCAACCGCAGCGCATTTGGATTTCATGCTTACGGTCCCGCGGAAATATATCAGCGCACCGTTGAGACGGTGGGAGTACCTATTTGATTCGCAAGCCGTCGGGGATAGATCACTTCCTGTCAATCACCAGTCAATTTCTCTGCTTGGTGCTGCTCACTTTTCAAGTTTCCTCCTAGCCCCAAGCAACCTACCAACTCGACCATGGCCTCCACACCCAAGCTTTTCTCTGACCTCACCCTCGGCGGCAAGAAGGACCCGATCCAACTAAACCACCGCGTGGTGTTGGCCCCACTCACCCGAGTCCGTTCAGGCGATGCAGGCGTGCCGACTGACGTCGTGAAGGAGTACTACCAGCAGCGCGCCACGGATGGCGGCCTGCTCATTACGGAGGCTACGAACATCAGCGCAACCGCTCGCGGATACTACGGGGCTCCGGGGTTATTCCGCCAAGAACAACTCAAAGGTTGGCAGGCGGTGACCGAGGCCGTGCACGCTAAAGGGGGCAAGATATTCGCGCAACTCTGGCACACTGGTCGGGTGGGCCACCCTCTGAATCAACCGGACGGTCAACTGCCAGTGTCTTCGAGCGCCACCAGCATGGACAACGTCAAGAGCCACGCTGTTACTCGTGAAGGCCGCAAGGACTACGTGACTCCGCGCGCGCTTGACATCGCGGAGATCCCTGGCATCGTGGCCGACTACAAGACAGCGGCGGAGAATGCGATCGCAGCGGGATTCGATGGCGTCGAGATCCACGCGGCCAACGGGTATCTACTCGAAGAGTTCTTGTGCGACGGCGTAAACAAACGCACGGATGCGTACGGCGGCAGCATTGAGAACCGCGCGCGGATCATCTTCGAGGTGGTGGAGGCCGTTCTGTCCAGCGTCGCGCCGAGTCACGTGGGCATTCGTCTTTCTCCTTTTGGTGAAACTTTCGGCTGCAAGGACTCGACGCCGCGTGAGACCTACGGCTACGTGGTGAAGAAGCTCAACGACTATGACCTGGCCTACCTCCACGTGATCGAGCGTCGTGGGCGTCACGCAGATGGCGTTGATACACCAGTGAACGGTGTGGCTCACCACTTCCGCGGAACCTACAAGGGCGTGATCATTGCGGCCGCGGGTTTCGACCGCGCTGACGCGATTAAGACGGTTGAGGAGGGGTCGGCGGATCTCGTGGCATTCGGGCGCTACTTCATCTCAAACCCGGATCTTGTAGAGCGTCTTCGTGTTGACGCAGAGCTGACCCCGTTCGACTCAGGAACATTTTATATGCAGCCGGACATGCCCGTGCAGGCAGGATACACGGACTATCCGTTCTTGGGAGAGGAGGACAATGGAATTCGCTCCGCACAGTATGCTACAGGCGTGTAAGAGGCAAAGGGTAGTAGGAGAGGCGTTGAAACCAAGTTTATCGCATTGCACGCCTCTGTTGGATAGCCCTCTATTTTTTTAACGACTTACTGGAGCGATTCTTGCAGGCTTAATGTTCCACAAATGGTGGCGGATTTTCCCTTTTCCCTCAAAAGGGGTCAACCCCTTCATGTCCCTCGAATCAACATTTCATTGCATCAGCGGTCGACTAGAGCTCGCACTCCAACGGACGCAAACTTGATCTTCGGCAGGCCTTCCCGGGGTAGGAGTCGAACACAGGGTCACATGTGCCCAGGCCCGGCACCGATCCAAGACCATAAACCTTGGTCCTTAGGGAAATACCACGCGTACAGGATGGCAAACTTGCCCTTGTACCAGTCAGCGCGGCCGACACTTGCGACCCAAGACTTGATCCTTTGCATTCGCCGTCGGGTTTCCCAGTTCCTTTCAGCCCCCCGCTCGTCTCACCCGCCGCATTAACGACAGGGTACGGGTGGCATCCTTTGACTATCTGGAGACTCGGTTTGAACTTGATGGCAGCCTTCTCCGAGGCGGTGATGGGAACCGGCTGAGGGAATGGCTGCACCTTGTCATGATTGATCTTGCCAGCCTCCACAGAGGTGAGCGTTGCGGCGACAACAGCGGCGAGAAGAAACGAGAACAGCTTCATGGTCCGGATTGCAGGCGAGAAAATGAACTGTGCCCCGAACCGGGACTTGCAGAGATAGTTATCAGGTGGGAGGTGGTGGTGGTGGGGGGTCGTAACGACACTGTCGATGTGACTGGTACATTCTCCGTCCTCTAACCGAGAATCCTGTCTGTCGGTCATCGCGTCACGCTTTCCGCCCCTACAGCCTAGACCTGTCAATTAGACTACGCTACCGCGGCCTTATTGCATACATTATTCACTCATCAAGTCGACTGGAACTGGCTTTTTAACTATCTACGAAGTTACAAAAATAGCCACAATCACGCTAAAATTCGGACTTACACGGAGCCGGTCGGACTTTAGCGGGCATGATTATCACATTCCCCATTTGAAAGTTGGCGCGCGGCGGACGGACGGACCGAGGCAGCGAGCGGAGGGCGCCTGGCGTAGAGAAGCGAGTGGCGAACTGCAGCGGCAGCGGACACACACAACAGTGAGTACTGCATGTCCATACATAAATAAACTACTGTACGGTTTCGGGAGTTCCGCCTGTTGGGATAACTGGTACCTTCAGGGCAGTTGAGGGTTTACAGTACGGAATTAGGGGTAGACTGGTGCTTATTAGGCGTTCATCTTCTAATACACCAAGAATGTGTGCGAACGACGCATTTAGATCACCTAACGCTGCACATAGATTAACTGATAAACAGCACGCGGCGTGGTGTAGCTGGCAATCGTGCTGTATTCATTTGCAGGAATCAAACATTATAATACACCAATTTGAGTAGTCGCGTGCTCAACTTAAGTTACTACTACGTAGTAGTTGGTCGAATTAAGTAAACCCAGGTGCATCACCAGCGCGCGCATCGAGGCGTCATACTTACGACTTTTTATGTTTTTTATTAAGCTGATTAATGGCAGGATCTTGCTGCAGTCCGACACTCGCTTCCATAGGAACGATAGTCGCATCAGCTAAGTGACAACAATGCACTCCAACTCAAATCAAAATCGATCATATCCCAGGTACCCTAACTCTCGCGCTTCAACAAAACAATTTTAGAAAATGCTGCTCGAATTGCGCGCAGCGCACAACAGCATGGTCGTGCGCAATTTCGAATTACTGTTACTAAATACCACCAAGAGCAATAACGCGTTATAAATCCAGATGAAAGATGCAGAGTAGGCCGGACCCCGGGGTCCCGCATCATGTACCGATGGCGACCGGAATTATTTATTTTTATCGGCGGGGCAGTGATAACATATATGTTGTGACAATTTTGTGATAATTTTTCGAGTTTAGCTAGAGCTCATTTCACCTTCAAGCATCTAGCATCCAGTATGAAGTCTAGGCGAACTGGAGGTGCAGAGGTTCCTCGGCGCAAACGTGATACTTAAGTATTGAAATCGTCGTGACCACAAAGCTGCTGCATTCGTTCGTTCTGTTAAGCGTCTTGGTGAAGATACGACCAAGAAGATTCAAGCTGACTGCTAGAAGCTAGCGCCTACTACAGCAGCAGCGGCGTCGGGCACGCAAAGTTGCGAACTCTGCAGCTCTGTGCAACTCGATAGTCGATACTACCAGAGATACATAGCATCGATACAAACATGCAGCACTTGAATTTACCGAATATCCCGGTTGCTTATGACAGCTGGCGGGGCAAGCGGGGACCCCGGGGTCCCGCCAAACGCTTCATATGCATATACACGATACACAACAACCTAACCATCGAAGACGCACAGTCGCTACCGATCCGTATTGAGTTGAGCTAAATTTGCTATGTCTATTTGAACTGTTATCGCGCAAACCAGCATTACTACATGTAGCGCGGTGCAGTGCGTAAATTCATGCTGGCAAAGTTGCGGTCTTTCAGTGCTAACGTAGTAACAACACTAGAGTACGGTATCGACGACAGCTACCAGTTTGCAACGCAGTATAAACCACACCCAATCATAGTTTCAATACTTTAGTTATTACTTCAAAGTAAGTAAACACGCAGGTCACTGTAGTAAGGGATGTCCGTGACAATGTAGCTCGCCTCGCAGAAACGGGTGATCAATAATACAACGACAACGATATTCAGCTCACTCGATGTTTAGGTACTCAACTTTGCATCGTGAGCGACATTTGGTAATTAGCTTAATAGGAAAATGTATTCCTACTCATTTGCCACTAAAGCACGAAGTTATAGCAACGAATATGTGTCAACTGTATCCGCACATTATTGTTATGGAAATCAAAATGATGCATATACTTTTAAGCTATGCTATTCCAGCAACCCGTGGTCAAAGCGCCCGCGTAGCGGGTGCCCAGAGCGCTAGTGGATGAATCTATACTAATAAACTCCTTTTCTGTGAGTATGTCACGCTTTTGGCTACACGTATTTATTCGGGTAAGTACGATCTTTTCTTCTCAAGATCACGCTGTTGAAACCTGCCTGATGGTACGTACCGCTAGCGGACACCATCGTGTACAACTGTATAGGATTGCTTTTGAGTAACTTGACGAGTGTACTTATGCTACTACAGTGGTGCACCGCGTTTTCGGCACCGGTATAAATCAATACCCCAAGATAGTAGATTGGGATTTGAATACATTACAAGTACCAGTGACAAATTATATATGGCTTCCTGCTATAGCCGATTTATGTACCCATGCCGAATACGCGGTGCACCTCTGTAACATTATACCTTTGAAGGCCAAAGTGCTAAAATACAGTCGAACCATATTTTTGGTTGCTACAATGTCGGGTGCATCCAAACCCTCGATTGGCGTCGTATTCAGTTCTATCATTCGAGCGGATGATGGCGTTCGTGGTGCTAACATTGAACTCTCCAAGATGCGTACACGGGGGTGCGTTCTCCCCTTCAAAAACTTAACATCAAAATCATCTTCTTCTTTGTGTTTGTGGACATTTATAGGAGCTGCATGGTAGAGTCCTCTTTTTGGTAGTGATACAGATCTGCTCGATCTAGATTGGAGATAGAGGTCGATATAGCCAACCGAGTTGGCCCAACACGGGCAACAGCTTTGATTCAGGTGCAGGTCTTGGAGAGGGTGGAGGATTTCGTGTGGGTGTTAACTTCCGTACATATATTTCATAAGTAATATGAATCATAGCAATAAAAACCGCTGATTGAAACTGGGGCTACTTAGAGCGCTGCGCCGTTTACGGCGCAGCCAGCTCGCTTGTATCATCAAACTGCCGACAGCATACACTAAAAACTTGATTTTTGTATGGTCCTGTGAGCCAATAGAAACACAGCTGAAGACTTTTAACGAATCATACAGTGTTCCAGCGAAATTTTAGCCAATTAAAACACAATAGGGGTAGGGTAACGACTACCGACACGTGGCCGACGCGTAATGTCGGCAGCGACAGCCAGACATTTGGGCACCGATTCAAAAAGCAAGTCATTCACATACTTGCTGGATATCAAGAAGACAACCGACACTAGACTCGAAAACAATGAGCCTGCAAGACCTCGCTCCAGAGAACACGAAGCGTGCGCAAGCGACAGCAGTCAACGTCTTCACGGCTTTCCTCGCCTCCGAGAATGTCACTCTCGAATTTATTCGCGCTACCCTCCTGGCAGATGCCAGTGGTTCGGTGCTTGTGAAGTTGCTGGACCGCTTCGCGATGCACCTCGCGTTTGCTCGAGGCCGAAGCGGGGATCTACGCAAGCGGAACACCGTGATGAGCTACTACCGGAACGTCAAGAACTGGCTGCTGGAGGATTTCCTCCAGCACCGCCACATTGTGGAGCAGTGGCTACTCAAGATGGGTCGCATTTTGGAGCGGCACTGCCTCAAACGGCAGCAAGGTGGTATGGTGACGAAGGCGCCAGCATGCACCAAGGAAGACTTGCGCTCTCTGATCGACGGACTATACTTAGATGCGAGTTCTGCCAAGGAGTATCAGGATGCTGCGCTCCTATCCATCATGTGGTACGCGCTTGGACGCGCTTCCGATCTCGTGTTTATCCAGAAGCGCAACCTGTCGGTCGGCTCGGGCAACGTGCTATTCCTTCGCCTGATCCCAGCGAAAACGTCGGAGGAGCAAGGCCTCTCTCTCTTCCCAGACAAGAGCTCCTTCATCACGTGTCCGCTCCACGCCATCGCCATGACACTGGCGATGCAAACATTCCCGGTATCGTCTGTACTCGACCTTGAGCACCTTTCGGGGCTGAACGTTGGAGATGAAGCGCCTGCAACGGAGGCTACGCCACTTACCGATGCGCTTGTCCACTGTAGCGATGATGATGAACCTGCTAATGCAACACCCGAAGCCACCTCTCCGAGACGTAAGTCTACCCCGCTGAAAATGCAAGGGTACGTCAATCGAGTGCTCAAGGCCGCAAGCGCACGTCAAGCTGATGCTGGTGTTTTAAGTGGCCTCTCGTCTCATTCTTCCCGGCGGGGCGGTGCGCCGCATGCCAAAGCGGATGCTTCGCTAAGTCCTCAATGGATCTTCGATCGTGGCAGTTGGAATATGACGGCGACGAACAAGGCCTTTGCCTACGTTTTTAACACCACGAATGAGGACAGGAAAGTATCGAAAGTGCTCAGCGACTGGAAGTCAAACGACAACCCGACCATACCTTCGGCTGCCACATTCGACTCTGCAACGACGACATAGATTCGCAGGCTTGGTCGCATGTTGTTTGCGTCCAGCTTGGATCTTGGGGACGCCTCATTGATCGTCGATGATCAAGTCGCAGACCTGCTAGTGGCATCATTGATCCAGCACTTCCCGGAGGTCAACGAGAGGTACCCGATGAGCCCATATAATTCGCGGATGCGCATGTGTCTTTTCCCTCTTCAAGTGTCAATGCCGGAGCTGCTAGGCTGGAGTGTGGAGCTGAAACGATAAGCAAGTGAAGTTCGAGAAGAAGAAGAAAAACCCTTCACACGTGAGCTTCAGTTGATCAACCATCTCAATGCAGTCATAGCCCAACTCGTGGAAGCGAACAAGGCGCAGTCTGAGCGCAATTCAGAGTTGGAAAAACGGGTGTCGGTTGGTGGTGGAGTTGCTTCCCAGGCCGGCTCAACTCCAGACACGATCACTGAGCGTACCGACCTGTCATTGGCCTTGGACACCCCGATGAAACCAACCAAGCCCAAGGTCCGCCAGCCTCGAAGACTGCAGCCGCAACTTGGTTAGAGTGGTACACGAAAACCCCTCGCATCTGGGAAGTCTGTGACTATCGCCAGTACAAGTCTCAGTCAAAGCAGGTTGTCGCCTTCATGAAGCTATTCCTACCTCTGGGATTCAGCCTTGACGCTACCACTGGTGAGTACGCGGATCGTGTCATGCAAGCTGGCAACACAGCTAATAAGCATATGCATGAGTTTCTTCAAGCGCGAGGTATCAAGCGCAAGTTCGGCTCGGGCCTACTGAAACAACTTGGCGCACTTCATCGAGATGGAGCTCATTACCCGGTACCGGGCAAGTTTGGCTGTCGGCCAGATCGCCGACCCTGCTCCTGAAACGACAAAGGAGTGTTTTTAGAAGCACATTGGGATTTTGGAGAAATCATGCGACTTTACAGTTTGATGGAGCTTTTTAACCTATTAAAGACATGAGCTTAAATAGAGCAAATACACTCCCCAAGGTTCGTTACACATTCAAACCACTGTGGCATACCTTCACCATTTTGCAATCGCCAACACGAAACCGATGGTTCACCTCAGCCAGAAGAAATTCAAGCGCGCTGTTAGAGCATTTATTAGGCGTGAGTTCCCCCTCGCGTATGTTACAGATGAAGATTTACGCTACCTTTGCCACGAGCAGCGTGCCCAGGTTACCGAGGCTCCAAGCCCAAGGGGACCGATGTTTGACGTCCTCTCGCTGTTGTAACAGCAAACTGGTCGTTGAATTGAAGGCCACCACGTTCTGGCATGGCGCTCTTCGCGGCGCCCCAGCCTCCGACAGCTTCCCAGTACCGGCGCGAATGCATCCCATGCAGCTGCCCACGACTCGACGCAGGCGCGTGAGGCTGACGGCAACCTCGCGCCAGTCAACACTCCGCTAGGAGCTGAGGAGAATAGGGGCGCCGTTGCCACTATCGCCGCCGCCACCGCTTGGACGAGCACCGTCGAGAACCCCGCCAGCACTGCCGCCGAAGCCATACCCACCAGCACAGCTGTTGAAGCCACACCTGCCCTCACTACTGCTGCGAAGCTTGCCACTGATGATGTTGCCGAAGAGAAGCACGCTGCCGCTGGTCCTGTTGCAGAAGAGAAGCACGCCACCGCTGTTCCTGCTGCCGAAGAGAAGCTCTCCGTCGCCGCCATCGCCGTCGCCGAAGAGAAGGTGACCACTGCAGCCTCCAATGCTGACGCTGCACAACCGCTCTCTGATTCTGGTGACGACTTCAGCGACGAAGACGTGGTCTGGATCCCAGCTCCAAGCGGTCTACCTGTCACAACTAGCACCGGTAGCGTGCTCAATGCCGACGATGGGCGCGACGACAGCGAGGCGAGCGAGACCGAATGGGTCCCGACGGAAAACATGACCGCTCCTCCTTCCACAGCTCCGCAGCTCTACAACATCCGCGCAATCACAAACTCATACATGAGAAACGGTAAGAGAGCTTACCTTGTTGAGTGGGAGCAGACCGAAGAGCCTGCCACGAATCTGCCTCGGAACATGGTTGTCGCATACAACCGACGCCGCAGAGCCCTTGTCCGTCGAACCTTCATTGAAGACCAAGCTGGCCACGGCCGTGGACGACTTCGAAACTCGGAACCTGCACCAGAGCGCCGCCGTCGCCGACCACTTCGACGACTTCACAGAGCTCTTCACTTCTAGATAACACAGGCACAAGACAATAGTTCGAAGGGTTCAAGCGCATGTATTACCATTGAGGAACGACTACCCAAGTACAACGAGGCTAAGCTGCTTTCGCGGCACACCAAGTTTTGGGTCGCAAAACAACTAGACTACGCCATAGGATAGCACACCAAGCTTAACAGCCGCATCACAGCCTACATTAATGCATACACACTAACACCAATATCAACAAACGTCAGACACGTGAGCCCAATAGCACCAAGCTTCCCCAGTGCTTACCACATCATCTCGCCGATGTCCTTGGTCCTCAGTTCATGATGGAGCTGCATGCCTGCCGCACGCCTTTGCTGAGCTGCCGCTGCCGCTGCCGCGGGTGGGGGGGACCCGCCTCCCCCCACGCGCGGACGCCCCTTGCTCGTTGGCGCCGCTCCCGCTATCTGTCTGCGTGCTGGTTGAGATGTGTTCTCTCTGTGGCCTGTCCTTAGCGACATGTCGTCTTCGGATTCTTTAAGCCAATGATAATTGTATTGATATTAACAAATCAGTGTCAGTGCTAGTGAAGGTTTTAGCCAATAAGATTGATGTCGAGCGTGTCGGCCGCTGTCGGCACCGTCACGCCATGGTACGCTGGAAGATTAGATTACGATTAGGAGAGCGCCAGGCTGTATGCAGTATTGAGCCTATATTCGCTACATTAAGCAAATTGCGCACGTGCCCAGCGGGCGCTGCCCACACGTTCGGAGCATCCTATCGGTACTAACAGGGGGCATTGGACGCTACGTGCCATCAAAGACGACCCGTCATTTACTAATCCCTGGCCTTTTACCTTCCCAGTGGGAAGACCCCACGCTCGTCTAGATCTGCTGTTCGGGCCGATATACGTGGACTGCGTACAGTCTTGCACGCTGGACGAAGATTTTCTGGCGTGTGTTCACTGTGTACATTCAATGTACAGCAACATACACACAATGTACTACAGTCTGCCCCGGCAAATCTGGAAAGGTCGGGCCAATAGAAACTGCGAGGTTGCGAAACTTGCAAAGGGCTTGACAGAAGTGTGAATAGAGAGATTTCGCAAGTGTCCGAATCCGATTCCAGTTCGGTTACGGATACAAAAATGGGTCACGTGGCTCGTTTTTGGAAATCGGATTGGGATTTCGGGTCCAGACGTCCGGATTAGCCCCCATTCCGGAATCTGAATCCGAAACGGAACGATGTGCACCACATGGAAACATTGTGCACCACATAAGCAGTAACAGTTTAGAAAGGCACGGCAATTTTACAGAGCTTATAAATTACGCTTTTGGGAGGGTTTAAGGAGCAAAAGTATATTACATACACCGCCTTAACTGTGTAGTTTCTGGTCAAAACGATCGTAAGATTAAGCTTGACAGCGGATAGAGTCAATATAGCCTACCGTATGATATTTCCCGCCCAAACGGACCGATGTATATGCGTGCATTGCATTTTGAGGTTGTTTGAGCGTTGTTAGTTGTGTTGTGGGAGACAACTGCAACTGCAAGCAGTCGGTGGTCCACACCATCCATATGCTACCCAGAAATGTGCATTGCAGATTCTGATTGGGACTCGAGTTGCGAAACGAACGAGGCCTAAAATCCGAATCCGAAACAAACCCCACCAGGAAAACTGGATTAGGAATCGGAGACTCGCGTTACAGCACCTTTAATGCGACCGCACAATATCTGCCTAATGCGCCTTTAAGCCCTACGGCGCCTTTAAGCCAAAAAGAGGGGGTGAATCTGGGGTGCTGCAGTGTCCCGCAATTAGAAAACTAGCACCGAGTTGCGGCAACGGGTCCATCCGCTGGAATGCCTGGTGCAGGACCTACCTACGCAAAATCGCGCAGACCTGCTTTACGAGCACTCCGCGCAGGTTTGCTTGCTGTGGCAACGTGTCATCACAACAGCTCACAACACGACCAGATGAGCCCATGACACCCGTCCCGCTGCTCTCCGTCAATACAAATCCCTTATTATTCTGATCTGTGTACAGATTTGCTTCGGTACACAGACTTTGCACAGATAGCTAGGGCGCCCTTAACGTTACGGCGCCATTAAAGTGTAGGAGGGATGCTGATGGCTTTGGAAATTGGCACTCCGAAGGAGTCCCTGAGGTGGCGGGAGTCCTGCTAAGTGCCTACTTACACTCCGCCGATGCAAGCTAGTGTGTTCGATAGCTCTAACATACGTCTATGAAGTACGCAGTACCAAAAGTTTGTCCAGGTGCAGGCTTACATGCTGCGTAGAGTCAAAGTTAGCACCCGTTTCGGGCTTTGGAAAGCTGAGGCAACAGTCTATATATTCCCCTCCTACCTGAAAACCAGCTGCTTTTCTAATGGCGCCTTGGGCGCCATTAACCGGTGCTCTTGTGCTGTCGCATTAAAGGTGCTCTGACCACCTCGGGAATCGGATTCGGACATTTGCGAAATCTCTCTAATGTACTGAATTACTCAATTAATGGGAAAGTAGCGCCTCGTCTTGTACCGTCGGCTCAGTTTTCAAGCAGAGCGCGGTCGTTGAGGGGGGGGGGGGGGGTCGGCGATATAATACTGTATCGCCGAATATCGCCGATATTCTTGTGTTCGTACTTGTACATGTAGTGAAGAGTTTGTCTTGGTCGCGGAGCATCGCGTCACGTAGACCGCTGCCTGGGACGGTCGTTTAGGGAGTTCTAATGTCCGTACTGCCCCATCGTTCAGGGCAAGGTACTGTCGCTCATACCGTGTGACGTCATGATTGCATCATGCGACAGCAATAACTTATCTAAAGTTCATTACATGTATGATCCTTTCACTCCTGCTATAATAACTATTTAGCAACTTGCACTTGCATGCTGCTTCCCGCTAGAAGGCCTGGTCCCTCCATTTTTCACTAAACTCAGTACCCATCATCCAGCAAGCGCAAATCTCGTCTGCATAACTGTACTAGCTCTGCGAGGTACATTCGACATCGCTATTCCAGGGGAGGTGATATCGGCAGCGGAGAGCCCGCTATCCACCGCGGGCGTGCATACAAAAAACAAGTCTGACAAATCATGTGGTAGATGAGTACTGCAAAAAGAAACGCACATCGGATCTGACGAAAGTTGGTACAATCGGCTCGACGGCCGTGAGAGTCGCTCACAGAGCCTCTCGCAGATCATCTAGTAGAAACGTTCCTCTACCCCACCCCGCCGAGCACAAGCCCCGCTGGTAAAGCCTCGCGCAGTCATGCAACGCTGCCGATTCTCCTGCCCGCAACGCGGCTAGAACTCCCGGCCGGCGCATCCCCCGCGCAAGCAAACAACGCGGCCCACCAGCACGCTCAGGCAATCCGCCTTCGCCTGCAGCCAAGAAGCAGGCTGCGGCTTCAAGTCCCGCTCACTTGCACTCGGCAGCGGACGCGCACTCGGTGAACGCGCCCTCGGCGTCCTCGCCCTTGGCGTCCTCGCCTTCGACGCCCTCGCACTCGACGCCCTCACACTCGACGGCGGTACGCAATCGTAGGGACAAAGGCCCAGTTGGAGCCAAGGCTGGCCGTGGCGGCTCGAAGGCTGACAAGGCTCAACGAAAGCAAGGCCCCACCGGAGTACAGACTGTCCGTGTGCCATCGTCTGTCGCTAGCATTGCTCCGACCGGGGCCTCGGCCATCTCAACACATGATCCACCATCAAATGCGGCGGCGACTCCATGTGAGGGCTCAGACGGTGCTGGTAGCGTCCGGGAAGAGGTTGCTAGCAACTCCAGCACATTGAACGGGGACACGCGTGTCCATCCCGTCGGCCAAGGACCCGACCGACACCCCAAAGGAGTCGCACGCCAAGATAAACTAATAGCGAGCGCGCTGTTGATATCACGCAACCTTGGTCTATTAATGAGATGGCTACATTTTGGAATATTGGCTATGCTACTTTGCGTGGGTTCATGAACCAAGACGAAGTTAAGTTGTTGCTGAGCGAAATAATGAGCATGAGCGAGACGAAATGGCTACGAGACATCAGAAACCCAGCCCGCCGTGTAGAGGAAATTGGTATCCAGGACAGCGCTCCTGCCGCTTTTCGATTGCTGTTTGAGCGCTTTGTGACGTTAGCCTCGAACGTGCACAAGTCGTGGAGTGTGTCGGAACGGATCTCCGTGGCGCAGTCCCTACCAACAGCTCGGGGCGAGCAGTTGCACCGCGATTTTCAGTCCGCGGAGACTGCTGACGCGACGATCAAGCATGAGTGGGTCCAGGCATCCCTGCTGCTTGTTGTAGAGCCCGAAACGAAGCTCATAATCGTACCCGATGCGTTTGCGGGGGCAGCGCTAAGCGGGAAATGTACGGCACTTGAGGATCTGTCCCCGGGAGATGTTGTCGTCTACCGAGGCGACCTTTCCCACGCCGACACCCCGTACACCGATGGAAACATTAGGATCCAAGGTCGTATTAACGTGGACGGTGTCTACCGCGATGAGGGCGTTGTAGAGCGTGTGGCGTGGGCTGTTTACCGCTGCATTGACTGTTTTAAAAACTGTGTCGATAAGCGGGACATGAATAACCACAAACGGTTTTGCAGCGCTAACCCCGAGAAGCCTGCGATTGCTGCTAAGAGAAAGCGGAATAACGACAAGGGAGCCTACTGCGAGGTATGTGACTCTCACTCCGGCAAGAAGAACACGTACTATACCCACAGGTGTGCTGGGGGCACCGGGGATGACAAACAAGAAGAAAAAGAGGAGTAAACAACGTTAATACATAACACCTGTTGTTGATACGTACTGTGAAGAATATATTAACTTACATTTTAGGTGGGAAATCATGTATCCGCAATACAAAACCATCAATCCGTATCATGCAATCATCGATCCGCATTACAAAATCATCGATCCGTATCATGCAATCATCGATCCGCATTACAAAAATCATCGATCCGTATCATGCAATCATCGATCCGCATTACAAAATCATCGATCAGTATCATTACACCATCGATCTGCATTATAAAATCATCGATCCGGTTACACCACAATATAAAGGCATTTGTAATGCAGTATATTATAGCAAAGTATAAAGACAAAGAGATGTATCTATTGGCTATTACGGAGCCGAGTACAGCAGCTACGAGGGTCACCATGTAGAGAAGACAATAAAGCTCGAGATAAAGAAGTTAGATGAAGGAGATGACTGTGAAGCCATTTCACTTCCATAACTTACGACCGGAATCTATACACAACATTATATCATCGATCCGACCCATGCACACATCGATCAGCATCATCATGGCATCGATCCTTGTCATTAGCTCATCGATTCACATCATCCAATCATCGATCCGCCTCATTAGATCAACGATCCGCTTCATTAGATCAACGATCCGCCTCATGGAGATCATCGATCGGCATCATTAGATCATCGATCAGCGTTACAAAATCATCGATCCGCCTCATTAACCCCTCTAGCCCCATATTCTGTATCCTACAGAATAAGCATGTCGACAGGATTTAACCCTTTCGCGAGTATCCTCAATAAATTATAGTATACAGCTCATTGATATTTCCTTCTAAAAGGGCGCTCTAGGCGTCCTTTTACAAAGTTACGGAGCCTTTTCGGTGTGTCTCATGGGACATGCCACCTACGGTGATTTGCAGGATACATAGAATGTATGCGTATGACTTAGAATTAGTTAAGACTGATTACATGATGATTACTCTGCGTACCGATTATGATGTTTTAAAGAAGGTTGATTACTAGCTTGAACTTGTGCAAAATGGCACAGGATGCGCCCTTTAAGAGGGGGTACACTCTACCGTGTTTTGGAAAATCATCTAAAGGGCGCTTTCTGTATCCTTTTACCGCGAAAGGGTTAATATCCAGCAAACTTGGTTTCCGCGAAAAACTTCGCATATAGTTTTTTGTATAGTGAGTAATCAGCCCATCATTCCCGTTGGATCTGTGATGGGTAGATAGACGGGGATTCTTCTGCGGCTATAGAAGGGTATAAATCCCCAACAGGTTGGAAAATTGGGGTGTAAGGCCATAGTGACCGTTAGGCAGCCACTCGCGGTGCCTTTTACTTCGGAACGCGAAACCGCCCTGACCAGACGTACCTCGATCTCTGCAAGCCCGGTAAGAACGTGCTAATGCTGCTGCGTAGGCGAGGGCCTGGCGCTACTGGGAGCTCGAGGTCGCCATAACAGTATACTCGTGGTAGTGATGCTAAAGGAAAGCAAGTCTATTTACAGTCTGTTCGATATATTGTCTAAGGTCAGTCTGGAATTGTATTCAAGCGCGCGCGAGCCCATAGTGCGCCGTGCGAGGCGGTGCTGCCGGCTACCACTAAGTATCGATGCGCGCGTTCGTCACTCCTGGACCAACCACCTCCATGATGGCATCCGCAGCGCTAGCAACGGCTTCAACTAGCGCTCCACAGCAGCGCATGCGTCGTTCAGGCGCTTACCTGGTAGGCGATAAACGGCAGATGGAGGCGATGCGATAGAGGGGCTAGATGGAAGCTGCAGACCAACGTGTATTGACTGAATTTATTGTGATGGTACCTACAGAATAGACCAGTCCGGTAGCGATGGATATGACGGATGCTACAGAGCAAACCAGACCAACCCAAGTGGATACAGCGGAAGGTACAGAATAAGGATTTGTGCTGATTTGAATACGACGGATGCTACAGGGCAAGGCGGCCGTGAAACGGAGTCTACTGAACAAGGGACTTCTAGCAAACGCTTTGCCGTACACTGCGCGAAGCCTGGGGTGACCACCGAGAGCGTTTAGCCCGCATGCTGCTGTATATTTAGGATGTAGCAGAGCTTATCGATAATACATTCGTATATTACATCTTATGGATACTGTGCGTGCGACGGACATGAGCGAACGCCACAGCACGATAAAGTGATCACCAGCGCTAGTTAGCAAGACGATGGCGAGGATTCGTAAGGAGCGAATAGATGCATACACGAAGTCTATCGGAGGTCTAGTGACGCTAGGAAATAATTGTCCAGTTCCTCCTCACTCCGTCAGTTAGGAACTGGACAATTTATCCTCAGCGCCTGGGCCTCACCCGCCGCGTGGCATGAAGGACGGATGACTGGTGCTGTTAACGCTCCTCGGTTCGGACTCATACCGAGCTTGACAGGTATTGCAGTTCTAAAGGTACTAACGTGTGTGTTACGTTTGTTTCGCACAATGAGCACACACCATTTTTATCAGATGGTGGATACATTGTTCATCTTTTGTCCACGTTCGCAGCTATTTTGTGCTGGAAGTGCACGATTGCTGTACTGTCACCCTGTAAAATAGCATACCTCCAGCAGTTTTGACGTATACTTTAATCAAGTCATCTTATTCTGTATAATCACTACAGAATAAGGTTGGGGCTAGAAGGGTTAAATCAACGATCCACACCATGAAGCTGAGTCCACATACAAGGGAAGGGGTAGTTTCCGCTAACGATGGTATGATCTAGCTATGATAAACTTGTACACACCTAATTTTCAAAAGCAGAGGGGATTCGACGTGTCCCCCTCGGTCCGGCTCCTGCCATATGCCGTTGAGCTCAGCGCTCCGCTGCACGTTGAGCTCTACGATCTTGAATACGCTCGGGCTCTAGCACGCGATGCAAGGCATTTCGATGAATAACTTTGACGACCCCAACAAAGATCGTTGATCCATTCGTGAGACATTCGTGAGAGACTTCCTACTGCGACAAGACCAGTTCTATATCGCTCATTGTAGACGTCCCGAGGTGTAATTATCAGGGAAGGGTCTTCAACTAGAAGTCGTGCAATAGTTTGGCGGGCAGTTGTCCCAGTCTGACTATCGATTGCAATTGCCAATCGAACAGCATCAGAGAGAGAGAGAGAGCAGCTCGGCGGTGGAGCGGGTGCGAGGCCGGGTGGGAGGAAGGAGCGTGATTGTGCTCTAGCGCTCGTCCACGATGCTGAAGCTCCCACGTAATCTCTCCATCAGTCCTCAACTTTCGAACCAAGTACACTTACATCTTGCAGCCACACTTTCTGCTACTTGCGTTGCGACGTTGCTGCACGCTTGTTTCCACCAAAGTACGTCGGGGGGGGGGGGGGGGGCATGGCGATCGCAGCCATAGCGGATGAGCTGACGCTGTCGGAATTTATCGGAGGTCGTTCCTTTGTAAGCCATTGCGTAACCGTGTTGGCACCCAAAGTCGTTCAATGCTTTCTGCGCCAACACTGGCGACGCAAAATGCTGCTCTTTGAGGCATGGTAAATACCAATGCTCGGGTTCAACCCTCGCAAAGTTCATTGAGCTCATGTTGCACTCGCTTGTATCAACGAAGCCGCTGGCCCAGCCACGGCGGATGCTCCGTAGCCGTAAAACGACTGAGCTGAACAAATGCGCTGCGACGGTAGGCGCAGTACCGTGGGCTGCTCGACGACTTGCTCTTCCGGATAAAGTAACTCACGCGAAGCTCTATCCTCGATGCGAGACACTGGAAGTGGAGTTGCTGGCGAGACGTATCCACTGTAAAAAGCATGGGGAAGCCGCTGGCACAGAGCCCACTGAGCTGGTGGCGTTGCTCGTGGCGTGGCGGTAGAGGCAGGATATGTAGCCATTTAAGGCATTTGAACTGGGAGACGGGCAGGCAGCAAGCTGTAAGCGGATGATTTACTGTTTGACTCGTCAGACAGGCGATGGATGGCTATGAAAGAGCTACAACTTTTGGGATTTGAAGTAGCTGCAACTTTTGGTAAATTCGGGTAGATGCATCCCTTTTATATGCACGCCCGCTGCGGATAGCGGACTCCCCGCCGCGGATAGCGGGCTCCCCGCTGCCGATATCACCTCCCCTATTCCAGATTTGCCGATGAGATCTGTGCATTGTGTGTATGTTGCTGGTACTGGATCTCAACGGGAAGGATGGAGATTGACAAGCGACGTGTCGAGACCAGCACGACGGAGCAGAAGCGCCCAGGCAACAAAATGAGCGGTGAGGGCAAGGCGAGCGGTGCGTGCTTTCACTGCGGTCATACTGGCCACTGGGCGATGCAGTGCCCTACCGAGCCGAAGTGCTATGCGTGTAATCGCTCGGGCCACTTCGCACGAACGTGCGTGGACCCGCCTGCCTCGAGCCCGTGAAGAAGAAGGAGACGGACTCGGAGGTGCGCGGGTGCGTGTCCGTGTGCTGCGGTCGCCGGCAATTGGGAGGCGAAAGCTCGTAACGACGCATACATGATGACGCGCGGACGTAAGGAGCAACCGGTGTCGGCGGAAAACGAGTAGAAGGCGCTATCGAGGGGGAATTGCGAGGTGGAACCCCCCAGCCGGTGGGGCTAGCGATGAGTAAGGACGGCGGAAAAACGATGAGGCACGTGACGGCTGCGAGTGTGGCCGACACGGAAGAGAACGAGAACGATGAGATGAGGGTGGTGCGTGCCGCCGCTGGCGACAAACACACCTTGATGAGAATGAGACCCGCACCGTTGCGCGCGTCGGCGCGAAAGACGGACGGGGCGAGTGGAGATACGGCGACGGCCGTGTCCTGCGAAGACGAAAACGATGAGAACGATGAGGACGAGGCAAGGGCGGAGCACGTCAGCAACGGCGAGTACCCCGAGTCGAAGAGACGGACGACGCCTGTGTGCGTGGTGACGCGCACGCCGGATGCGTCGAAGGTTGGCATGACGGCGGTCGTGCGCATGATGAAGGCGGATGCTGCGGCGACGGACAAGGAACGAGCGGCTCGCTCCGTAGCCACGGTATGGCCGGCGATGGCGGCAGCACGATACGTACGGGCCGACCGCCAGCCTGTGCATCGAGACGAAGATACCGCGCAGCGCGACGGCGATGGACGACAAGCTAGAGAAGGCGCAGACCCTCGAGCTGGAGAAGGCGCGACGGTGAGCCCGGAGGCGACGGCTAACCCCTGTGAGTCGACGGAGGGCGGAACCAAGCAGATGTCGACCACGTTGGCGATCGAGCCGACTGGGAAGACAGCACGGGACACGTGCTCGACGCCGACAGTCATGACGGCGGCCAAGACGGCGGCGGCAGGTGCGACCTCGACAGAGGCGGCACTGGTAATGAAGCTGGGCGCGACGAAGGCCACGGACGGGCCCTTGGACGACGACGCGAGCGACGTTCCTACGACGAGTATGGGCGAGTCGAACGTGGGTGAAGAGGATATGCCCCTGAGTGACGGCGGAAGCGACGTCAGGGCCACGACAGGCAAAGAGAAGCCCCCAGTGACGACAAGCACGGCTAAGACGTGCACGGTGACCAAGACACAGTCGTTGGTGTCGACGGTGGCGGACTCCGGCGAGTCTGTGGAGACGACGGTGGCCGGGAAGGTGATGATGGCGGCGGGCGAGTCCACGACGGCCGTGGAAGACGTAGTGACGAGCGAGTCAAGTGCAGACTCGAACGACGAGTCTGTAGGTCGTGGCAGCGTAGAACTGGCGCGTTTGGCACGGTGAAGAGCCCGGAAGCGAGCGAAGCACGAACGAGTCAAGGTGTGTATGGCTCGGAAACGGCGACGCGAGCGAGAGAATGTAGCTGAGGAGCAGCGCGTGAGCGATGAGTAACGGACTGCGCGACAGCGAGTGGCTGACGAAGCAATGGAGCAGCTGCGAGAGCGCAAGCAGCTGCGTGAGCAGCGTGATGACGAAGGACGAGGGCAACGAGCGCGCGTGAGCATCGTACAGCACCGTGGTGATGGAAGCGCACGGCGTACGGCGCGTGACGAAGTTGTGGAGTACGTGGGAGAGGATGACGGGCTTCCAACCGCAACGATGGATGTGGCCGGCGCAAGACGACACGTGAAGCTCGACAAGCGGCGCACGCTACACGGTGGCGGGCACCCAGTTCGGCGACCGAGTGGAGCGAGCAGCCCCTGTGGATTACGTCGAAGGCATTGGTGGTTTCCTGTTATACGTAGTAGGCGCATGGAGTTTGAACACGCGCAGTGTGTTCGGCGAAGTGATTCGTGTTGAAGCATGCATGGTGTCAGGTTGCACTAACGAATTCCTACTCGGGGTGGACTTCATGCGTGGGCACGGAGCCATGATGGACTTTGATCGCAATGAGATTCGCTACACTACGGCTGGGCATGCGGTGGTCTTTCCGTTTCGCACGTACGACAGCGGAAAGGGATCGCGTGTGGCGGCAGTGCGGGTGGTTCGACGAGCGGAGCTCGACGGCAGTACCGTGACACCGGTCGAGGTGTCAGTGGCGGCTGACGACGGCGAAGTAGGCATCTTCTTGCCCACCAAGTGCACAGGCGCGGGTATGTTGGCGGCTACCGTCACGAAGGTGAAGAACAGCACGGCGCGGTGAACGCGAAGGACGGACAAGTGCGGCTGCCAGCGAAGCAAGAGCTTGGGCAATGGATCCCACTCGACAAGGACGTCGAGCTGTTGCAGATGAGCGGCGCACTGCGCCGTGACAAGATCAATGAATGGTTAGACGGACTCAGTGGTAGCGCTGAGCCATTCGACGACGAGGACTAGGTTAATGTAGGCGTTGAGGACGGCGAGAGTCGGCGGATGATCGTGCAGTTGCTGATGGTATACCGGCAGCTGACGGCAAATAAGAGCGATTGTCCACCCGCCACGGTATTGAGCACCGAGCACCACATCGACACGGGCGATGCGGCGCCCATCATGCTGAAGCGTAGACGGCAGGTTCAGACCGAGGACGAGGTGATTGAGACGAACGTGCGAAAGATGTTGGCGGCCGGCGTGATTAAGAGGGCGACGGTGCCTGGGGGTTTCCCGTCGTACTGGTGCAGAAAAAAGATGGCGAAGTACATTTTTTGTGTGGATTATCGTGCCCTAAAAAAGGTCACACGAAATGACGTGTACCCGCTACCAAGGATCGATTAAACGCTGGAGGCTCTTGGCGGCGCGCTGCTGTTCAGCACATTGGATTTGAAAGCGGGGTATTGGCAAATCCGCGTGGCAGCCAAAGACAAAGAGAAGACGACCTTTACTACGAAGCAGAGACTCTACCAGTTCGTTCGCATGCCCTTCGGACTTACGAACGCTCCGCCCACGCTTCAACGGATGATGAACAGTGTATTGCGCGGGCTTACGTGAACTACATGTCTAGTCTACCTAGACGGTTTTGTGGTTTATACACGCGGCGACATTGAACGGCACATTTTGAAGTTAGCTTGCGTGCTTGAGAGGCTCTCACAAGCAGGTCTCACGTTCGAACATGTGAAAACGGATTTGACGAGCAAACCTTTGCTTATCTACCCTAATTTTACTCTACCCTTTCGACTAGGGACGGACGCAAGCAAAGTGGGGCTCGGGGCGTGCCTCGTGCAGGTTCGTGACCACGGCTGGCAACCTGTGACATACGCGAGCAAGTTGACGAGTGCAACGGAGGCTAATTACGGCATCACCGAGTTGCAATGACTGGCGGTGGTGTGGTCCATTAAGTTGTTCCGCCCGTATCTCTACGGACGGCGATTCTCCATTGTCACGGATCATTCGGCACTGAAGTGGCCGATGACCAGCCCTAATCTGACTGACAAGCTACATCGCTGGGCCTTAACCTTGCAAGAATTTGATTTCGAGATCGTCTTTCGACCAGGGACTGCGAACGGCGTAGCGTATGCACTTTCACGAGCGCCCACTAAGGCTACGGTGCTGGCGGCAATCGGCCGACGGCGACGGTCAAGAGAGCGAGCGGCTGTGCGAGCAGCCGGCGTCGCGGCTGAGACTACAAGTGCGGCAGGGACAATTACAGACGGCAGAACTGATCCGGCGGCAGCTGGACGGAGTGCGAGTGCGGCGGCCGAGCCGATGACGACGGCTGTGTCGAACGAGGAGTCGAGGTCCGTGATCCACACGGAACGAGCGTCGAACGAGACGGCGAAGCAGCCGCCCTCGACGGAAGAGAGGCCCAGTGGTGGCAGCAGCGGGCAGCAGTCGACCAACGACGGCGCGGGCGACGGAAGCGAGCGAGAAGCAGTGACGGTGGACGGAGGTGGCACATACCAAGTTACCAAGGACCCCGTTGTGCCGAATGACGGCGACGAAGCGCGTGTACAGCACGAACTACGCACCGTGGTGCCGGAGGTGGCTACGCCAGAAGTGTCGGCGGTGGCAAGGCAGCCGACGAAGGGACATACGCGCCGGGAGGAAGAGGCGTCAAGCGTGGCGCGGCCTCTCAGGCTCGGGTAGCGAGTCCACGGCGGAGCTGACGGCCGCGAGTCGAACACGGCGCCCGGAAGGACGAGTGCCGACGACGAAACTGACGGGACATGACGGCGAGGCTACACAGAACCGGCAAACACGGAGGGAAGCGCGTGACCTTCGCGGTACCGCTGAAACACGACGACGGCCGGGATGACGGGCGACTCGACGGTGACGACGCAGTAGCTAGATCGGAGGGACGCAGTGAGTCAGCCGACGAGGCGGCCATGAACGTGGTGTCGGCAAACGACGCGGCGCAGGCGAGCGTCACGGCGAACAGCGAGCCACGTGAGTTGACGGTGATGACGACCGCAGACGGGGCTAGTGCGAGTGGCGGTAAGACCACGACGCGCGCGAGACGACCGAGAACAGACACGATGACGACGGCAAAGTCTCCGATAATGGGCACGTGAGGCGAGGCCGATGAAACCTTTGTCGCCCAGGGGGGGGGGTTCGTATGGCGCAGCCCAAGACTGTTCCCCAGGGGTAGACCCAGAGAATCGACTTGAGAGTCAACAGCAAGAAGATAGACCCAGAGATTCGCAGCCTCAAAGCTTTAAACCCTGAGAATCACACTCCTTGGTTGGCGTGGGTACCTTGTGTAATCCCTGTCGGCTCGTTTGTCTTCGACGGAACGGCACTCCACCGGTAGTAAATGTAGCTTCGAAGAAGTGCGGGAGTGCACGTCTACTTCAGAACGCACCTCCACACCAAAGGCAAACCCAGAGAATCAGATCTCCCGAAACCCAGTATATCACGAATTCAGGGTCCAGGATTTCAGTCAACTCCGGGACTTGGAACTCAGAAGACACCTTACCCAAATGCCCTCCTAGCTCGATAAAACCAACAAATACAGAGTATACAAACGCTACAACTAGCCGTCACTTATTCTTTTGGACCCTTGGACGGTGGGTCACACACACACTAGGCTCACTCGAGTCTGAAATTCAGGGCCTAGCTCCCCTGAGACTCACACAAACGCGCACCACCTCCAATAAAGGAAGAAAATACAATCACTATCAGTTACCTTCCCTTCACACAAGCAGTCAATACAAAACCCTGGAGGCGACTACCTAGCACCCCAGAATACCCTCTGGAATAATATGAAATGGGCTACCACGAGCACAGCAAGTGACCCAACTAGGATATGGAATAGATGGATCACCCCAGGAAGCTCAAGGCCGTCGCTGGTCACCACCTAACTGGACTTGAGTTTGATGGAGCCCACACAGACGGCTGTCTTTCGCCGTTGATGTGCCCTTAGCGTCCCGCGGTCGTAGTCTCGGGTCCTCCGGATTTCCGTCGGCAGGCTTGGCCGAAGTCACTTGCGCAGTACAGGGTAAAAGGAACTCTGTTCGGTTTTTATCAGCTACTTCTCTCTCTCTCTCTCTCTCTCTCTCTCTCTCTCTCTCTCTCTCTCTCTCTCTCTCTTCTTCGGGCATATATCTTCTGTTCACTATGCTTGGGGTCAAAATGTCTTGTCTTGAGTATACCTTGGGTTCAGCGGTCCAATCTTGCGATCGGCTTGCGAATCCATCGTCGCACGGCGTCAAAAGTGCCAATTGTGGGTCCTTAGACTTGGTTTAGTATGGTGCAGGACTCCCTCTCGACTCCTCGAAAGTATCCAGTCTGTGCATCCATGACGGTTGTTCAAGGTCACGCATCATTTTGATTGCAGACTGGTTTCGAACTGACTCGAATCCCTGAAAACCAGGTGACACTCAGGGTCATCTTCTGAAATCCTGGGAATTCTGAGGAATCTTGGGGAACTGTGGGGATTCTTGGGTGTTGGCTCGGGAAACACTTAAGTTCAGTATAGAGTCTGGATTTATGGTCCAAACCCAGAGAATCATCTTTGGAACTCTGGGTCAACTGCACTCAGGGAGGTGAACTCTGGGTCATCGTGCGGCACTCTAGGTTTTCCGTGCGGCACTCTGGGTAACAAGTCTGCTGCAGTGCAGACTCATGTGTATCTCCTCAAAGCCACACTTTTAGTGGGTTTAGCGGCCTCCTGCGCATGATCATGGTAGTAGTGGGTTGATTCTCAGGGTAATTTGATCCTCTGGGGCACTCTGAACCACAGCAAGATGAGGCGTACTCTGGGATACATTCTCCAGAGACACTTTCCGCCAGACTTTAGGCACTCATCGTAAGGGAAAGTCCGCGGCTGGACTGAGTGTTCTCTGAAATTCTGGGCGTGCACTCCCAGGATTCACACTTCCAGCTAGTTGGGCCCATCTGCGGTCAGACGCTGGATTCATCCCGAGAAATCACTTCTCTCCCACAGTCGCCATCCATGTCACGCAGGTACAGCCGCGCCGTATCCAAGTCATCCACCAATCAGCATCCGATACAAAATCCAGGTCACAGAGGTGACGGCACATTGTCGGCAATTTTCTGGGGACCGCCTCGTGTCAACCGCCCCTCCTGGTCCGGGTCCATCAAAGAGGAAATCGCTCCGAACTGGTGAACCATGGCCAGGCCACAAAAATACACAGGTCTATCCACCGTCGACTTCGATACGGCCGTTGCACTCTGTCGACTCCCAGGGTTTCACTCACTTTGGCGGCACCCTGTCTCCCCAACGGTTGGTCAGGACCTATCTTCAAGGTTCTCCTCTCAAACGCAAAACCTCCAACGGGCAATGCGCGGTCACATCGCCATTTCGCAGATCGTCAACATGGCGGAGAGGGCGACTTCGGACGGCAAGTAAGCGACGGCGCCAGCTGAAGGCACGGTGCCCCCCGGCAGCGCGCCACCTCCGACACAGCAGCGCACCGGCGACACCCCTGCGAGCACCGCACCAGCAGGCGGCGGCAGCGGCCAGGCGGGTAACTCAGCGTCCGGCGACACTTCGACGTGCAGCACCAAGACGGGCGTGACCAAGCGCATCTCCTTCTCCAGCGACACCGGCAAGACCTCCGACGCGGACATGCGCGAGGCCGATAGCAACGCCTCGACTGACGCTGCAACCCAAGAAACTGGTGACGCGAACTCAGAGTCCAAGGCTCCAGACGCAGGCGGCGTGGCTCCGGACGTGGACATGGAGGGCGCCCCTGAGTTCAAGTTACCACGACACGCGACGCTAGAGGACGTCAGGGGACTCATCTTCGCAGGCATGCTTCGGCAGGAGGAGGTCGATCCCCCTGACTTCTTGGTCCCTGAACGCCCCCCGCACTGGAAACTGCCGGCTCCACCGAATCTCAAGACCAACGCGTATCTCGTGGGGGTCCCAGGGATCGTGAACGACATTCGCGCGGGCGCGTTCGCCATGGAAGGCTACGGCGGCGCGACCACGTTGGTCGGCTTCGAGGAGCTCTCCGACGAGGATCTTCAGGGGTTGAAGGAAGTATGTGGCGCCGACGCTGGGATCGATGTCCTATGTCCACGTCGTTCGCCTTCATCTTCCTTCTCACACACTGCCAAAGCCTCAGCAGTATCACCTTCTCCATAATCAAATCAAGTCAAATCACATTCACGTTTTCCGTCTCCAATATTCACACGTTCCGTCGATTTTCCCCAGAGTTTCACAGTGTCACCCAGAGTTTCCCCTGAATATCACGTGTAACTCTGGGTCATTGTCACCCCAGAGTGCTAGAATCCTGGTGATCATCTCCAGCCTGCATGGCCTGGAAACAGGCCCGCGCTCTTGCGCCTTGATTGAATTCGTAGAGCAGGGCACCACAGTTGAGCTTCGACACAGGCAGCCACTCGGTCTCATCATACCCCTTCCACTTCACAAGGTACTCGCGAATTCGTCTCGATGTCCGAGTCCGTTTAGTCCATCGCAAATCCAGGATTCGCTCGACTTCGTACTCATCGTTCGCAGCGTCGGGCTCCCAGCTGTCTTCAGGCAACAGCGCCGCATCAAACTCATCATCCTCGTCCACGTCGATCTCCACAGTGGGCCGCTTTGGGAATAGTGCTCTGGGTTTCAAACGGCTCACGTGTACCCAGGGGTTCACGCGATATCCTGTGTTCTCAACCCTGAGTTTCACGCGGAAGTTGTCATGGATTTCCTGAATTCTGAAGGGACCATGCCACATGTGAGCCAGTTTGCGGCTCAGCCCGGGCTGCACTTTGGGTATATACAGCCACACAGGATCACCGGCTGCGAATCATGCCTTCAGTCGTTCGGACAGCTCTCTCCACTTCCTGGTTTGTTCGGCAGAGCGCGCCGGTTGGCCTTCTTCTGGAGATCATCAGCGCAAGCTTGTGCATAACTGTAGTCACGCTGCAGCTTCCTGCGCCACTCGTACGCAGTGCGCTCCTGGATAATCGAGGGCCTGGGTCCCAACATTGCAGACACAGTGCCGTGTGCGTCCCAGCCGTGCATCAGAAAAAACGGAGTGTCCAGGCGAGTGGCATCGAACGATGTATTCAGGGCAAACATCAAGCGCTCAGCATGGTCGTTCCAGTCGCTCTGGTCCGCCTCAGCGATGTACGCTCGAATGCTGCGCACGACAGTCTGCACCGACCGCTCCTGTTGTCCGTTCGCCTGGGGGCGATACGCCAGAGTGGCCCGCTGCTTGCTACCCAGAAATTCACGGAAGCGCGTGAACACCTCGCTCATGAACCTTGGGTCTTGGTCGTGCCTCAGCATCGAGCTCGCGACGAATCTCCTGAAGACTTGCTCTTCGTACACTTCGGCGACATCTTGAGCTGTGGTGGAACTCATGGGTTTACACATGACGAATCCTGAGAACGCATCCTGAAAATGCAACAAGAACGTGTTCCCACGATCCGACTTAGGCAAATGCGTCACGAAATCCATGGGCACAACTTCAAAAGGACGCCTCGGTTCGATGTTCCCAGGGGAAGGCCCTGGGTTCTGAGGGCGCCCCTTGCCGCTTGCGCAATCCACACACTCTTTGACGAAGACTTCAACGTCAGCGTACATGCCGTGCCAATAGAACTCAGAGCGTAGTTTCTCGTACGTCCTCGTGATCCCCTGGTGCCCACCCTGAAAATCTTCGTAAGCGTAATGCAGGATATCCGGTCGCAGAGCTTTCGGCACCACGAGTCTGAGTTCGTCAACCATGTCTCGGGGTCGATCTCTGGTAGACCGACTCAAGCGGTACAGGACTTCTCTGGAATCCAACACGAAATCATCAGCGACCTTCGCGAGTTTCCTGGCTTAAGCGTGCGACAGCTTCGTCGTGTCGCCCTTCAGGAAATCCTTGAGTTGCAGCAGGTGATCATCTTTGTCCTGGTGCACTTTGATGCGTCGCCAGCGTTCTGCCTGGTATTCCAGAGGCCCCATGGGTTCGCTTTGAGCTTCGATCTCCTGAGTCTGCGCCCGAGTCATTACTGCAAACACTGGCCGCCACAGGCAACGGAGCGCACTCAGGTCCAGGGATATCCAGAGTTTCGACACCCTGAGAATCACTCCCCTGAATTCCAACGTTCAATA